TACATACATACATACATACATACATACATACATACATACATACATACATACATACATACATACATACATACATTACATACATACATACATACATACATACATACATACATACATACATACATACATACATACATACATACATACATACATACATACATACATACATACATACATACATACATACATACATACATACATACATACATACATACATACATACATACATACATACATACATACATACATACATACATACATACATACATACATACATACATACATACATACATACATACATACATACATACATACATACATACATACATACATACATACATACATACATACATACATACATACATACATACATACATACATACATACATACATACATACATACATACATACATACATACATACATACATACATACATACATTACATACATACATACATACATTACATACATACATACATACATACATACATACATACATACATACATACATACATACATACATACATACATACATACATACATACATACATACATACATACATACATACATACATACATACATACATACATACATACATACATACATACATACATACATACATACATACATACATACATACATACATACATACATACATACATACATACATACATACATACATACATACATACATACATACATACATACATACATACATACATACATACATACATACATACATACATACATACATACATACATTACATTACATACATACATACATACATACATACATACATACATACATACATACATACATACATACATACATACATACATACATACATACATACATACATACATACATACATACATACATACATACATACATACATACATACATACATACATACATACATACATACATACATACATACATACATACATACATACATACATACATACATACATACATACATACATACATACATACATACATACATACATACATACATACATACATACATACATACATACATACATACATACATACATACATACATACATACATACATACATACATACATACATACATACATACATACATACATACATACATACATACATACATACATACATACATACATACATACATACATACATACATACATACATACATACATACATACATACATACATACATACATACATACATACATACATACATACATACATACATACATACATACATACATACATACATACATACATACATACATACATACATACATACATACATACATACATACATATGTACATGCATGCATACATACGAGAGAGGGAGATTGGGGAGAGAGAGGCTTGGGGGGATGGGGAGGATGGGAGCAGAGGGAGGGAGAGAGGACGACAGAACACACAAGGGAGACAAGGAAGAGAGGAAGCAGGAGAAAAGGGAGAGGACAATGTCGGCGGACTGAGCCGGAGGCTCTAAAGTTATCACATATGTTGAAAAAGGTTATATTAAAGTAACAAAACTACCGAATGGTTATTATGATTATGATGATAAATCAGTGTATGAATTTATTAATGGAGGACGAACGTTGTATAGGATATTGTATAGTACATATAAACAAAAAGATGATTTAAAAGACAAGTTGATGAAGTTGAAAAAATGGTAAACAGAATAAAATTAAATTAACAAATGTATATACTGAAATATCATCAGGAATTGATTTAGATAGAAAATAATTTAAATTATTATTAAATGAGATATTTAATCATAAAGTTAAACAAATAATTATAACATATAAAGATAGATTAACGCGATTATCATTTATTACATTAGAGAATATTTTTAAACAATTTGGAGTAGAATTTATTGTTATTAATAGAAAACAAAATGATAATATAACAAATGAATTATTTGAAGAATTAGTAAGTTTAATGCCTTATTTTTCTACTAAAAGATATTCATTACGAAAAACTAAATAATATTTATTTAAATAGTTCTAAATACATATTATTTAATATAATTATGAGTGAAGATGTAAATAATAAGAAAGATGATAAATATTATAAAACATTAATATCTAATATTAAAGATGATGAACAAATAAAAATATGCAAACATTTATGTACTGTTTCTAAACATATTTATAATAAAACAATTTACATTAATAGTTTATACAGAAAATACAAAGAAGACATATTTAAAATATTAATACAAAATATTGATAATATAACTATCGAAGAACAATTAAATGAACAAATAAAGAAAACATTTGAATATTTGTATAAATTAAATGATAATGAAAATTTAAAATGTTATTAGAACAATATTAAATACAGAAGACTTAAATAATAATAATTATGAAAATATTAGAAAGCAAATATATTATAATACAAATGATTTATTAAGTGAGAATTATTATGAGTATGACTGTATTATTAATTCTACATTAAAGCGTATTTATACAGTTAAATATAATAAAGTTAAAAAACATCTTATAGAAAAAGATGTAATTGAAAATATAAGTGAACAATTTATAAACAATGCTAAAAATAATAAACAAATATTTCAAAACGAACTATTATATAAAATAGAATTTATAAAATAATAAGAAACAGTTTAATTATGATGAACATATAACAAATAAATTTGTATATAGTCATTTAACTAATTTAGATGATAAAATACCGAAAGATGTTATAGGTAATATTAAAAAAAAAAAAACAGTAGTAGCATTTAGAAGTTTTTATGCATTAAAATATAAAGGATTTAATGCTTCATTTCCAAAATAGCGTAAAGATGAATATGTATTAACATATACATATACAAGTGTTAAAAAAGAAGATGATAAAATAAGATTAACGGTTGGAACATATATATCAAATAATTATAATGAAATTACAAACAAACATTATATTTGTTTAAAATCAAATGATAAATCAAATTATAAAAAAATAAAAATAAAACATATTGAAGAAACATATTTACAAGATAATATCTAAAAAAATGAGTAAACAAGAAAAACTCATCATTGATAACAAACATATTAATAAAAAAGATACTAATATTATTGATTCGTATTACATGTATTTTAAACTTCCAAAAAATATCTTAAATACAAATATAACATATATAGAAATAACTTCATTAAAAGGTTACGCATATAAAATCAATTATACTTATGAAGTACATAAACCAGAAAAAGTTAATTTAGATGATGTTAAAATTAATGATTGTATTTCAATTGATTTAGGAATTAAAAAAATAATGACAGTTTATGATCCATCTGGAATACAAGAACAAATTAAAGGTGGTAAATTAATTAATAATAATAATAAATATAATTACAAGTTAGATAAATTAAAAAGCAAAATATCATCAAACACAGCAACTGAATATGATTATTATAAAACTGAAAAAACAAAAAAACACGTAAACATATTAATAATGAAATGAATTTAATTGTTAATGAAATTTATAAATTATACAATGGTAAGAAAAAGTAATAATTGGATATAACAAAAACTGGAAACATGGAGTTAATTTAGGTTAAAAAAAAACTAATAAAATTGTATAATATTCCATATTCTAATTTAATTAATGAATTAAAAAATAAATGTTATGATAAAATTGAAGTAAATGAAGAGTCATATACTTCAAAATGCGACGCTGTGAGTTTAGAAACTGTAGCAAAACATGAAAAATATTCAGGAAAAAGAAAAACAAGATCATTATTTCAATCAGCAAATGGTCGTCTCGTAAATGCTGATTTAAATGGTGCTATTAATATTTTTCGTAAATGGACTAAAAGACGAAAAATAGAATTTAATAATATAACTGGTACAAATCTTTATAATCCAGTTATACATCACACGGGGACGATGCTTAATGCCAGTCTTCCAGCGGCTATGGAATCCGCATTATAAAGGTATTTTATATACTTTTATAGAAAAAACCTTCCATAATTGCTAATAGCATTTAATGGAATATATTTTACTGCGTTAGGATTCATATTTATAATGATACTTAGATTAACTTTCACGTAACATCTTAAATGTGCCAAAAACAGCTCCGGTAAAGATAATATATATGTAATATTATATAGTATATATATTTCATTTTTTAATAATTTACTAAGATTTGTAATATTAATAGTTTTGTAATGATAGATACATAAATTGATTGTTTCGAAAGAATATATGATAATCTTTCGTAGAAAATCATTATACATAAACAAAAATGAAATTTGTCATTAAGGAAGGACGGCGAAGGAAGTAAGGAAGGACGTCAATGACGACGACGACTTGACGTCGTCGTCAATTACTTAATGCCGTCCTCCATTCATAAGTCGTCGTCGTCATGACGTCGTCGTCATTAAGACTTCATTAATTACTTCATCGGCCGTCCTTGACGGTAATTCCAATGCTCAAAAGAAACTAGCTCGCATTTTCAGTGAGGGGCCCTTGGCAACTCGCATTTTTCACTCGAGCGGATTGGATAAAACCTCCACACTGGTCGTGTGCCTTCTTGCCTCGTCCGCCGCTTGCCGGTCAGTTGGTCATGTTGCTTCCCAAAAGGGATCTTCCCATGAAAGTCCAGGGATGCTTGTACATACCCCTGATAAAGTGGATTGGGGTTTCCGGGGAAGCCAAGGGCTACGAACACGAGCCATGGACTTGGGAGTGTGGGCCGGAAGCGCTTTCGGAGCCGCTCGGCGCCGCTAGGCACTGCATGGGCAGGTGAACAAGTCAACACGCGCAACTGTTGGAAACAAAGCAACATGCACAAATATCGCTGTATGTGTACGTGTCTGTGTATATATATATATATATATTCATGTATGTATGTGTGTGTGTGTGTGTGTCCTGCTTGTGGATCATGCGAATGAATCTATCCATCTATTTATAAATATATGTCTATGGATCTATGTAATAACTGCTAAGCCAATATGCATATACACATAAGATACATCTATGTATGAGTCATTCTGCCTCAACACTTACTTGGCGAGGGGCTTGTATCAGCCCAAGGCAGCGGCAGCAGCACCATGCTCTGCATGATATCGTTGCCGATGGCATCGGTGGCCCAGCAAAGCACGTCGTAGGTGGAGTTCTCCCGCAGACTGGCGAGTTGATCGGCTCAGAGTGGGTTTGGGGTGGGTTTAGGTTGGGGAAACTGAAGCAAATATGGGAGTCCCGGCCCATGCAACCAATTCCGGGTGGAAGGGCAACCGAAAGGAAATTCAGAGGACCCCCCCCCCAAAAAAAAAGAAGCTACTGGTTACTATCAGCCTCTTATTTGGTGGCTTGGATTGGTGGGGTTCGGAAGGTACCATCCTATACCTGACAAAGTGCAAGTCAACCCAGCAGAACTCCAAGCCTGAAGCTTGAGAATTCAAGACGACTGAGGGAATCAGGGATGTGAGGAGCAAACATAACCTGGTCTGATTTTAAGCATCAGCAGTTGTTTTACTTGGAGCCCTCAGTTGTTTGTTTCGCTTCTCCTGAGTGAAGATCCCGGATCTGAATGGCAGCTTTCGTTTGGAACCCTTGGTTTGGTTCTCCAAGCCTTCCAAAACATCAGCGAGCTCGCTTGGGGCAATGGACCCTTTCCGACCCACAAGCTTCAGCGAGGATCGGTGGCAGGTGCGACCAAGAGTGTCGAATGTTTCCCAAAAGAAGACCAACCAGCACCCAACCAGCACCCAACCACCGTTTTTGGGACAGTAATGGGCAAAAACAGGTGTTGGGGGTACTGGCAAAGGCGCAGGCAATTTGTCATCTTGTTTGCACCCTCCCGTCCACATGGAACCCACCAAAGGGTCCCTAAAGGAACGTAGTCTTCCTAGGCCCCCGAAACGCTGGTGGACAAGATGTTGCGACAGGGGAGCGAAAGGAGATTGGCATGGGTTTTCCCTCAAAGTGTTGTTTCACATGCTAAAAGTGGAGTCTGAGTCCGCACAAAGTCTGGCGAGCTCACCTCTGCAAGTTCGTCTCAAAGTGGTGCAGACCAAGGAGCCATGTTTACACGGCAGGCAGTGGACTGCTCCCTCGCAAATTCAGAAAAGGAGCGGTACATCATCCCCCTCACTCAGGCTCCCCTAAACGTCATGTCTTGAGGGTTCCGTGTTCTGCAGCACACGGATGGAACAAATCAAAGCAACGATGCTTCGGCCACTCTGCCACATAGCAATACACGCACGCCTCTTCTATTTGGCGCTTCCTTCGGGAAACTGCCGCGAGTGTGTGGTTGGTTCTGCTTGTTTGGTCTTGAAAGGCACCCCTAGCATTCAAGCGGCTGAGTGTCGGGTATGTGTTCCGTTTCTGGACCATCTTCAGGCAAGGGCTCAGAACAAACTATGGCGCCCACACACCCTCCAAACATGCAGTCAACCGGATTTAGGTATCCCCCTCCCCGAATTTCAACTTTCAACCATTTTGCACGCTGTTTCTACCTACTGAAGGGGAACATTTGATGGCAACTTCGCATCCTCCTCCCCCAACTCCTGATGCATATGGGATCAGTTTCCCTTTAGAAGAGATCAGGCTTGCCGATTTCTGCACAGCGCTTGTTTTGTCGCTTCAACATCTGATTTATGTCTTATGCCTGGGCCTGGTCGCTTACCCTGAAAACCGCTTCTTTGGTGGATTCAACATCTGGATCCCCCTGCCCCGTTGCCCACCGCATCTGACCTATGTTTTCTGCCCGAACCCCTGCTGGCTTCAAGCTCTAGAATTCGGCCCAAATCCCCGTGTGAGCCGCGGGTTGCACCTGGGGATGGTGACGTTGCGGGCGCTGGCGTGGCTGAAGTTGGTGTGGAAGGGCAGCGCAAAGAGCCGCTGCCACCAGCTCCTGGCAGCGGCCCAAAGGGCCGGCCACGCGGAAAAAAAGGGCGAGGGGCGGCCAAAAGACCCGGCGACAAGAACGCCTCTTCATACGGGGTATGTTACAGAGCTCAGACATCAAGTTGCAGGTGGTATTATCTTGTAAAGAAGCCTTAACTAAGGCTGCCGCGACTATCATGGCCTGTGCTGTTTGCAGCAGTTGGAGTTCTATTGAATGACTTCAAGGAAGGGAAATGTTACCAGTCATCCATAGACACACAGTTACTTCTGCAATTATTTTGGCAACTTCAGGTAGGTACTATTCCTCTACAACGCCTGTGGGGGGTCTATCTTTAACGGTCAACGGTTGGGGGCCACGCCTGTACCACCCGTAATGCAGGATTATTGTCTACTCAACAAACCACCAGACCATCTAAGTGTGCAAAAAGCTCGAAACTGGCCCCACAATATGATGGTTTGCCGTTTGGTTTCCCTTTAAACCCATCCAAAAGAGGGTCCAACCCCCCCTCCCTCCCAAAAACAACAACAACAATCGGAGCCTGCAGGGGGCCATAAACCATGGCATTTCTCTGCTCAACCCGAGGTGTTCGGCTGCCCCAAACCCCAACGACACTGACCATGTGTCGTCCGTTCCGCTGACTCTTCCCCGCATGAAATCAGGTAGAAGCCTTTAGTTGGTTGGCCAATTCTTGCTTCCCAACAATTGGAGACCTCCTGTATGGCTTCAAAGGAAAGCCGGAAGGAAACCAAACACTATGGGATCCCTTTCGAGAAACACACCAGTTTGCCATTCACAAAAACAGGCTGTGCTTTGGGAATTTCCCAAACCTTCGCACCTTCAAACAACACCGAAGCCCTCCGAACGGCATCGATTTCTTCGCTGATGAAAAAACCGCCCGCTCCAGCGCGCAGTCTGCATGGTTTGGTAGGCCGAGGCCACTGCGAAGGCGTCCCAGGCTTTGAGCCAGGTGACGTTGTCCTCGGTAAAGGAGTGGCTCGTCTTCGGTGGTGGCTCGCCTTTCCGTTTCTTTGGTGGCTTTAAAGGGGAAGCCGAAAGGCACAAGCCAAATCATTTGGAGGGGTCCAACCTAACTAGCTCCTCCAGTAGAGGTTAGAATAAGTTGGTACCAGCTTTTTTCAAGACGTCTATTTTAGTAGGGAACCCCTCGCCTGGGGGACCTAGCTAAAAAACAAGACACAACTGCCATCCTTGTGGCGACTTGTCCGCAAAACAAGTCGGGGGAACCAACTTGGGAACGAACGCGGCGCCGGGGCATATCTAACAGACACAGGCACCTTGAAAAGGCGGGTGCCAAGTCAATGCCTGGACAAAGCAAACAATCCGACGCAACCAGGGCTGGTTCGATCGGGAAGTTCGGGAACACGAAACTTCATTCCTACCCCTCAAATGATTCCCGAGCCACATTGTGTGGCAAACCTTGTCTGTGATACCAACGTGGGACGTCTAGCTCCAGAACTAGTTGTTGTACCAACTTAGAGAAATTGCCTTGGTATCATCACAGAAAGTGGCATCCTAAACTGTTAAAGCCCAAATCTTCCAATGCTGAACTATGAATGTAGAAAAGCTGAACACCCCTTACCCTTAGAGATCCCTTCACAAATTACAAAATGACGGTTGATCAAAATGGATTCCGTTGACCCCCCAAAAGTGTTGGTATCTAATGGGGAAACCAAAAGAACACTGCTGCCGCTTTAGGAACTGGCCGCTATTCTGAACCAAAACCACATAGGACAGTCGTTTTTCGAGGGTGCCCTTTTTGGAGTGGGCTTCGAGGGAAACCAAGAGGACAACCACTATTCTCTTTTCTTTTAAAAAAAGGTCCCTCAAACACAAAAACAGACATACACAGAGACACAGGCTGGTTCGCGGTCAAAAGCAGGACGTTCCGCGAATGGGTTCCGCGGGGGGTTCCCCGCAGCGAGGCGCATCTGAAAACTCCACGGTGAGGTTGTTCGCCCCGCAGCCGGCACCCAGCGACTCGTTCCCGGAGGCGCCAAAGTCTAGCGTCACCTGCGGCACGCTTTTGAGCGCCGGTTGTCGCCTGTTGCCAAATGGTTCTACCAGCATAGATACTGTGACGAACAAAGCGATATTTTGCTTGGGTGTTGGTTTGGGGAAAGCCTTGGTACTCTTGTACCAAGTCGAGAAAGCTAAGTAGAACTATTGACTAGAACGGCTAAAGGGGGTACAAGGGTGCCGCTCGGATTGTGTGGGCCTCTTGCATGCCGGCTGTTGTGGCTTGGGACAACCTTGGGCTGAAAAACAACATGTGCCAATGTCGACTCCTGATTCATAAACCCCTCGCTTGCTATAAAGGCGGGGGTCACACATGTTCGTAGGGATTCATTTCTTCCAGGGAGCCCCACGCTGATTATCAACTAAGTGTAACAAATCAGGCAACACTGAATACCCATTGAAGCAGCTCCTTTTGGGTCCGATAAACAATGTATCCAAGTTTGAACGTAGCCCGTTCTGTTCATGGGGCTGAACCCTAAGATACACTTTACATTTGCCGGAGGGCTTCAAAATGCATACGATACCCTTGTCAGAAATCAGGAAGTGTTGGGGCATTCTCACAAGGCATGTTGGAGGCTTCTTGAATCCAAGAAGAAACCATGTCTCCCCTCCCCCCCGCCCACCCAAGAAAACAAACAAAACAAGAAGGAACCACTTTGTGAACTTATTACTGGGTGTCGTCCAGCGTCGTCCGCTCGGAACCCCCGACTTAGACTTGGAAAGTTCTTGGCGTCAAAGTGATCGACTGGGTGACTTAAGCTGACATGGAGTTCGGAACCAGAAGCATGTGCTTAAGGGACTTGGGAATGACCTTCAACATCTTCAACCAATAAGTCTCATTCCAGTAGCCACGGTCAAAATTGACAACTTTTCGAAGAGGACACCCAATTGGAGTTCGACTCGGCTGGTTGTGCGAAATCCAGTTCCCCCATCCCCCTGAAACCCCACCTGAGGCACAATCAAAGCTTGGCATCAAGGGAGTCCACTCAAAATCAGCACACATCCACGCCTTTCTTTGGGACTGTCCCCTTACTTCAACTACCCGGTCTTAGATTGCGGCTCACCTGAGCAGCATCAAATGCCCATTGACGTTTGCTTCTACCAAAATAGCAATAACGGCTTAATAAGCCTAGGACGGTCATACAGCTTACATTTCAGTTTCACCAAGAAGACACACATTTTAAACCAGGAAGCCCCCGAAACCCAGCAAAAGTGGGCAACGTCTTTTGGCACACTCCCGCCAATTTGGCCATAAGTCAAAATCCTGTACCCACAGTGAACATCCCAATCCCCACAAAAATTGGCTCTAAACTGGGTGGTGAATTCACCTACCCCAAAATGGGCCTTGACAACCACAGCCTAGAACCCCACGTCTCTCGCGCGCGTCGCTCGCGCGCGCGTCCCCGGTTAGGCGCCTGGGTCACCGTGGGCAGAGGCTCCGCGAAGATCTCGGCCTCGCAGAGGCGCAAGCGCCGGCCGTAGGGCTTCGCCACCACCCAGACCTCACGACTCACGCGTCGCGCGGAAGCGTTGGAGGCGGAGGGAAGCGAAGGGAAAAGGCGAAAAAGAAGAAGAAGGAGGGGCCGAGTTGTTCGAATTTGTGGAAGAAGGAAACCCAAAGGGCAGGCTCTTTTGGTGAAATGGAGGAAATGTTCGCCATGGATTGCTATATGTATGCATATATATATATATACATATGTCAATTTTGCAAGTAGGGGTCTCCCGACACCCAAAGGCCGGGCTTTGCTTTTGGTCAAGTACACCCCGCGAAGAATGACTTGGTTCAACTTTCAGGGCCCCTGGGAAACCAGGAACGATGCAACCACACCCAGCCGGGTTCCAAGCGCAACTGCTTTTCTGGTCGCTTGGGACTTTGGACGAGGGAAAAAAAACAGGTTGGGGGGTACTAGGGGTAATTCTCTTATTTGAGGACCTTGCAGAGCTTGTTTAAGCAATCGATGTCGGAGCGCATGAATCTCGTACTCTGGAAGAGTAGGTGCAAGACAACAGGGACCCTTATCAATCAGTTGTGCTTTTGTTCGCGGAACCCGGCAAGGGGGGGGTTCCATGAAAAAAGACTGGGCACCCTTTTTGTTGGTTCCTTCTTAAAGGGAGACCTTTCCCCAAACGAGGGGACAAAGGGGCCGATTGAATCCACCAATTGAACAACTGGGGGAGCTGGACCCTTTTGATCCCCCCAAAAAAACGGCCGCAAAGAGTTGGGCAGGAGACTGCCTGTCTTCCATGTTTGTTTCCCTCAGACGTGGACAAGTTGGAGCTCCTGCGGCTTTTCTGGTTGATATTCCAGTTCCATGTCCCTAACCCTAAAGTTATAGACAAAACCAGAAATATCTAGCGTAGTTTATCCCGTCCGCAGTGACCTAATTAAATGACCGACCAAACCTCAGGTTTCGAAAAAGAAGCATCGAAACCTCGGCACCAATCTGCCAAAGCTGCTGTGGAGCCCCGGCTCTCCTTGGGATGACATGGGCCAGTGACATTCTGACAAATCAAGAGACTCAAACCCTGGCACTACAGACACCCACCCAAAACCATGTATTAGAAGTGTGGACTGTTTAAGGCTGGGACTGTCCCTTGCCCCGGTCGAAAAAGAGAGGATGCATGCTTTTTGTTCTGACCATTTCGTGGGAAAACCCACCAAACAGAACACAAAATTGTATGCCACCCGACAACTGGGCATTGGCAGCCCCTTTTTAACAATGCAAAAAGAAAGAGGGGAAGGGCTCATTGATGGCGAATTTGACGATGGCACATTTAAGACGTATTTTCCTCATGGATTCATATGGCTGTATCGCAAAATATGGCATGCCACTCTGAAGGATTGATGTTCTTTGCATGGAAAAAAAAGGGGCTTTACCGGTTTCACGAGCCTTTGAATGGTCATGACTTTGCAACATTTGAGTGGCCCATCTAAGTACAGGCTGGTAGAATTTGGTCCGGAACTATTCCTTCCAAAACATAATACTCATAAGGATCCTGTTTGTGCATAGTTTCTTATAGGGATACCCTCCCCATTCTTTGCAGGCATCCTTCTTTCCAGAAAACCACCAAACACCAAGGAACTGCTGGCTTCTTGAAAATACCCATGGTTGAAACACCTGGCAATTCGAAGGCTGGTGTTTGACTCGCTGTTTGACAAGAACGATGGTTGAACATGGCAATCGACCCCAAGAATGGTTGACCCGCATTGCCCCGGTCCTGCATGCACGCCCGCGTCTGCGGGGGCTTCTCGGGGTCCTGCGGCCGGCAGGTTCCAGGCAGGTCCCCCAAATTTCCGAGGTTCCGGGGGCACTCGTGGGCTTAGTTCTCAGGCACGGTTTCCTTTGTTTCAGGATGCTAAGAGAAAACAAGGGAACAACAACAAGCTTTCTGCTGGGGTTCCACTGTTCCACCCCTCCTTGTTGAGACAAACCCGCATGAGCCGTCAGAAAAGAGAGCTTGTGGGGCATGCATGCGTCACCGGCAATAACTTGTTTATCTCCTCACGTTGCGCAGGCTTTCATGTCAAAGGCACGGTGGTTCCTTTGGCGGTTTCAAAAGCTATTCTCACTTCCCAGCTGGATTGGCATAACAAGTCTGGACTTTTTGCTTGCAATTGAGATGGTCTTCCCAAGAAGTATGAAGTGCATGAACTCATCAAGTGAGTATTCCATGCCGAACGGCTTCCTTGGCGTCCATCACAATTACGACTCCCACCGCGTTCGCGGTTTTGAGTTTGAGGCTGGAAAGTCGACTTGCCCTTTGCGCATGGACGGGGCCAATCTCTACCCTTCCAACATTCCATAGGGCTTTGGACAACAGTCCTATAGAAGGGGCCCTCTTTCCAGATTTCGGGGCCTTGTATACATACCCTGCTTTTCAGACAACCAAGCTCGTTGTTTCAGCCGATTCTTTCGATGTCCCCCTGCCCCTTCCCCCAAGCGAGCCCCAAGCCGCCCAAGAGATGGTCCAGCATGATGCCGATGGGCACATTCTCCGCACACAAGGTGCCCTGCTGCAGGACGGTGTCCAAGGGCACATGTAGCGTGGCCTCGTAGAGGCACGGACTCACCTGGCGATCGAGGATCAGACCCATTCCGAGTCAGTGACCCCGAAAGGTGCAAACAGGTTGCATTAAAGACAATTGGACCCCATTTGGGACCAAAGAGCTTCAGGAGTGGATTCGAAAGTGACTGAGAGGTTTCTCCCTTTAGGTTGGGACTGGTTGATTGCGCTGCATTGAGTACCTGAAGACACGGGAATGCCTGAGAAGGGCTTTGTGTGCTCTGTGGTATGTTGGGTTATGTTTTTTTTTTCTCGTTTTTGTTTCCCCTTTTTTTTCTGGATATGATATATATATATATATATATTTAGGGCCTTTTCTGGGAGACCCACTAAATTGGTGGTTATGCTGTTGGTTTCCTTTGTTTGCCACCGAAATGGTCCAAACCCAAAAAAAATGCTGAAAGTGCATTTTTTCACCAAATGGGCCAGCCACTTCCCCACGCCTCCGCCACCGTCACCGTGGGGCTCTGCAGATCCGCGCGCAGCGCGGTGTGCAGCACGGCTCGGCGCTGCGGCAGGGTGCCCTTGCTGCAGGTCACCCCGTTCTCCTCGGCAACGGAAGGCTTATCCCCGGGGCTTACACACGTCTTGGCGCGCCTTCCTTTGTGTGAGGTGCTTTTCCCGTTTTTTTCCGCGTGGTTTGTTCAAGCGGCCGTCTCTTTGCCAGTTGTTTTGTAAGGAGGATTGACTTAACATGTTCTTCTTTTGAGCTGGAGTTCATTGCAATGCATTATGCCAGCGGTGGCAACTGATGAGAAACCAACACATTTGAAGAAGTTCCGGAAAAAGAAAGGCCAGTCTACAGACCTCGCACCACCCCAAACACCTGCACACATAATTTGACTTTAGCCCCCAAGGCCCACACCCCAGCATAATATTCACATGCCTTTGTATTTGAAACACACACGGATTTGAGGCCCAGTTAGAACCCCTCTTCGGCTGTAGCCGAGCTCTCGACCCCCCCAAGAAAAACAACAACTGGAGCCATCTGATGGCATCGCGACATGCTTCACCCCCTGGTTTGGATTGAAGGCTTGGAGGGTTGGGTGTCGGAAACCCCATCACTCCACAAGAACCAGGGCTTCAAATCCCACGTATCCGAGCCACCGAGTCAGGCTCCACCCATAGCTTTGAGCTGTTCGGAACCCCAAAAACCAAAGGGGTCCACTTCCCCAAGAAATTCCTCCTCCAACTCCGGCGGGATGAAGTGGGTTCGTGAAAGGATCGACGGTTGATACTCCCCTCTTGGGTTTAAAGGGAATCTGACACTAAACATATGGCTGTGGCTCCAAATCATGTACCTAAATTGCACCTTTCTTAAATGGAACCAAAGACGAACAGCTGCGTAACCATACCTCTTAAACAAATTGAGCCACGCCCAAATTTCCCCCGAGCTTTTCCAGGGGTCTTGGTGCAACAAGGACAGCCACACCGCCGCGGCGCGAAGCTCTGCATGTTCTCGTTGGTTTGGCTGTAGCTGCCGATGAGGAAGTAGTTGGAGGACGCGGCGTCCGGGAAGTTCAGAGCGTTGCAAGCGGAGGAGGAGGACAAGATGTCTTCCTAGGTCGATGGGAATGACCCGTATGGGCCTGTCATCTTTCTGAGGGGACCCTTTCTGGATTGTTTGAGATAGGAAACCAAAGGGTAACCACCTGCTTGCGGGGCACGAGAAGATTCACAACCATGGATTTAGAGACACAATCCGATAGTCACTCGTCGGCACCAGACTCTTTGGGGGACCTTTATGGTCACACCCACCCACCCAAGGGAGAAAGACTAGACTAGATGGAGGTGTCTTCCTAACAGGCGGCTTAGTCTGCGACGAATGCCAAAGTCCTATGACGATTTGCCCATAGGGCAATTGTGGCATGGGGTTCAGACTAACATAGTCACATCAATGAAGGTATCTTCGTGTCGGTGGTGCTTCCATTCCACCCAGTTTTTGTTCTTTTTAAACAGCTCTCGAATATGTTTAAACGCCGCTTATTCTGTTGGTCCCCTTTTTCTTCCAGACCGGATTTTTCCAGAGTCACACCCTTTGATGCACCATGGTCAAACACAGCCAGGGAAGACTAAGCACCACCTGTTCGGGGCAAGCCGAATTTATCAAACTACAAATGCCAAACACTGCAATTCCAATGGTTTTGTCCCGTTTCTGACCGTCGTCCTGTAGATCGGTTTAAAACTTCGGTCTAAACGCCTCCTGTAACACGGACTTTTCCTGACACCTTTGGTTGATTCCCCCCAAACAATTCAAACAGCACCCCTGCCTTTTTTCTGAAAGGCGGACTTGTCCCCGCCAAGTGACATATAGGCCCAGTTTTTCTGATAACTATGGTGGATTTTCCCATAAGTCTGATTGTGTTGACCATAAAAACCATTGGTGCACCGTTGTGGTCAAACAAATCCCAAAGGAAGGAAGATGAACACCTGCAATGTTAGCTTCAGCTTAATCTGAATCTAGCATTCACAGGGGTGCTTTCATCAGATCATCAGAAGCGTGGGCTGATCAAAATGGCACATGGAGTGTTGGTCAATCCCAATTCATCCCGTTATTGGAGAACGACTACAAAGGGGCCCGCTTTCGCAACCCAAACCAAGGATTCAGGACTGCCTTTGACGAGCCCAGTTTGAGGGATGCTGTTTGGATGGTTTCAGGAGCCAAAGGACCCATCGGCTTCCAAGGCCCGGCCTCAATGTCTTGTCCAACAGTCACTCGGTAGCAATAGCGCGTGGTCTCGTTGTAGACGTAGAAAATCCTCTGCCACGGAATAACAAATGGTTTGGCAGGCGCTTGCGCCCGGGCCCCAAAAAGGTAAGGATCGGGAGTCGGGATCGGAACATTCGCCAGCGCACTCAAAAAGGCAAGATCCACTGTAAATCCGAAGTATTCGGCACAAATCAGAACAATTCACAACGAGAATCCCCATGTGAGTAACCATCACCAAGGATACTTAAGACCCTACTATCCCGGTAAGGCCTTGCTTGGCCGTATTCAAGCCTTGATTGGCCTTCTTTTCTCCCCAGGCTTCTTGACCCCTAGGGTCCTGTTCAAAGTCTGGGGCGCGTTTTTTTTGAGCCTCTCCCCGTTCTTCCCAACAGCTATGTTTAGGATCTGTCCAACAAGAGTAGGGTGACAAGACACGAACCTTTCCCCGAATCAGCCCAGTGCTTCCATTTACCACTATAGTAGGAGAAGCCACCGCTTGATGTGTGTGTGAGCGCGTTTTGTTTGAGGCTTGGTTCCCTTTGGGTTGGCTTGAAGGGAAACCGCCAAAAAGACTTTGGGGGCTGCGATTCCTATTTCAAGAGAGACTCAAATGTCTTGCCTCAGATAACTCAGAACCTTGAGGTGGACACTCGGCTTCCCGACGCAAACTTGGGGAAGAGCATGCACACCCTGATTTTATATTTGGTGTTCCTGAAGACAGGATAAGGAACCCAAAAGCACTGGGAAGTAAGATGAAGATCCCCCTGGCTTCTTCGTGAGTGTTCCACACAGGGGATCTTTCGGGGAAGCAAGCCCCTATAAGATTTACCCGGGCTTGACATGAGACTTGGCTTGCTTCTGCCCCTTCCATTTAAACGCCGGTCAGCCCAACAAAAAAACCTTAAGGTATTGCACGCGTGCAGTTTTGTTGCCTACCTCCCTGAGTCGGATGGCACCTTTCTCTCCCGCAACAACAAACAGAAACTCTACTTCCGGGGGTCCCTTCTTCATTCTCCAGGTGAGTCACAATCAAAACCCGGTAAGAATGGTCTACCCAGAACCATATAAGGAATTAAGAAGGCGGCGTCAACTATTTTTGGCTGGGACTGCCCCTGACAAACCTTCATGTAGCCGGGTTTTGATTGTGACTCAGGTGAATTATGCCACCCAAGACCACACTGCCAATCGACCAGCTCCAAATCCACTTCCTCCCACTGTGAGGCACTCGAGCCTGCCATTTCATTGGCGTACGCAACATATCCCGTAGTTCTAGGGGTTGATGGTTTTCTGGAAAGAAGGATCCCTGGAATGGGGAAGTGTCCCCTAGAATAGTTGCTGTTCATGGCCAGTGCCCCTCAAAACCCAAAGGCAAGACTCAAAAGTCCCCCCGACCCATACTCCCTTCCTGAGTGGACTGGCCAAAGAAAACGTAAACTTTTGCTTTGCCACTCAAACTGTGTGCCAAAAAGTTTACAGTCCATGGCCTCTGCTCCCGCCCCAAACAAAAGAACAAACAACAAGTTTCACCCTGCCCCCCCAAAAAAGAACAGAACAAATAACAAAAACATGAAACAGTCGACCCACATCTCTGCAGCTTCAGGCTCTGGCCGTTGTAGCTGTCGAGGTCCACTACCGCCGACACGTCACTCGTGGTGCTCGGAGACACGAAGATGTCCGCCATCTCCGCCACGCCGCTGCCCGGCAGACCCGCCAGCCAAATGCCCTGCCTGGGTGTGGGGTCCCTACGAAAACTGGAAACAACTAGGTCCTCCAGTAGAGAGGTTAGATAAGGGTACCCTTTTTGCTGTAGTCTATTTTAGTAGCGGAGCCCTCCCCCAAAAAAGGGGTAAAAGGGCGTCATGTTAGTGCTACTGCGCGCCCGACCAAACGTAAGCCACATAAGTCTTGAATACATGCGCGATCCAATAGCATGTCTTGGTCCTGCACCGATGTAGAAACCGTCACTCACACAAGCGATCGAAAAGATGTCAGATGTCCATGAACAACTTGAAAGTATGTGGCGTAAACCAGTACCATCATGCATAAAATCCAGTAAACTCCAGCAGCAAGCAAACGCTACTGTTCAATCGCACGTGCCCATGGGCGTAAACTTGGGGAGTGCGCCAAACGCACGAGAAGGTGCATCCCATGTGCCACGGTGCCGCCAGACACAGCAAAGAAAACAAAGCCGTTGAGCATGGTGCGCGTAAACTGCCCGCTGTGTGCCGTGCCAGCTTTCCTAGCTTGATCGGAAAGTTGGCAGATCTAGAGCAAGCCCAGCTGTGAAGCCTGAGGAAAAGTGGGGCTTGTGGGTCAGAAGGGTGCCAGAACATGCTCCCACCGCGGCTGGCCTATTGGCAGAGACATAGAACTCTACTCCGCCTGCTTTGAACCCATACCAAAAAGGAGGAAGCCCACCATAAGCGTCGCGTGTGTGTGCACATCATACTTGTCAATGGGTAATGATTGGACGGGCGCCTGGGTCAAAGCAAAGCAGTAAGACAGTAAGACTCTTCTTGCATCCAAGTGAAGCAATGAAAAGTGTTGAAACCCGCAGCAAGTGGCTTCATTTGCAGCTCATGTCCAGTTGTTGTGGGTCCCGCGACTAATTCATGATGATAGTCGAAATTGTTCCATTGATGGGCGTCACTGCCTCCATAGTTGTTTTCACCATCATCACCACTGTCACCGTGAGAAAAATCCCCAGGAGGGGACGGGCCATGGCTTAGCAAAGCCAATGCTTGGTCAGGTGATGGCACAAATGGCGTGATACGTTTCTCAAAATCGCCCCAAAGTGCAGTGGTGGCAAAATGCCAGAATGTCGGGGCAGCTGAACGAGGCTTCCCGTTAGCGAAAGGCAGCAACCCATGGCGCACGTCGATGGGCTGTGTTGGTTTGGCAGGACCAATTTCGCGCACAATGGCAGCTGCCGAAACCAGCGTAGCAAAGCTCAAAACTCGCGTGGCACGACGCGGCTCTGAACCATTTTGGCTGGTGCGTGAGGGGTTAGCGTCGAGCTCCACAACCTCACCTGGGCGGGGATTCCCGGATGCGTGAAGAGGATCCGAGGAAGCGTACCTCGATACACCTGAGCGATTGCGCGGCAGACTCCTCTGTTTGCTGAGCACAGACGCCCTCACAGCTTGAGCCAAAATGGCTACGGGTCTGGAAAGATCAGAAAACATATCCATTCGGTTTCCTTTGCTATCGAAATACTAATTTGGTACCCACTGATTCAGAATCGCTCCTGAAACTTGAAACTGGTCTCATGATTATCTCGTGATCTAAGTCACTCAAGTGGGTGAAAGGGTCCAGCTGAATGTGTACCCCAACCTAAATCGGGATGTGCCGAATTGAGGAGTGGTATCCTCCAAGTGGGCTTCACTTTGGTGCACGGAGCAAGGCCAACAACCAAACCAATTCATCATGGCGGGCAGACCAGGCAGCGTTTAAACCTCACCAGTACTCTCCAACTGCTTTTTCCCAGGTCCAACAGTTCAAAATCCGAAGTACTGCCCAAAAAGCAGTGCTTGGGGGGATACAGAAGCATGTGTTTCCCGTTTTCCTTTCAAACCCATCCCCAAAAAAAAAACGCCCACTTGCCACCGAGGCGCAGCAGCTGCGTGCGCTCCAGGCTCATCCGCCACCAGGGCTTCGGGTCACTGCTCAAGTCCATGCCCCCCGTCTCCATGCAGGTGGTCCTCACGGCGTTTTTTTTTTGGGGGGGTGGCAACGGGTTTTTCGGTGGCCCTCGGTTGCTTACTGAGGAGGGACGGGGGGGGAGGGGGAGGGCTTTTTAAAAGGGTTGGTGGCCCTAGCGGCCCGGTGGCCCCCCGGTGGCCTGGTGGGTTGGTTGGTGACGTTTGGGGGGGTTTGGGGGTCAGAAAAAGGGTTGGGGGATCTTGAAACGGAGCGAAGCTCTCCCAGTGCGCTTGGTGAGGCACGCCATACCCATGGCGAGGCACTTGCCACCATTGGGAGGCAACCAGAAATCCTTACCTCCAAAGGGTTGGGGGTTTGGGGGTTTGGCCTTGTGGGTTGGCTACGAGGTTTGGGTTTTTTTTCAATGGTTGGCGACTCGAACTCCGAAGCCGGGGGTTTGGGGGTGAAAGGACCTGGGGCCCCAAGGGCCTCCGCTTTGGTGGGGTTCTGACGTAGATGTTTTTGACCTTGGACCCGAAATGGGACATGAACCCCTAGTGGTTGGAGTTTCCTTTTTGGTTTCCTCGTTCAAGTATCCCAAAAGGGGAGCCCTATTTCCAGAAACACCCACATCACCATTGGGGGAGTCACGTCCAACCACTTGTAGTGGTTCCGACTCTCGAAATGCATGGTCGCATACCTATTTGGGGTGTCTTCCAAAGGGGAACAACCGATTGTTCGGAATCGCTCTGAAACAAGCCCATATTGTGTCAAATATGGATTTAGACGTCGGTAACATGCCAATTCAATTTGTCGGTGACTTTGAAACTAAACTAAGTCATGCCTGCAAGACAATCATGCGTGCCATTCGTTGCCCCTTGTATCACCCTCCCCAAGTTGCCATGGAACCACCAGAATGTCCCAGGAGAATGTGCAAAGGGGCCAAAGCCAGTGAGTTCCACGATACCTGGGCTTCAAAAAAGGGCCTCCCAGTTGCAATCAGTGAAATAGGACTGGAACCCGCTTCTTGCGTGTGCTTAGGGTATTTGAAAGAATCCTCCTCAACCCCCCCCACCAGTACTGAGTTCTTGAAGGAAGGCTCATTCCCATTTGCGAAAAGCAAAAGCTTTCAAACAAAGACAGGCTTTTTCGGAGCCCTCTGGTTGTCGTGTGACATTTTCGCCCCTCGCAAATGGACCATAAGCCGGATACCTTGCCTCGCATAGCCAAGGCGCTCATCCGTGTCCGCCATGTACCTCAATCGTGTCGAGCTATCAGCACGTCGTGGCTTAAACACGAATGCCGCAAGGTGTCTTTTAAAAGGGGGGACCCACATAATTGTGATTCTCCTTTGGCATTCCTTTTTGGACACAAAAACTGGGTACCCTCAAAGACAGACACACCCATGTTGCCTTTGGGACCCAGAAAAAGGTTGGAGGCCAAGAGAAACTATAAAAAGGGGAGCCATTATGTTTGCGGTTGTGTCAGCTTCCCTCCAATTGGTTTGCACTGGTCATGGGGTAGCTTCCCATTTGCCCTCAAGGACGGAGCTTCAATTTTCGAGCCAATCCAACAAGAGCCACTGGATTTCGCTGCCCTCCCGTCCACTAACATGGCACCTGGAGGGAACCTGGAAGATCACTTTCCTCTTGTAGGGACCCCCTGTCAGGTGCCATAGTGGGAGGGACGGTAAAGGATACGCTTTACTACTGGGCTCCAAAGACGATGCCACTTTGGCAGGTGCAAATAAAAAAAAGTTGAGGGATCCCTGATCAACTAAAGGGCAACTCGACAATGGGAGGATAACAAACAACCATGTTGAGGCGCTTGACGTTTACCATGAGCGGACCAATCTCAAAATGGGTCCACATGAATCATGGGCCGTGTTGGCCTTTGGCAACTCGTTTCGGTGTCAGGCGGTGCTGCCCTTTAAGGTGGCGGCGTTTCGGATCTTTGGTTTGCCCTCTTCAAATTTCAACCGGGGGGAAACCCGGAACCCTACGGAGCACATCGCACATACACCCGGCCAAAAACCCTTCGAGATCTTTGGGGGTCCACTCCTAATTCCTAGGTCCTCCAGTAGAGAGGCTAGAATAAGGGTACCTTTTTTTTCCTGTAATCTATTTTAGGGCAGCCCTCCCAACCAAAAAAGTGGGTGGAGAGAGCGGGCACCTAGCTGGGGGACTGGAGGTTTCCAGCCATTTTAACTTGAGGCTTCCTGCCATTTTGCCTGGCGCCGGGCCCTCGCTTCTCTCCGCTTCCCGCTTCCCGCCGAGGGGCCACATGGTGGCCTCCGAGTTGCCCCCGTCGAAGACCGAGCTTTGCCTCTGCCCCAGGACCAGAAACCTTCATTTGCTGAAGTCCCCTTGGACAAAGAAGACATATTTCCAGTAGTGATAGATTCCCTTTAAAACCAACAGGGGAAAAACATATTCTGAACCAAATGGAAGGAAATACAAAGAGATTACCTCGTGGGGCCAGTGAACCGATTGCCCGAAAGGGGAAACCAACAGCTCAGATCAGGTGGATTCTGTTTGGTTGCAAGTGATATGAATTTCTAAGAAATCGTACAATCTGAAAAAATGAAAACGGTTTGCTGACCCCAAATTTGCTCCAAAGCCAAGCCATAAGTGAGTTGCCAGTTCCGCAGGTTGTCCACTTTGCTGCGGAGCTGGCGATGGCACCCGGTGAATGGCACACCTCGGGGTGTAGCGAAGCGAAGCGACGCGAAGCGAAGCACAAAGAGCGCGTGGAGGGCGGCCGAAATCAGATGAGACTCCGGCAAGGTCAAGAACGGTGGCTACTTCAACCCCCATGGTTGTACTGGTAGTTGAAGTCTTAGGGCATGAGCAACAATCAGTCTACATACTCAACCAATAGGCACAGTTGGCACACATTTGGAGATTTCAACCAGCAAATGTGCGGGTCACGGCATGAGAAAGGGCAAGCGTTGCAATACAGACCCGATGGTTGGATGGTTTGGCAGGAATCTCGTATATAGGCTTCCAGGACCAGTTAGCGGTTGACTGGGCAAAACTAGAAGGCAAACGAGGCTCAGCAGGATGGATGGCGAAACATCTAACGAGTTGGCCCAAGTTCTATTTTTTTTGTTTGCCACCAAAAGCCGCCTTCCCAAACAACTCGCATCCAGTTCAGGAACTCGGGAAGTGAGAAGTTCAAGAGGTTTCAGGGTCTGGGAGCCCCCCTAAGCCGTTGGTCCAGGTTTGGTGAAGCCGCTGGTCCAGGTTTGTTGCAGCTGGAGCGCGCAGACCGGACACGATCGTGTCATTCTGATCCTCCGCTGCCAAGGTCAGGTGGTACTCCAGCTCCTGAGAGGCTTCGAGCCCCATCGGGAAAAAAGCCGCAACCGATTCGCTATAGGACAGTTTCAAGGCTCAGGCATGGCAGAATGGACCTGCACACATCCGCAAACTCCTAACTGGCTTGCTTCCCATTATGATCTTACAAGCACCCTAAAACCATTCAAGCCGACTAGATAGCTAGATCTCGAAAGACTCCCATGACCCGCCTGTCCGCTTCCCTCCCTCTGTCGGAGCCCAGGAACTGGCTGGGTGTAAGCTGAGTCTCATAAGACATGTCCCCTTGGAAAGCCTCAGATGGCCAGGGGCCATACTTGAGTCACAATCAAAACGTGGTAGCATGGTTGACCCAGAATTTTATGGCTGGGACTATCCCTTAAGCTTCATCTACCCGAATCGGTTTTGAGCACGTGGCTCTACAGAGAATCCACCCGAAACTCGCAGAAGACGAAACAAGAAATGGATCTCCAAGTACAAGACCTACGTCCAGTTGAGCTCATTTGTTCGGTCCAAATCGGTGAGCTCGCCATAGAGTAGGCAGAACAACCACGGAACCAAACCCTGGAAACTTGAGCAATATGGGGATGGCTCAAAATTTATGCCCATGTTTTTCTTTGCCAGGGTAACTCATGTTTATCTAGATGTCCATTTGCCAGGGGGGGACCCATTTGCCAAATGTCCCATTCGCCAGATATGTGTCCATTTGCCTATTTTTGACCCACTTCAATAATGGGCAGCTATTTTGGGGCAACTATTTTGGAGCAGCTCTCCATGTTTCCATTTTTGGGGGCAGCTATTTTCGACCCGCCGCAATATCGGTCAACCTCCGCGTGAGTTTTCTTTCCCTTTCCGCGCCTCTCCGCAGAGGCGCACGTGCGCAGAGATCTGCAAGTCAGCGGCCGTGTTCATGCCTCGCCTGTAGACCTAAGCCATTGACAGGGGGGGTGGGACTTGCTGACCTCGGTGCTATATATATATATATATTCATATGTATATATATATATATGTATACATATGCATATGTGTGTGTGCACAATCAAAGATCAGCACCGCATAACAATAAGTATTCAAACAACACATGAGATGTCGCTTTTGGAAGTACACCTTCTTTGGCGGTTTTTAAGGGACGGACCAAAGGACGAGCCGCCCATATAAACACACATGCACTGTGGACCTAACCCTGAAACAACAATCGCGATTTTTTGTGGGTTGCAACATGCTTGTCTGTGGCTTCCTGTCAGTTTCCTGTTCATGCGGGTCTACTCAATTGAACTGAAGGTGGGTACACTTGACACAACAGCACCATTTAGTGTGCCCCTTAAAACATGTCGGTTGTTGGTTCCCTCGACAAGTCGAAAAGGGTCAATGTACGGCCCAAAATGAGGAAACAAGGAGTCCGGGATGCAAGGAGTCGGGATGCTTGAAACCAAGTTCAGTCATCATTCTAGGGGTAAACAACTCGCAATTACCATAAAAATGCTTTGAATACTATCCCCTTATTATGTATTATCCCCTTATTATTTTTAATCCCCTTATAATTATCCTCTTATGATTATCCCCATGTCATTTTCCGTCTTAACTTATCCCCTTGGACACACGTTGGCACCTTCTCTGGGGCCCCCGGCTGCCACGTTGTACCTGCCAGGCGTGGCCAGCACAAACTGCGCGCCCAGCACCGGGGTGGTGCATCCGTCTCCTTGGTCCAATCGAATTTGGAACCCGAAGTAAACCGATCCGGAACTGATCGGAAGACAAGTTGTCTAATCGGAAGACATACCGCATCCCAACCAAATCCAAGTATTCTGAAAAAGATGGGGTCCCATTCTCACATCCATCCAAAACTGGTGTCCCGTAAGGATCCGAAGCATTCCAAAGAAATTCCCCATCCCAACCTCCCAAACAGATTCCCACAAACCTGTTTGACGTCCGGTAAGGGTGAGGAGTTTGCCGGTAAGTAGGGATTGAGGGTGAACCCACACCTTGGTTGCTGTTGACCCCTCTGCAAAAAGCTTAACTTTTTATGGGTTCACTGCAAAACCTTTCCCAACAACTTAAAATCTAAAGATCCAACCCAGTAGCAATCAAGACACAATGGCTCTTTTCCTTGTGAGTTCCGTTCAATTTGACCTGGGTTCCTTGTGGGTTCCTTGTGGGTTTCGACCTTGCCATTTGGCTGGCTCGTCCTTTCGGGGGATGAAGCCAGGGGTCCGTAAGGGAAGCAAACAGTTGAGACCTGCTTTTGGCCCATCAACTCACGTGAGGTTTTCTCGGGTTTAACATGACCGGCTGGAAAATGGTCTTCCGGTCCAGGACTGCTTTGGTTTCATGTTTGTGAGAAAAGAATCCTCCATTTGCTTAAGACCCTTGGAAGAGAAACCCAATTCAAACATGATTCCGACCTTGAACATCAACAAGTCCTACATCTTAAGCAAATGGAAGGAATGGGTCCCATCCGAAGAAATACCGCATCCCATCCAAGTATTCTGAAAAAGGTGAGGTCCCGTCCAAATATCCATCCACAAATGGCGTTCCCACAGGATCCGAATCATGGTGGCCCATCAAAAAAAACATGTCCCAATATCCCAAACATATTCCAACAAATCCGGTCGACGTCCGGTAAGGGCGAGTGGGCAAGCAAGCCTTGAATCTTGCTCTTCGCTGGATTCACCAGTCGCGAACCAAAAAGAACGTGTCCTGCCTATAGAAAGGATGTCCTCAAAATGTCCGAAAAAGAAGTGGCCCCAAATGTCCGGAAAAAGGTGTCCCAAACATTCCTCCCAAGATGAGCCACCAAACAGGCAGTTTCTAGGAACGACTCAAGTCTATTTTAAAGGTGTGTTTGGGGTGGTGTGTTTGGGGGTTAGCAATTTCTACCAAGCAAAAAGGTCCACATCCCGAGGATGAGCTCCAAAAGAAGCTGACAGGAGAGGGTTTTGGAAGACTTTCCTTTTGAACCGGCAGTTCCACGAGTCTGGGAAAGAGGGTCCCCCGAGTCTAGGAGATTCACATGGCTTGGGGATTCCGTTCAAAGGAATTTCTCAGCGAATCAAGGTTGCTCCAACGATGGGCAAGGAACAAATTTGGGTCCCGAGCAATTGAAGGGAAACCAAAGGTAACCAAAACAAGTTGTTTCCTTGGGTTTTGGTCGTCGAAAGCTTCTCAACAACGATGACGTTTTGGTTGATGAATGAAACCATCCATCATCCACACGCAGTCTGCACGTGCGACAAAGGAATCTTCATCAACCGGTTCCGTAGATGAAGGTTCGTGCAGATTCTCTCGGCCATAAATCAGTTGGTTTTCCCTTTGAAACCAACACGGAAGGGGTACCCTCAAAAACTGTCAATGGCCTGGCAATATACAGCTGCGCGCTTGGTCACTCACTCAGGATTCCGAGAAAAAACAAAAAGATCACCAAAGGAATCCTCACGAATCAACATGGCGACCAACCTTGCTACCCCACCAAAGGACACTCATTCAGTACCCCTTTCTTCGTGGTTTGAAGGGGAACCAGAAGGAAAACCTCCATTGTTCCCGTTCCGTTGTCCGCCCATCCTATCGAGGGGCCGGGGTAGCAGGCCACCACGTAGCTCCCGAAGTCCGTGACGCGGATCTCCGCCTCGGTGAGGTTCAAATCGTCGTACATCGAGCCTGCGCGATCGAAAAGGTGGAGTTGGGGCGGTCTTTTTTTTAGAAGTTTAGGAGTTTAGGAGGCCCCCCAAGACGGACAAACGGTTTTGCTTTTGGTTTCCAAAGGATATGTTTACCACAAAATGGGGTACCAAACGCACTGTGGATTTGGGGCGGTCATTTTCATAGAATCTTAGGAGGCCCCCCAAGACGGACAAACGGTTTTCCTTTTGGTTCCCAAAGGATATATGTTTACCACACAATGGGGTATCAAATCAAAAAAAGAGAGACCGATGTACGTGCTAAGGACCCCGGTGGGCAATTTCTCTAGCGTTTGACTCTCCTGATTAAATTACATGAAACCCACAACCAGCCCACTGAAGGAAGCTCCTCTTCTTTAAGTTCAATCGAATAATTTGCAAACACAACACCTGTGCAACAAGCATCTAGGTTGTGGGCATAGATGCCCAGGTATCGTTCACGTCCACCAAAGGATAAAAACAACAAGTCGACATTTATGCCCATGAGAATGTCTTCCAAGATGCTGGTTTCCCAACAAAAGCCATCCAAAGGGGATCCCTTTGCATTTGACCACTTGTACCCTCTTTCCCAAGGTTTAGGTTGTTCAGAATTGGGGGTACCCAATTTTTTGGAGCTGGTACCCAATGTTTGGTGGTGCTAAAGGGAAACCAAAAGGAAACCACTATTTTCGAGGGTCCCCTTAAAAAGGACGCCAAATCTGAGTCACTCCAATCTTGGTAAGGTGGTCCAAAATAGTCAAGAACTTGATTCGGGCGACTGAACCTCTCGCCATTTGCGGGTTCATTCTTTGGGGCAGCCCTTGTTTGCGGTGTTAAAGGGAAACCAAAAGCTAGGCTGGAATTAGAACCCCAGCAAAAAAGTATCTTTTTGCCTGGTTAGTGGAAAACAAAGACACCCCAAAAAAGCAACAAAGCAAAAAGGGGGAGCTAATTCTGGGAAGAAAGGACACAACCAATTTTGGGATCCCCTACAAACAGACACCCGCATTTAGCACCTCTCCCCCACCCTCCTGGGCCGATCACCGACAGGTCCAAATCATCCACGTTGCCTGCGCAGGCCCACGGTGATACCCAAGTGGTTTCAACGGGTTTCCCGTACAGAACGTGGCAACTTAAAGCCCAGTTGGCCATGAAAAGTGGAGCTCTCAAACAACAACTTCCCAAGTGTGTTAGTACATCAGCAACACATATTATGGGTTGCATTTATTTGTTCGAAGCTCTATGCCATCAGTTTCCGGAGCAAACATAATTCCCTGTCGGACATGCTCAACATCTCAAATGTTTGGGTGTTGCCCAAAAACACGGAACTGCAAACTGCAAGCTGCAAGCGGGTGTTTGGGTTTCCCCTGAACCATCCACGGAACCGTGGTTTTGTTGGCACACCCCCCATTGTCCACCTCAAGTTTCAGCAAGAGTGTCCAGGGTGGATTTTGGTCACATGTGGGTTTGCTCTACAAGGAAAGCAAAAAGGACACCAAAGTCCATGGTGCAGGACGGGGGTCGCTAGTTGGAGACAAGCCAAATGAAGCAACTTGTTTCTCCATGTCCCGCTGGTGGTTTGAGCATTGAAGGGGCCTCCCCACTCCAAACCCAAATTCAACTCCACTTGCCATGCGCTATCCCTAAGCTGAACTTAGGTCCTTTCAAAACCTGCCCCGTAAGCCCGAGGGGTGTTGATCAATGCTCGAAAAGAGCATGGTCCAAGCCCTGAAGCCTGTGCTTTCAGGGCCCTCAGGTTTTGGAAGCCCCTTTTTGGGGTCCCATTGCATGGAACCAGCTCCAACTGAAAATACGGCTTCCCTGTTGTTGACAAATAAATACATGAACAAAAAACAAATAGTCGAACAACAAAAAATATATCATACACATACATAGGTATGGTCTCCCTTCCGTCGCCTTCCCACCGTATGGCCACTGCCAGGTCCCCCTGCAACAGGAAGCCACGGGACCTGCAAGCATGTCGGGTCGGGCCAGGAGTGACACAGAACCGCTGGATGTCAGCCTTTGAGCAGTTAAAAAGGGGGTTTAACTGGGAATCTCTTTATGATCCCCTTTGATGCATCATCGTCATCATCATCAGTTTCTTGGATGCTGGGGGTCAAAGACTTCTGTCCATCAACATCATTCAGTGTTTAATCTCATTCTGATCCCTCAATTGTTTAGCTAGGGGTTTAAACTGGAAGTCAACGGGTCTTTGATGTGACTTGATCAAAGCCCAAGCTGGAAATATCAAAATTCTCCAAGACCCTCGCGGGTGAGATCTCTTGGGTGAGCTCGCTAGAATCTGCAACTCCCCCCCCCACTTTTGGGCGATGTCCAGCCCTCCCCCCTGAATTGCTTTAAACCACCCAAAAGGAGACATATTATAAGCACACATGCTTAGTACCCGCCCTTAGTTGACACCTTTGGGCTTGCGAAAGCTCATGTCCGATTCTATTTGCTTCGGCTCCGCTGTCCGAGGCCAAACAAAAACAAGAAAAACAAGTTGTTGGGGTCCAGCTTTGGAACGCTCCTCTGGGCACTTCATTTGCTTGGACACCGGACCTTTCGGACATCGGACCATCACAAAAACGCTTGACACCAAGTATGAGTATGAGTTGGACCCGAAAAACGTTAGACTGCTTTTGAAGAGGAACCCGGGAAGATCATTCTTTGCGGTGGTGAACGCGCCCTTTTGGGTTGGGAAGATTGACAAGATAAAACCGACATCCACTTGGGCGACCAAACATTTGTCCAACAAGGTGGTCGGAAATTAGGCACAATACACGCACAAACGAACAAAGGGTACCTACCTATAGTACAAAGTAAGCAATCCCACCTGGGTGCATCTGTGAATGTGAATATCAAATAATTATATATATATATACATATGTTGCGTGAACAAGGCATCCCAGCGGTTGGTCAGCCGAATCTTCTTCGGGAGTCCACCAAGGGAGGGACTCTGATGGTGCCACTGGTCGTGCTCCCGGTGGGCTCTGCAAGAACCAGCGGCTCCCAATCCACCAACCAAGAGTTCTCTGATAAAAAATGGTGCGTCATTTTCTAGGGGACTCCCCCAAAATGGTGGTTTTCATGTTGATTTCCCTTTGAAAGCAACCACAAAGGGGGGGGCACCGTCGGGGGACCCTCAAAAAGGGACTGCGAAGTGGTCGCCCATAGTTCTGAAAAACGAGCGTCGGACGACCCATGGAAAAACGGAATCGGGAAGCACCACGACAGGAAGGGTCCAAGTGAAACATGCGGCACGAAATCCGGTGGCGTCCTTCAAAACCCTAGCCTCATGCGTGAGACAGTCTCTGGCTGGTGCAGCAAGTCGATGCCCACCCAAGCATCCTGCGCTTGGAATCGGTGAATCGGAACGGGGAAGGGCTCTTTTCGAGGTCTGATCGATTTTCCGACCAAGGACTCTTTGACTTTTCTATGAAAACTCTCTTTTTCCAGCAGCCCCCAAACCCAACCAACAATGTGGAACCAAGCGGGACGAGACACCAGCCCAAGAATGCAGAAAACATGCCACTGGGCAACTCCAAAACCATCCCAGTGACTCCGTTGTGTTATGGTATCCAAGGGATAAAACCCAAATGGAAAATGGATTCTCCTGCTTCTGAGGGTTAAAGTCAGACAATGGTTTCGTTGGTTTCCTGCAGGGGTGACTTTGATGGTATGGGGCAAGTCCGAAGGGTTATCCAATAGTATCTCGATCCGCACGTTACAACTATCGCTCCGCAAATGTTACTATAATTCAAAAAGCTGAATTAAGAATTGGATGGACCTTTTCATGGCTAGCGCTCGTTTTACCCCCGGATCGGTGGAACCGCTCGCGTCATGAAAGAGGCAGAATCGATCCGCAGCGCCTGCGCAGGCAGCGACCACTGGGCAATCTCGAAGGAGTCGATGAGGCGGTCACCATCGGTGTCCAGTCCGATCCTGAGCTGAAAGTTTCGGGATCGAGAGTAAACTCAAGTGAGGTCAAGAAACATGGTGCGACTGGAAACTCGGGATCCCTGTGTCGTTCAAGCCGCCAATCATGTTTCAGCCATGGTGTACAGAAACAACCGCCAATTTTACGGGACAAACCACCCCAAACCCTTTTAAGGAAGGAAAGCCCGCCATTTTCGGGGTGGGGGTGGGGGGTTGGGGGGGGGGGCTGTGGGCCTCCAAAACCTCCGCCTCCACCACCGCAACCCTCCGCCGAACTCTGCTCCGAGACACGTCTCGGGTGGAGCTCCCGGGTCGGAGCTCCAGCTGAACCTGCAGCTTCAGCCGGGCAAAAACGAACAAAAGAGGTCCAACGGAACGGGACTCGAAGGCACTGTTGGCTGGTGGCGTTGTGGGACTCTCTTTTCTTTTCTTTTCTTTTTATTTTATTTTTTTTTTTGGGGGGGTTAATAATATATTTATGTAATATATTGGGTGAAAAGAATGTCGGCTTTTTGAGGGGCTGTGCATTTGTCCACAACCAAAAAAGACACCGCTGAAGTAGCCGGAATAAAAAGGTATCCTGTTTTTGAATGAATTGACCCGGCGGATTTCCATGGAACAAAAGGGGCTCCTGTCTTTGGTTGAAGTTGAAGGGAGGGGGGGGGGGTCCTGGAAGAGATACAGGTTTATCCATCCGCTGTGGGTTTCCTTTTGGGCAGATTGAACAAGGGAAACATATAAATGTAAAATCATCCATACCCAGTTGGTGTCTTTTTAGGGGACTTTGCACACTCTTCGGACATCTGAATGAGCATTTTAGCGTGGAATCCTGCACTGGAGGTGTGTCTCAAAAGGAACCCCATTTGCTTGGCTTTCTCTTGGTTTCCATGTTCAATTTGGAACATACCCAAATTGAGGCAACCGATTCCTACATCTTCCAGGGTCCCCCTTTTGATCTTGAAGATGATTTCTCTGTAGAACTCAAGCATTCCAGATTCCAAGAGAAAAACACGTAGAAGGTAATCAAACTGCCATGGTTGAACGTCCACAAAGGGACACGTGTTTCAGAGGGTACACAATCCAAAAAAACACGGCCTGCCCATTTTCTGCAACCAACGCCTGTCATCTCGCAACTCGGTTATAAGCTTCTTACTTCTTACTAAGTAATTCTCAAACGCCCAAAGGACCCACAAACACAAGGTTAGCCTCTTGGGGCCGTGACTAATGATGGGCCAACTATGGATCATCTAAAGGTCAAAAGCTCGATTTGCTCTGGGCTAAGTGAGAGCTAGGAGACTCCAGGTCCAAATCCTTATTTTTTGGGCTCCAAATCCCGATTTTGGCACATGCCACAACCCTTGGACAACCTAAAGGGGACCCCTATTGTGACGAGCCCTCATGTTGACCCCACCCTCATACTCCCATCTGGGTGTTCCCTCTAAAGATGAATCCCCCCGATGAACATCAACCGGTTAAAGCCATCTTCTGGGGTTACGATTTACTTGAAACCCAAAACGAACCATCCGTTTCATAGGGTAAAGGGTAATGTTAACCCAAGGGTGATGCTAATCCGCGGTACCCACTAAGGTTTCAACAACTGGTAATTGCAGATGGTTCGCCCAATTTCGGTGCTTTCCAAGAAACCCATGGCTGACCCGTTCCAACCCTGGTCTTCTTTTCCAGGAAACCCATGGCCTACCTCCGGCCTGTTCCCTTCGAATCGACCTTCTCAACCAATGCTCAGATGCCCAGCGGCCATGGGAAAAAAAGAAAACTGGATCGGCCTTTTGTTGACCTGGCTGACTTTAAATTCGGAACCAAAAAAAAAAGAGGAACACGGGGCGGAATCCAGTGCTTCCCCCAAAAAAAAAGTCGGAGAAAAAGGGGGGGGACATCAAGCCACTGGGGATGGATCGGTCGGGTGGCTTCTGGAAGGTCTCGCCGGCCCAGCTCTGCAGCTGCAGCACCCGCAACAGCACCCGATCCGCGCAGGCCGGCTCCAGGTCCGTGTACCTCACCGGTGCCGGACACCCGCAAACGCCGGAGAAATTCCAAGGGAAACCCCATCCTGAAACTGAACCTCCCAGGGTTTTTTGGTGTTGAAACAGGGGGGGTTCCCCTCAAAACCACCAGAAAAGAAGACTATTTTTGAGGAAGCCGGAAAAGCCCAATGGGTTGGAAGGCCCTTTGAAATGCGAACCAAAACTCATACACACACACACACACACACCGGGGAAGAGATGTTCAAAACTCTCAAATGTACCGGCTTAGCCGGATAAGCCAAGTTGTTGGTGGTATGCAAGGCTCACCCATGACTCTGCCCATGCATCCAGTTGGGGTCTAAAGATGCGCGAGTGCAAAGCTGGGCCGCTCCAGTGCGAAACTTGAAGACAAAACCTCCGGGTCGGGGTCTGACGGGATTGGCGCATAAAGGTGATTTGTTTCGAGGGTCGAAGCTTCGGGGCCTCAAAGATGACTTCCTTCCGGATCCCTCTGGAAAACGCCAGGGAAAAACGGAGGCTCGGCTTGGGACACTCGGAAAATCAAGAATGCCCTTGCGAACGGCTCGCAACAGCAGGTTCAGGGTGCCGGTGGGGGAAGTCAAACAACAAGCCGACATAGGCCCGCCATTTGCCCCCCCGGAACAGGTCCAGGTTTTTGATTCTTCCTCAAGCCTCGTACCGTTTGTTGCATCACGGAATGCGGCCGAGCTGGTTGCCAGAGGGCTGAGTGTTGAAGCGAATTCGCCAGAAGCGGTGCTCGAAGTAGACCTCGTGCTCCTGGGGAGCCTTTCCCTCCTGGCCGGCCGCACGAATGTCACATTGAAAGGCACACCGAAAGAGCTGAAAAAACATATCTGCGTAGGTGTCCATAAAGAAGGATTCGTTTTGTTTTTGGTGTGAGTTTGAGGCTTTCTTTTTCCAACCAACCTGGGAAAATCAGAGACTAATCTCTGCTAATCAACCAAGGCAGCAAATGCACCTTTGTCATCTTGAGCCAAGCAATGGTAATCAGTATGAATTACATCCAAGTGGGAATGCATGGTGTACTTTCGCACGCCCCCTTGGATTAATGGAAAATGTGGAATTAATCCACACTCCACTAGCACAAATGCATTCCAAAGAATGCCAAGCTGCCTTGAAATCTTTTCTCTCTGCAAAATGTCTATGCAAAACGGGTGACCTAATCATCACCAAAAGAATTGCAATGCTGGGAAATGCACAAGGACAAGTGGTTGAATGTATTGTGGACTCGAATCACAGACAGAATGTGTTCCAAGAGTATCGCCTCCAGAATCACCAGAAAACGTCCTCTCAATGTATTGGTGTCATAGATGAATCCAAACCAAAAGTAAACTGTCATCTACAGTAATGTTGTAACTGTACCTCCACACAAATGCCGAAAACTGAATCACAAATGAAGTGGCAAATCGAACCAGGCAAAATCGCGATATCCAATGAACATAGAATCTCAATGCAAATCCAGTGTGGAATAAATGCATCCAAATCGGTGCCTGGCCAGAATCGAAATCCCAGCTCCACCAATGCTGAATCACAGCTTCGCTCTGTAATATGAATCTACCAGTGACTTGGGAATCTCCTGGTAGTCGCCCATGAATTTGTCCAATGAAGTCTTCCAGGTCTTGGGAATGAACATGTGGTAATCCCGGTACCAATGGGAATTGCTTTGCTGCAATGAATTGGCAGCGAGCATCAATTCCCCAATCTGGGCCTTGATATTGAATCCGGCCATGGAGCAAATCTCCTGCATGGGGTTGAATGGAATCAATCTCTCCACCCTTGGTGGGAATTGTAGCCACAAATGCCTCTCAAATGGAGTATAGGACATACTCCCAGCCGCAATGTTTGGAATGATCCTGATCAGGATCTGCGCACTCCAGGCATCGTCCGCGAATCGGTTCATGAAAATAAAATCCTGGAACCCAAATTGTTCCTGTTGCTGGCCGCTGAATAGAATCTGCCACAACATCGTGGCCGTAATGAATGCCTTGTATTCCGAAAAATTCGTGCGCTTGCTCCATCTTCAAATCTCTTGCGAGAATCCGGTGGAAATACTGTCGCGTCAAATTCCGGAATGCGGGCTGTCCATCGCATCGGTCGAAGTAAATGCACACCGAAATGTCAGTCAGAATGTTGAGCAAAACAAATGTTGCAGTCATGCATGAAATGGCTTCGAATTCACTCGTGGCAAAATGTCTTGACTACTGACTAAGTGAAACAGAATCATGTTGACTATCTACTACCTGAAGGGCAAATCCCTAATGTGATGTTATGCCTCTGCAAAATTGCCTTGGCAACATACTTGGTTAAAATGTCAGATGGGTTGAGGGTTCCCGGAATCTTCTTAATCACCAGGGTCCCAGAGGAAACCAGCTCCTGGACAAACAGAAATCGCAATTGGACATGTTTGGTTTTCCGGGATGCCCCAAATCTGACAGCCATGCTCTTGCCTGCAGTTGAATCGGTAAACAGAATGATGTTCACCTTGGGAGCCACAAGGGTTTCCAGAATCAAAGATTTAATGAATAGGGCCTCGGCCGCACCACTTCCAATAGCATAAAGTTCGGCTTCCCCACTTGACAAGGCAATGGTGGCCTGTGTTCTGCTGTGTGCTGAAATGTTGATGCCGAGAATGTTCAATGCTACTCCTGATGTGGACCTCCTGGAATCGGTGCAACCTGCCCAATCGCTGTCCACATAGACCTTTATGTCCAATGATTTCACCTGTCTTCCAATCCGGAAATCAGGTCTCATAACATGGACATAATCCTTGGTTCCACTCAGGTACCTCAACAATGTCTTCAACTTAATCTTGTGCACCTCAGTGGGAGCAACCAATCCTCGTGACAACTCCTTAACAGCATACATGATGTCAACACGCAATGCTGCAAGCCACAACAATTGTCCAACCAATCTCCTATACAATTTATGCTCTTGCGAATTCAACAATTCGTTGTCAAGCAACTTCCGCAATGAATCTCCTCCTGGCGTCTGAGCCGGCTTGCTCTTGGTCATGCCATAGGAATCCAGCATGCGGTCAATGTAATCAGGAGACATGAACAATTCCATGGAATCTGATGTTCGGCGAATCTGACGTCCCAAGAAGGAGACTGTCTTACCTTCACTCAATTCACCTGTCTGCCGAATCAGAAGCACCTTCTTCAAATCTTGCATCACCTCATCAATGTCACGTCGCTCACCTACAAACATCAAATCATCGACATAGACCAATGCCCACAATTTCTTGGTCTTGTGTCGGTACAAATTCGGATCTGACTTCAAACGCTCAAATCCCGCGTCAAGCATGGTCTTGGCTAAATGCTGTTGCCATGCCTTTGGCGAACCTTTCAGGCCATACAATGCCTTCTTCAATCGCCAAAGTACGCCCCCTTGAGGGTAGTACTCCTTTGGAGGAATGACAAAAATCTTCTGCCACAACGTCGCATGCAAGAATGCGGTGGACACGTCTGCAATCACAACATCCAAATTCATGGCAATGGACAACGCAATCAACAACTTCAATGTGGACAAGCTTGGGGTAGAAGCGAATGTGTCATCCTTATCTTCAATGTATTGGTCAAAGCCACGGGCTACCAATCTACACTTCACTTCTGCTCCTTTCCAAGACTTAACCCACTTCATTGAAATTGCTGAATCAACTTCTTCCTGCGTCAAATCCTCGGTTTTCTCTTCTACATACGAATCAAAGTCCTTCATGGAATTCATTTCCTTGTTCATTCCTGCCTCTTCCAAATCTCTGGGGAATTCAGACTCTCCCCACAGAATCGGATTGGCAAATTTCTTCATGTTCCCTAATTCTTCTTCATCCTGGTTTACATGAATGGGCAAGTCCAATGACTCACGCGTGGTGACTGTGGCAATCCTACAATCTTCAACCAATGTGCAACCAAACTCGCATGGCAGAATGGCAGAAATGTAGCTTACAGTAGAATCCGCTTCAGGAATCTCTGCCTGCTCACTGGTTCTCTTAATGCCTCTTGCCTCTGCCAATCTGCGCCTATTGGTTGGAGACTCCGAATGCTCTCCAGGTTCCCTGTCAATGTCCTCATGACCTCGCGTCAATCCTTGGGACAACTGGGCTGACGAATCCTCACCAGTTCCATCGTGATCTGGCTCCTCTGTTTGCTCGTCAGTTGGTGGAATCCCCAAAGGTGGCTGGGGTTCACCTTTCTGGAGCACAGCAGAATCACCCGGAAGGATGAACGAATCCGTTTCGACCTTGGATCCTTTTGGATCCCATGGCAATGCACGCAACCCTTGCATCAAATCTCGCTTGACTTGTGATCCCGGCTGAAGTCTCCGAATGCCTCGCACCTTGTACACAGCATTGGAATCCGCCACAAAATGCTGGTCGGATGTGGTGTCACGTCCAAGCCAAATGCCTGAATGCCACGATGGCTCAGACTTAGGCGCAGGCAATCGGAACTGCACAGACTCGGCAATTCGACACAATGCACCTCCATACTTCTTTCCCCATCGTCGTTCAAATGGAGTGAATCCATCAGACCGATGAAGAAACCTGTTTAGAAGCCACATGGAGTGCTTAACAATCCAAGGAAACAATGGCGAATGCACGCTAACCGACATGCCATACCTATGTTGAATGTCAAGCTTCAAAGCACGAATCTGAGCATACAATGTTGCTTGCATGTTGGAAATGGATCCCTGAGCTTGCTTCCAGCCAGTGGGAGCTTCACGGTATGACAATCCACCAATGTCACCCGTGACTGCCTCGACCAAGGCTTTTAATGAAGCTTCAGGGTCGCACTGAACAATCCCAAATGTCCTTCCAATCTCCAACACGAATTTCCTCAACTCTGCTTGCGCATACACAATGCGTCCTTTGGACGGAACAACGCACGCCAATCCCATTCCACTCAGTACATCAGTGGCCGTGAGCAATGTCACCTGTGTGTCACTTTGTGAATCACCCATAAAGGCGTAATCCACCTGAATCACAGGTTGCCGCACCGAAATGGCACGACTCTGGTTTTGCTTGCTCTTCGACCTGACGCAAATCTCACACCATGATCTGAATGGCAGATGAGTCAACTCATGTTCACGAATCTCATCGTCCGTCGGCTGTTTGGGAACGTACAATCCCTTTGGCCGTTGAGCCGACATTTCCGGAATGTCCGGGTTGCTCTCTTCCAAGAATTGCTGAGACTGCCGACGAAAAATCGTCGCGCCTTTGAATGGCTCAGGAAATTCCGTAGCAGCAGCCTCTGGGTCAGCCCAGTGGTCGTGAATCCACTGGAGTCTCCCGTTGAGGAACACAGCCAATGTGTGCCTCTCGTTCCCCAGCAATTCCTTGGAGGGAGCGGCCGAATCGGTCTCATCTGGCACATACAGACAATTCCTCCACTCATGGTGTATCCTAATGTCAAACTTGGGTGTGAGGTACCATTCATCATGTCCGAATGGTCCTCCTGTCTCCGGGTCACTCATGCACAATCGCCGTTCCACAATTTCCTTTGCTTCTTCCAATTCTCCCGTCGTCAGCTCCTTCACTGACCGGGAATAATCATCCTGGCCAATGTCAGCAGACGGTTGCGCTTTCAAATGAGGTTTCTTTGCTGGCACTGACGCTTCCTGAATGGGAGGTCTTGCAATTGTGGATTGCTTCCCCGTCAATCGTCTTGCCGTCGGCAAGGATTGCAACGGGAATTCTGTCCTTCCCATCCAGTACTGATCCAACGCCCGTTGCGGAGAATCTATCGTCCGCCAATTGTCGGCGATGGTCTCCTCACGTCCATCTTCGAATCGGACGTAAGTTGTGCGTCTGGACGCCACATCTTCCACAGGAATGGGCCTGTCCTTGGTGCCACCTGGCGTGAATAACGCACGCCTTGCGCGCTTGTGATGTCGAATCAGCACAGCGCGTTGCGGATCAAGTTCCCAACTGTCGTTGTGGTAAATGGTGGGCTTAAATGTGGGTGCTATGGTCCCTGAAGAATCTGAACCAAACTTGGAATGAAACTCTTGACACACTTCTTCAAATCGGGGTTTGTCAAATGGAAGAATGTTCGGACCTAGGAAAAGCAGTGAGCCTTTTCGGTGAATACTCACTACCTTACCATTGGGCATAAACAATCCCAATGAGTCTGGTCCATCCAATGCTACGCGGAATCCCTGCAGCAGCAATCGTGCAACCGACACAATCGGATAAGGCACGTCACAAACATAAAAATTCATGAAGCAATCTTGTCCATCCAAGTTCAAGCCAACCAATCTTCTCCCATACATGTTCAATGGCTGTCCTGTGACACTCTTCAATGGTGGGCCATTTCCATTTAATGGAAGCAATGGCCATTGTTCACCAAAGTCTGGCGGACAGCAATGGGCAGATGCTCCTGAATCAAATAGAATCCACGGGGTGGAATCCTCGACTGCTGAAATCAACTGTTCATGCAAGAATGTGTCAACAAACTTCGAATTCAAGTGATCCAAGCCGCAGTCCTTCAAGGTGGTCACGAAATGAAAAGAATCCTTCACTGGGGTTGGTTCATCATACCAATCTAACAAGTCTTGTCCGGGAACAGGGGCAATCAATCCGGCACTCAAACATGGCATGCTATCCAATCCAGTGTCCAAGCAATACATCGACTTAAACAATCTTTCATGCTCTCCAAATGTCATCCAACTTTCACCTTCACCCTCAGACGGACTGCCACGAGTGGCAGGAATCTGAAAGGATGATCCTGAGGTGACCGAATTCATGACAAGTGCAGCAATCAAGAATGATGAGGCCTTTGGCTTGGCCTTTGGCCGAATGGGAGTTGAGCCAATGTTTGGACTCAATCCCGGCGGCACCTGTGTCACTGCTCCAATGGTTCCTTGCTGTGAATCTCCTGCTGGGGGTGGTCCTGCCGATGAAAACGCGGCAGAATCGCATCCAGCAGGAGGCTCTGGAATCTGACTGTCCTGAAACCAATCCCAAGGGTGGTCCCAAGAGTTCACAGAATCCCATGATCCCCAAGACGAATCCCAGGACCAATCTTCTCCTTCATCCCAACTCAATCCAGCAATGTCCCATGAGCCATCAGGCCACGACGAATCAGGCCAGGGCTCTTCGGACCATTCTTCATTCCAATCTTCCTCAATCACTCCGCTCACAGCTCTCTGCGGACATGTTCTGGAAATGTGGCCGCGAGAGCCGCAAATCCAGCAGGTTGCAATCGACCCTTTTCCTTTTCCTTTGGAATCCTTTCCTTTTCCTTTTGGGTCCTTTCCTTTGCCTTTGCCTTTGAAATCCTTTCCTTTTCCTTTTCCTTTGCTGAATGCTCCTTTGTTGTATGACCAATGTGGTCCTTTGGCTCCTTTGAATCCTTTGAATCCTTTGCCTTTGCCTTTTCCTTTGAATCCTTTCAGCGCCCCAATGTCCATGGGTGCTGGTCCTTGGTTGTCATTCCCCGGCATGTTCCTAAGAATGTGCCTGGAATGGTGGTACTGCACAATCACGTTTCGTGTTTGTTCATAGGTCAACAATGCCGAAGCATTGAGCCTCAAATGCTGTTGCAATGGGCCTGTTGTCTTGTTCAAGAGGGTAGCCACCAGAATGCTATCAGGAATGGCTTGGCCGGTTTGAGATTCATATCTGGCCTTAATGGTCTCCCAGGTGTTGAAATCTTGTTCAAATGTATTGGAGTGAAACTTGAATTCCAAAATCTGGCTAAGTAAACTCATGTGCCGTGTTGCGTCCGGCAATGCAAATTTGGAATACAATCTCCTCCAGGTTTCATAACCATTGCAGCCAATGTTCTGCCTGACTACCAGCCTTGCTGAATCACTGCACAAATTTGCTAACAAATAATGCAGCCTTCGGGAATTCTGAATCCTTCTGTCTGTGGCATCCTGGTTACCCGCTACATTCAAATGCGCGTCCTCAATGGGTGTGTCTGCGTTGGCCTCAATGCGGTCCATAATCGTTGTTGAATCTGGCAGGAACATGCTCAAATATGTCCTGAAATCCCAGCTCCAATCTTCCCAGTCCTCTGGCTTGCCAGTGAATTTCCCTGGCATGGGAAGTCTCAGCTTTCCTGCAAAATCCTCATCTTGTCCGAGTGCCATGGCAGCTCTCAGAATCAGGTTTCCCTAAGGTCTCCTGAATCTTCGAGCTCCGCTACCATGGGAAAATCAGAGACTAATCTCTGCTAATCAACCAAGGCAGCAAATGCACCTTTGTCATCTTGAGCCAAGCAATGGTAATCAGTATGAATTACATCCAAGTGGGAATGCATGGTGTACTTTCGCACAACCAACCAACCAACCAAACCACCAAACCAAACCAAACCAAACCAAACCAAACCAAACCAAACCAAACCAAACCAAACCAAACCAAACCAAACCAAACCAAACCAAACCAAACCAAACCAAACCAAACCAAACCAAACCAACCAACCAACCACCTGCCCTGTGCCAGGGCTAGGCCAAAAACAAGACACACAGCCTTTCCTTCAAGGAGCACGAGAACAACCGGTGAAGCTTCACCCGCGCCTTGCCAGCTCAGGTTTCGGGGGGTCGGGTCTCAGGCTGGCCGCGCACAACTTCAGACGTATGGCAATCGAGTCGAACCATAGGATTGATGTCCCGAAAGCTCGTCCAGAACATGGGAAGCGAGACCTGTTGTGAACCTTCACACGGAACCGTCTCACAAGTTGGTGGTTTGGGGATTCGAATGGCTGTGAAGCCATCCCAACTCAAATTGAAAGCCAGCAATCAGACAAAAGCTGACTATGAGGTTTTCGGTTTGGGGTTTAGCCCACGAAAGCCGTAAGGCTAGGGGACCATCGGTGCGTCAAGAGGGTTAGGTTCATAGCGTCAAGTGCTGGGTTCCTTGGGATACACTCAGAAGCCAGCCGCAGGAGTTGGATGCCCTGCGAAAGGTGATCTTGTAGCCGGCTGAGTCTCCTTCGAGCTCTTTGGAATACCGGGGGGCAGGGTTCCCCCCGTATTTCCGGGACACAACCGTTGGTTTCAACATGGCCTGGCTGCTAAGTTCGATTGGGTTCCCCTCAATGCACGTGCATTGCCGGGCGCCACATCATGCTTGTTCTGAAAGGAGTTGGTTCTTTGCGGAACCACCGGTTCTTGTAGGGATGAATATGAAACCGCAAGGGGAACATCAGGAATCCGTGAGGGGCTGACAAGGCCGAACAAGCCACTTGGGCGACAACAAATGGTCACCAAAAGCTCAAAAGCATATGGGCATGAACTGTAGAAACCCTTTGCTGGGCACCAGACTTCAATGGGGATTCATCTTGACCTGAGGGTTATCTGAAACAACTCAAAATAGTTTCGATTTCCTCTCGGCTTCTACAAAAACAATGTAACAAGAAAGAGCTTTCATGCTTAACAAGTCAAAAACCACCATCCCCTTTAACTCAACACACCCCACTCAAGCTCCCAAGTGCCGCGCCTGTGTGGTGGCCATGCACCGTGCCAGCGCGGGATAGGCGTTGCCAGGGTCGTCGAGACCTGCTTGTTTCTGCGTACCCACATGTCCAAAAAGCAGTGGTTGCTTGTGGGGGGCTGGTTGGGGGGGGGGGGCTGGCTGGGGGCTGGTTGGGGGGGGGCTGTTGGAGGGGGGTGGGCTGGCTGGCTGGCTGCGTTTGGTTTCAAGGAAACGCCAAAGCAAACCCTCCCATGGAGTCGACACCTACATTGAAGCAAGCGGGGGTTGGCAAATCGAGGGGCAGCTCGCAAGCGCTGCCCGCCTAAAAAGCCGCTGAACTGAACCATCCCAGTATAGTTTCCTTTCGCTACCCGTCGACCAGCAATCGATATTGGGAAACGAGCGCCACTCGCAGCATAAATTTATTCCTGCCCATGGTTCTATATGGACGTGGGCAGAGGCTGGGACTGAGCACCAATCATATTGCCCTCGCACCAATCTGGCGGTTTGGGGTGTATTTCCCCAAAATCAGATCCAGGCCACGCACGTCCTATCCTATTCCCCAAGCAAAGGTCTACCAATCAAGCTGGGAACGCCGAGCACAGTGAGCTTATGTGCAAATACTACTTTACTTCCAACAACTAGTAAAAGACCTACAACCTACAGCATAACATCATCGCTCCTCTGGTGGAAACGCTCACAGCAAAAAGGATCCTTCTCCCACTTGATCCCACGCGGCGAAGCGTTTCGCCCGTCGCACGGGTACCTGCAGCAATTTCCTGGCTGTCAGCTAGTTTGCACTAACACACCAGCACCAAGCCGAAACCAGTGCCATTTGGCCATGGGTCCAAATCCCGTACCCCCAGTGAACATCCCAATCCCCATTAAAATAGGTTCTAAAATGGGTGGTGAATTCACCAAAATGATACCATTGGTTTTGACCCACAGCCATTTATTTTCCGCCCAGGCACACCGTGCGCAGCGAACTCTCACTCTGAGAGGCGCACCAACCTCTACGGTGATGGACAGGTCATCTGGGTAGATGTGGTTGATGCGCAGCTTCGGTGCCGTGGTATCCTCAGTTCGAAAACTCCGAGCCGGAGGACACTGCATGGGGTCTTTGGAGATGCCAGGGGTTAGTTTGTACCAGGGGTACACTCAGGAGTTATTTCAGGTTTTTTGTTAACCAGGGCTTCACAGCGTGTACCAAGGTTGCTATGGTCAAAGCCCCTAGGTTGTTCGCTGTGTAATGGTTGTCTGAAATCTCTACAGTGAGTTGAGGCCCAATGCATCCCCGGGCGGGGCGTTCTGGAACGTTCCCTTGAATTGCCTCGAAAGGGCAGAACAGCGGAGGGATCCCTCGCCAATTTCATTTGCAAGTCTTCCAAAGGTCGCCCAATTTCATGTAGGGATGGGAATGAAGAATTGACACATGGCGGTCTTTTTCTCAATGGCAAGGGTTTCCTTCTGGTTTCCCCTTCGAAAGCAACCAAAAAAGAGGGCTCCAACCAGAACCACACCGAAACGTGGGCCCCTGTGGATTGGTGCCTATTAGGCCCGCTCCGACCCCCCCAAAAAGAAAGAAAGAAAGAAAGAAAGAGGAGATTCTCGCGGGACAGGTTCAGGAAGGTTCCACGTTGAGGGGTTCGGCCCCCTTTATTCTCAACCAAGACGTGAGTGGATTGGAAACAACAGTCCATTTGTTTTGTTTGCCCCAAATGGCACCTAAGGCTAAGTGCCGCTTAAAGTCCCCATTGGTGTGGAGACAAGCCGAGAAAAGCGGAGGCGGACACAGCGCTCGCTATCTAAGATAGTTTCCACTACCCCCAAACTACCAACCCAGAAAAACAAGGGGGTATATACACCCTTTTTTTGTTCAGCGAGGCAAACCGTAAGTAGAGTGCTTGTGACATCCGTTTCACTCTTTGGGGGCGGTTTGGGGGTTGTGACATCCAGTACAAAGTCCAACTCGCAACAACTTCGATCCAGGCTTCGGTGGTCACAAAGGTGATGGGATCCGTGGTGCTGTACTGCTGGTTGCCGTACATATCTTCGCCATAGCAAAAGACCTCAGAGTGGGCGGCTCTTGGGGTCGACCAACAAAAGCAGTTCAGAGTCTGCTTCAAACTTACCACGGCCACTGGAGTTTCAGGGAAAAAACGCTTGGCACTGCAATGGTTGGCCGGTGTTTAAAAAAACAAAAAAGCAAAACAGAAGGCGGGAAAGAGGAAGCGGCCCACTGGGTCTTTGGGTATTGAGTTTACCCTAAAACATATCAAGTATGCTTGGAGAACCAAGGAGTCCCCTAACAATGGGCCCTTCTCCCCCAAAAAACGTATGGACATTGGCTGTTCTCCCCCCAAAAAGCTCAGAGAGATGTGAACATCAAGAAGTGAAATGACCTTACTTCACTTGGGAGAGAGAAACACATACTGTCCAGCTACGGATTCTTGAGGCCGTTTGATCTTGCTCCAGGATTACGACTCCCCGCCTTTGGCTGAAATGATAACCTCAACAAGTCGAATGGACCCGATTTAGATGAGGATGCTTCAGCTTCCCAACTTGCTTCCTGAGTGGATTTGCAAAATAATTTAAACTTTCTGCTTACCACAAAATCTCGCCTCCAGTTGGGGGGGTAAAAACATTCGCCCGGCCTCGTAGCTCTTGTTGGGCTGCAGCCCCTCGATTTGGATGCTCTGCGAGCTTCCGTCGGGGAAGGAGGCTGGCAGTCCCTGAGCCAACTCGAACTTGTTTTGGATGTCCTGACGGCTCGGCCTCAACCGACCTTCCTTCCGGAAAGGAAGATTTCCCCATGCGCCCCTGGGAGTTGGGGAAACAATGCGCGAGAAATTCATGGAAAGCCATCTGAAAGCAACTTTCCCCATGCCCCCCATGCTGTTTTGGGGAGGGAAAAAACCAGAGAGATTCATGGAAAGCCAATCTGAAAGCAACTTTCCCGATGCCCCCCCGCGGGTTGGGAAAAAGCGCGAGAAATTCATGGAAAGCCATGGAAAATATAGCCTGAAAGCAACGGGTGAGTTGGTCGGGCGGCAAAACTCAGCTCCAAAACCCGGCCATGGACACCTTGGTAATCCATGCTTCAAATGCTCGACCCATACCAACGGCCAGCCTTGCTTGGCTTTCCCCTCCTGGAAACTCGGGCAAATCCACGTGATACGGCCCTCCAATGCGCCTGATAACGATGTCACCCCGGGTGCGATCAATGGGGAGCCGGGACAAATAAAACAGTCCTCCATCCCCGTTGGTTTGCTTTTGGGTAAGAAATAAACCTGGGCAATTTAACACCCAACCTCGCATGGTCATGTCATCGATCCGCTCAACACTCGCTGGGTTTCAGCCCGGCAGATTTCGGATTCATAGCGGGTCCCCAAGAAACTTCCCGGTCGGGCTCGCCTTAGAACAGGCTTCAACCTCTTTGGACTCCACAGCGACTTTGGGGAACAGCACCTATCTGAATCCCCGACGCTACCACCACCAAAGATAGGGGACCGCACCACATCAGCGTAAACATTGCCAAATCAGCGTAAGCAAACAGAGAGGGGACCACCCAAAAACTTACACGCTGGTCACGGTGTCAGTCAATCGTGAAAGAGTTCATGTTCAGCCCCTGGGGCCCAGGACCATCTATTCTTCCCTTCATCTCCCTTCCTCAGTGGATTAGCCAAAGTAAGTCCAGACATTTTGTTTGCCAAAAATGGCCCTCCCAACAAGTGTAAAGTCCAAGAACTCAGGGAGTGAGAAAAGTCCAAACGTTTGAGGCTGTTTGATTCTGGCAACTAAACTTCGTCAACCATTGAAACGTACGAGCGATATACCAGCCCCAAGTCTTGGCAGGGGTGTGACCAAGGATAGGGGGACCTCCAACAATACATGGGTGCTATCTTTGCACCAACCCAAGGAGGGTACCCTCCGAAACTCTCTCACACACAAGCATCCACACCAACATGCGCACACAAAACATACATTGTATATGAACATACACATACAGCAAGCATACACACAAACATACACACACACACACACATTTAAACCCGCATCAACCCCGTCTCCAGCAGGCGCGTGGTCTGCTCTCTGGCGTAGGCTTCGATTTCGCAGATCCGGATACCGAACTCCTCGGGGAGAACCTGCGGCGTCGATTTCGCCCGGCGCCTTTGGTCCTTTCGAAAGGAGAACAGACAAACATCAAACAGCCCACATGCCGGTATGTAATCATAGCTTTTTCACCAGGTCCTATAAAATCTCCCCCCAAAAAATCCCCATGTCATGATCATGTGTATATATATAATATAAACCCAAAATGTTGGGAGGAGTCAGGGACGCTTCTGAGTTCTGATTATCAGACACAAACAACAGCTTGGCTGCAGTAGCCAGCGAACGCAATGCTGTCGGCGCCTAATGACCAACTGTGTCGTTTCAACAAGAGCAGCAGCAACAACTACAACAACCAGGCCAACAATGACAACAGCACCGGCACCGGAAGCAGCGAGGGCGGGGCCGGGCTAGAACGTAGCGTGAGAGTGCGCAGGGGAAGGAAATGCACAGGGGGCCAATAACAAGAGCAAAATAAGCACAACTTCAGAACAACACAAGCGCAAAATAAACACAAAGTAGGCCTTACTAAGCGTTAATAAGCTAAGCTCAAAATAAGCACAAAATTAACTGTAATCCCAAACATAAGCCCAAAATGGTCTGTAGCAGCAACAAAAATAGCTGCTAATAGCATTGAAAGCACAATTATTTTCCAGCTGCGCAGCATTCCCAACAGTGCACGCATCAATATGACCATACCTGCTGCAAAGTGACTCAGCCACAGCAGAGCTGGGTAAAAGGGCCAAACAGTTCAGACAATACCTGTAAATAGCAGCTGATCTTGATGCATCCTCTCCACCGCCAAGGGGTCTGATTCGCCAAGGGGCCTGATTCGCAGCATGTTGAGGTATGGTTCGGTGGTATGATTTGCACAGGTCGAGCTTCCATCTTTTACTAAACCTTGCGCACCTTAAGAAGGCACACACCCAATATAATTGGGAGGGGGGGAGTGAATTAAAGGGGCCCATCACAAAGGGGCATACTGTTAGGGGCTACCAGTTTATGCTCATGGGTCTAAGGTGTATACTGTATAAGACAGTTTATACACATACATCCATATTTACAGTTGGATACATCATATTTTTCAGGGCAACTGCTGTACCCAGGGCAGGTAGTTCTTTGCCCTTGTTTGCAACCAAGAGGTAGAAGGGAAACAGAAAACCCGGAAGCAGGGACGCACCCTCCATCATGAAAGCTCTGCATGTCTGCTTCGCATGGGCCCTACCTACCCCTTCTCTAAAGGACCCACTTCTGGGCTTTGCATCAAAGAGCGAAATCTTTGTTGAAAGCCCCTATTGACCCGATTTAGATGATAAAAACTCCGCCCAGTGTTTTGATGGTTGGAAGCCTAGGGATCAAGAGATTTCTCGACAATTGCCGTCTCTGTGTCCACGCTTTCTGCTTCGCAGGCAGGACATGCAACCAAATCTTGCAACCCATTGGGGGGCAACCCCAAGTGCCTGTCAAAGTGCGAAACGAGTTGGCTCAAAGACTCGATATGCCGAAAACCCACGGTGACCCCGGATCTAAGTGCAACTCCGCAGAGGGGAATGTTCCCTCCAAACAGCGGAGGACCTGAGCCTGAATCCTCCAAAACTTTGCACAGCCCCCCTCCCCCCCAAGAAAAGAAATCTGCCACCAGTACCCCGCAACAACTTCCCATGATTTGCAAAATCCCCTTGGTACGGGTTGCCCAACAAGCAGTGGTTGCTATGGACCCGGATGCCAGGAGTTTCTCCATCTTGTCCCACAGAAGCCCAGGTGCTTTTTTTTGCGAACGGACACGCCTTGAGCTGGTGCACGCTGCCCCAAACGCTCACGAACTTGCCCAAGGTGTTGATGTCCTCGGGTTGGACCCAAACGAGCGGAGACCAACACTTTCAGCAAAGTGTAGTGACAAACTAGTGCCCAACTTTCTTGGCTGTACAAGTGGGAGTGACTTTCAGCAAAAAAAACTAACTATAGTGGACATCAGGGAGGTTCAGGTCCACCACTTTTGAGGTGGGCCCAACTCTTACAAGTACATGGCCAGGTAAAACCCATTGCTTCAGCAGCCTTCTGGTTTCCCTGTCAAGGGCAGTGGGTTGTTTTACATGAATATCGCCCAACCCTGGCTCCCCGTTTTGGGTTGAGCGACTTACCGGGGAACCCCAGTGCGCGGGAATAGAAACGTGGAAACATGTCTTGTCCAAATTTGCCTCTCCGAACCCCAAGTGGATCTGGATCGTTTTCTGAGGCTCGGCTCCCTTTGGTGTTTTAAGAACACCAAAGGGGAAGCCTTTTTGGGATACACCCAGAAATGGGTGACCCGTTTGATGGGTTCTAACAAAAAGGTCCTCTCGGATGCTACACACATGAGAACATCCTTTGGTCCAAACGATTGGAAGCCGTTCAGTAGAACCCGTTTACGGTCCTCAGAATATAGCTTGCAACTCGGGGTTGAAACGAAATACCTTCCGTGTTGGGGTTGCCACCTGCAAATGTCGGCCGTGAGTCAATGCGCCGTTCTCGTGATTCTGAAGTGAAGGGGCACATTTGGATACCCATTTGTGTGTGGACTTCCAATTCCTAAGGGTAACCCGTGGTTTTCAAGTAAACATGAAACCCGGAATCCATTTCGGGAGTTCCCCTTGGAGACTTGTCTTGTTTCCCCTTGGCTTCCCTTTACAGCAACCCCAAAAGAGGTACCCTCAAGAACGACAGACCCATGTGGGGGTCTGTTGGACCCTTTGCGAAAGCATGAAGACTTGACTTAGACTTCAGCTTGAGACAAACCCGGGACTGGAAGGGCTCAGAAACGCCCCAAAGGTCAGGCGCGCTTCGTGCGTCTACCTAAGCGCCTGACGTTTTTTTCCAGTATTCCGGCTCCTTTACCTCTGGCTTTCAACTAGAATCATGTGGAATTCCCAAGCGACCTTCACCATCGGTTTTCGCTCGGCTTCTCCTGAAGTAGGCTCATTATATTTACCCAGATCGGTAGCAACAGGGGCGCATGGTTGTAAAACAAAACCACGCAGGAATCACCTTATTTTTTCGGTGCGTGTCTTTGTTGAGGGTTCCTTTCTTGCGGGAAATCAAAGAAAACTACCTTTTTTGGGGGAGCCCCCTGTTTTGACACACAAGTGGACATTGCTGCTGATTCACCAGCGGCATGGGTCAGTTGGTTGGGCCCAACTCGTTTTCGGTTCGGCTCGTTGGGAGCTCATGATCCATTCGTAAGGCCATGGATTCTGGGCATGGACCTTGAACTCCCTGTCAAAGTCGACCCCCGGTAGAGAACATGAGGAGCTGGCCCACATCTGGGGTACAGAAAAGAAGTTTTTGTTCACAGTCTGTTCCATATTTAGTCGACCCTAAAATAAAAAAACATGTTTTGGAGGAGACCGCTCAACAGGAGTTGTTGGCCCCTAAAAAGCTGAGTCTTCCTTGTGATGCTTTGGTTACTCGATTTCTGGATTGGCCAAAAAAAAAAGCAGGTCTGAGCTGTTTGTTTACCACTCAAACGGTCCCACCTCAAACGGTCATGAAGTTCATGAACTCAAGAAGTGGTGGATTGTCTTTTGCGGGTACCCCCTGCTTGGTTGCAAAGGTTTAAAGGGAAACAGCCATTTTAGGGAATCCCCAGAAAGAAAGAAACATCCAACCACTCCAGCGGAGTCTCGGGATTGCAGGGCCAGACGTTGTCGCCCCGGGCGTCCGCGATCACCGTGCACAAGGAGTCCGAGCGGAAGCCCGCCTCTCCCACCTGAGGATGTGGAAAATTGGGGATGATTCGGCTGGGTATTTTGGGTATCAAAGGGCTGGGCTCATTATTTTCAGGTTCTGCTTCTAGGAGCAAAGTCAGAAACTGGTTTCGGTGGTTTTCCTGTACCACTGATTGTACTCTTTTAACCTCGATCGGGGCTCGCCCGTCAAAAGCTTTACCCAACGGCGTCAACTCCGATGCCAAACCCAATGCGAGAAGGCTTGGCAATTTGAAAGGTCACCGCTTTGACACACACACACACATATGAGCCACGGGCAAACTTCACTGTGGCCCAACTTACATCACACTTTTGAGCCTGCCCCCACTAAGCTGGAGTCATTTAGCGAGAAGTGAACCCAAAAGCATGCTCCAAGAAGGATAATTACTGAATGTAGCACGTTGCTGGATCCCAGAGTCAAGGCCGTCGAAATACAATGGGTCGCCCTGTATGTGCACCCCCCGTGAACGTCACGATGGACTGCCGGGACCACAAAAACAACATGCTCAATAGCCTCCCCCCCAATGGTTTCCCTTTGGTTTCCTTTTAAGCCAACCCCAAAAACGGCAACACCCATGTGTTTCAAGGAAGCGCCGCGAAACTAAGTTTGACCCCTCAACACACAGAGGGCTCAGTCCCCAGTTCCTTTAACTATCCCCAATATCAGATGCCTTCGCGGGTCCGCATCAAAAGTCTCCCCACTCAAAAATCCTGGGTTTGTTTTCATTGGGTTTCCCACTTGCCCAAAGGGCGTGCCTCGGGTTTCTGCAACTTCTTCCGCTCACCGGAAAAACAATTCCTCTGCCGCGGGGCATGGATGGACCAGTCCGCGGACTGCTCCGGGCGGCCATCTGTGGGCACCACCAGGCGCACGGACTGGATGAAGTAGAAGACCTGCGACGAGCTTCAAAGCTTTCCAAGAAGGAAAGGAAGGAAATCTCGGTCTTGCCTCTGGTTTTCCGAGTGCAAATGGATTTCGGTCTTCCGTTTGCCCCAAAGACCTGCGAACGCTTCAGCTTCAACTTGCGATCCGGTGCGAGAAAAGCAGGGAATGGGAAATGGAATTACACCTATAAACCATCCGTCTGGTGGCTTCCTTTAAGGGATCCCTGGGTTCATTCAAGCATTCCCTACTTATCGCACCAGCAAGTCAAGGGACCTCCCCAAAATGGACATCTCGGTCTTCCGTCTGGTCTTCCTTACCAAAAAAGTGCCCTTGCGCAAAAGACGCACCATGGTAAGGGGGATGACATTTGGCACGCGAGCCCACACTCCCATCAGGTCGGGGGTACACGGGATATCCGTGGCTCATGTCGTTGCGCTATTGGTGTGTAGCTCAGTGACTCTGGCAAAACATGAATTAGAACCTTTGCTCCACCAACACCCATGGGATTCTGCATTTGCAAAAAAGTGCCAAAATCGATCCTTCACGGCGAGCTTGGTTTACTGGTGCAACTGAACTGCGGAACTCTGGAACCCGAGATGCAAACTCTTGCAGGACCCAACAAACGAATCAGAATCAGAGGTTGCGGCTGAGGACAACACTGGGACTGTGGCCAAAAGCAACGCACAGCTTTGCGTGCGTCTCAATTCCGTCGCATTCTTCGCCAAACCTGAAACCCCGCACCTCTCCCATCGCAATGCGGAAGAAGGGCGGGTTGTAAATGTCCTTGACAAGAGCTCGTTCTGCCCCCAGGTAAGCTGGGTGTATTGTGTGCAGACATCATGACGAACAAGCAAACTCGGTTTGACACACACACACACACAAACACAAATGGTGATGCGGTGTGGGGTTCACCCCGTGACCCATGAAGGTTTGGCCTCTCAATGGGACATGGACTCCAGTTGCAAAGCCATAAGCAGGGCTCTCCCCATGTCCCAGACCTGAGCTGCCCTTGGGGGACTCGAAACATCCCCAACTCAGAGATTTGCTTCGACACAAACCACCAAACAGTAGTACCAACTCAAACATGGAGGGGGCAGAAGAAAGTCTCTTTGTAGCGGCCACGCGCGTTTCGTTTCCAAGGGCCTCCGACAAAAGTCGAAACCTGAGGAAAGCCAAATCGGGGGGAAACCAATTGGACCTTCCAAACGTGACACAAAAAAAAGAAGAACAAAGACGCTTGAGAATTCGATTCCACCGAATGCGATTCCGATTCCAAGTCTCCTGGCGCCGAGTTGAAGCGCACACGTGCAATGGATCTTTGTGGGCGCAGTACTCGCAGAAGGTGTTGCTCCCCCACTGCCCGTCCACCGCCTCCGGGCGAAAAAAACACCGCCACCGGGGTTCAGTCTCTGAATGAGGGAAACCCAAAATGGGTGGGGCTTCCAATTTGGCTTCCCTTCAAAAACCACCCAAAACGGGTATCCTCAAAAAACAAACTACACTCACCACTCTCAACCCGAGCTTTTCGTAAGCTGAATGCTTCTTTCGGTGTGTGACGAGGGTCGGCAAAGCTTTTTCCATGACATCTTGGCCCACATTTGGGTACACCCACAAAGCATGTCTTCTAATCTTGTGAATCAAGTCTTGTGCCTACACAAACATGGAGTATCTCTCGTGCCGAGTCGGTTTCGGAGCATCCGCGTTGTTTGGGCTCCTTCCCCGGCCACAAAAAAAGTCTTTGGCCTTGTCTGGTGAACCATTAAAGGCCACAGAGCTCGACTGGATGAACCTGCCCAGCAGGAGGTTGCCCGGCCTGGCGAAACCGACGCATCGGCTGGCCATGCGGAGCTACCAACCGGTTTTTGGACACCCGGCCATGGGTCAAAATCCAAATCGTACCCCCAGTGAACATCCCAATCCCCACTAAAATAGGACACCTAAAAATGGGTGGTGAATTCACCTATCCCCCAAAATGGGATCCCAAAACGGTTTTGACCACCACAGCCACCTGGGAGTTTCTCCTTGAAGGAACCTGGGCCGGTGAAACTGGAGTCTCCTGGCCCACTGTTTTGGGTTCCATGCGAATTGGTCAAAAGATACCTAGCTTTTTGAAGCTGTCTACCTGCCCGTTTCGGCCCCTTGGAAGAAACCGGATCGAAGAAACAGGCTCCCCCCAACGACGTCCGATGTCCGCAGGTGGGAAGACTATGGGCATGTAGCGCTGTTGTTCGGTGATTCGAAACTCTTGGCCAGAAGGAAAGCAACGCAACAGGCAGATGCGTCATGTGCTTCTGAGCAACGATTTGGTGGGTCTTGGCCAAGTCAAACTGTCCCCTCGTGGTGTTTAGGGGAAATCAACGTCACCGGCTTAGCGTTGGTTTAGTATGCCCTGGCGCAAGTTCTGGGTGCAAAACCGCTTTCTCGTTTCCATGCCCTTACACAAACCATATTATTACCCCTTAAAACTCCAAGGATTGGGGAAGTTAACCTTTTGCAGACATATAGCCCACATGTTACCCAAAAAGTTGAAAAGTTGTGTTTTTAAGAGGTAAGTATTATTACCTTCCTGAATGTTCCCTGTGCCACCCAGTTGAACATTTGGCTGGGAGGCAGTTTCTGTACAAGAGTGTCATGAAAAATTGGCTGTTTGGGACCTCAGTCAGGTCAGCTCTTCTCGGTAGTTTTTGGGCAACTTTGAGAGGAGCTGCTGGGACTGGGGTATGGACGGGGTTGGATGCAACAAGCTCAGACATTGTCAGCCCCGGGAACTGTTTCTTATCCACCGAGCAAGCAGTCCGGGCCCATTTTCGTTTGTGCTTCCTACCCTCATTGCTGTTTCAGGTGAGGGACTAAGTTCGAGAAAAAACTATGCATTAACTTGTTGTTCTGGGGTCTGCCTTGAGACAATAGTAGATTTCAGTCGTACAAAGCAAGCATCCCAAGCAAAACAACCGTTCACCAACGTTCTGGATATGGGACACTTTGCAGAAGTAGTGCAAAATGTTGTCACCGGCTACAGTACATGATCTGAACTTTAGACGGATTCCTGCACTTACCCCAGGGAGGGGGTCCCCACCTCCGTCTTTCAAGTCTTTCCGGGAAAATGGCCTCGTGGAGACCTCACCCCATCCGAAAAACATTTGAACTCTTGGGCTTGTCTCAAAGCGCCCGCTTGTTGTTTTAAAAAACGGAAGCCACCCCACCCAGGCCCGAAGCGCTGCTTTTTGCTAGCGTAGCAGAGGATTTTGGCTGCATTGTTGAAGCAGCAGTTTGGGGGGGGGGGGTACTGGCCCGTCCCAAATTTCGACGACACCATGGACTTCGCTCCGCCTTGGGCACACGTATGCCTCCGGCAACACGTCGCGATTGCTGCCGCCTGGCGTTTTGCTTTTGTTCTGGAGGCGCCCAGTGAAACGTTGATCTGTGGAAAACCACTGCATTTGTCCTTTTTCCCCAGTCAGCTTTTGGGTCAATGGGCCCGAACAGAATCGAACCGAGGGCGACAAGAGTCGCAACGAGTCCAAAAAGGATGGCTCGCTACCCTTTGGGGGTTGTGAAGGTGCGGCACTGGGAGAAGCTTGACCACAAGGCCACACATCCTACCATACAAGATACCTCTTGTCAAAGAACCAGGGATTCTGCGTTCCGCCAAACAGCCATAAGGTTTGAATTCGGACCATTTCCACTGAATAGGCACAAGGGCCAGAAATAGAATGGCGTGATGTAGAATGACATAGCCATGTTTGTGGTTGCTTCGCCCTTTTGGACAGCTGATTTCAAGGGGTCCCCCAAACAAATCGGGAAAAGGGGAGGAACAAGGGGACCCCGTGACATTGACAAGGGAAAAATGGGAAATCAACACCATATAGCCATATACTCTTGGGATTTGGGATTTGGGATTCCAAGTAGTATTAGAAAGGGGGTCAAGCAACAAAAGCAAGCTTCCAGGACCCAAGCACCGCTGTTTGGCTACCGTACCAAGGGGATTCTTAGACATGGTTGAAAAAGCAGTTGGAAGTTGGAGGCACAACTTGAGGGGTGCTGATTGGCGTTCAGGAGTTGCATCTAAGTTGGGTCGCAAGGCCAGTTCAATGAGGCCACAGCGCGCCTGCACTCCAGTAGCCGGCGCCAAGCAGCACGGTATTCAGGTTCTGCAGGAAGTTGTTGTCAGTGTACCTGGGTCAGTTTCTAAAGCGGGCTTTTGGGGACTCAAAAGGAGCAGGTGTTTGCAGAAACTTGCGTTTTCTGCGTAGCCCAACAACTTGTTTTCAATGTTCATTCGTCTTGAACAAAGCGTCTGGCTCAAAGGCCAATATGTTTGCGAATGCCCCAGACTGCAATGGCACAGTTGCAAAAGAGGCAGATTGGTCCCAGGAGTAAAACACTTAACTTTCAAAGTCACGCGGTGAACGAAGGTTCTACCCCTTTCCGATCTCTTGGGCAAATCCCTTGTGCCGGTTCTTCCACCGGTGCTTGTCAAAACTCAAAACGCGTCGGGCCGACCCCTTCGGGATGTTCAATGAAACCATTTGGACGGATCGGTTCGACGCCGGTTTGACACCAGAGCTCTCCCCGCGCCTCTCTGGCCGACTTTTACAGGGGCAAGGGCCTTTCGTAAAAAGAGGGAGCCTCAACAGCATCATTGGGCTTCGACAACTATTCGAACAAATAACTTTGGTCCTAGCTTTTTGGAGCTAGAATGCCCACAGCTTGCAGCCCAACATAGCCCAACACAAGTTCTTGGCCAGCTCCGGCAATGCGAGAACCCAGTTTGCTACGTTCGTCCAGTCGTAAGATGTCTATTTTTCCATTGGCGCCCGCAGGGGTCCCGCTTCACGACTGAGTCTAATTCTATGGGAGCAATAGGTGCAATGCAAAGGACACCCCGGCCAGGATCTTTGACCAGTCCCTGGTAGCCACGTACTCTCAAGGATCCTCTATCTGTTTGAGAGTATTTCTTCTGGAGGGGTTTTGAAGGGAACCGGAAAAGGGAACTCACCATTTTTGGGTGCCCCCTATTTCACACACCACACGCAACACGCTTCACAGAAACTACTGGAACATCAGAACATCATGGGCCAGATCCACACCAAGCCGCATCCGCAAACGCACAGGTGTTTCTTCCTTTGGTTGCCCTTTAACACCAAACAGGGTTTCAGCTCAGCCCCAGTGGCCACGGGAAGGGGCGTCCTACTCTTGCTGCTTTCAGAGGAACCCTTTCCCGAAACTTGGGCAACCTTCGGGAAAATGGACCATGGGCAGGGCGGCCGCGTTTTCTACCTCAGCTTTTGGTCCCGATCCAAGTAGGATGAACGACTCCGGCAAACAACTTTTAAGTCAACCTCATGCGTGTTTCTTTGTGTTTGTGTCTGTGTTTGTGTGTCTGTGTGTCTCTGCGTTTCTCTGCGGGCCACCCAACATCTATATAAAGACAGAGGTCGACAAATCGTCCGGGTCGCTCGATCAAGACGTTGTGCCCGAAAATCTCCTGCGCTCCAACGCGGATCACGTGCGTCAAGGGGTCCGCATCCTCGGCATCGAGAGCCATGATTGGAGCACTCTCGGGTACAACTCGGATCAGTTCAGATGCCTGAAATGTCCAAACCAGAAATAGAACGTAAAACATGAATGGGAGTCCCAGCACAAGTTTGGTCTGAAACATGAACTCCCGTTGAAGGATGTCCCACAATGGCTCCTAATGGTCACCAATGGTCACTATTAGGAGTCAGTGTATGATCAAGGGGAAACCCTGGCAGCCTTCGCGCCTCCCCACCTCAAATGTTCCAAATAGGCAGAGGGGGAAACCTCTGCTTACCATGGTTTGCGATTGGTCCGCTTGCAATATCCAGGGAATCTACTGTAGCGGGCTTTCAACATGTCAAAAACAGATATACCTGGAGATCCATACTGTCATGGGGGTTCCCCAGACTCATAAACCTCAGGTTGATCAACTGATCCAGGGGTATCCCCGATTTTTTGTGGGGGTTTATCGCTTTCGGATTCCTTCCACGTCGGTGGCTCGGCTTCCTTACGAAACCACACCTGTAGCTCTGAAGACGTGTATCCACATTCTGCGCCCTGGACACCAAATGAAGATTCCACTTGAGGAGTCAGTCAGCCTTTTTGGCCGGATCGCGTCGCATTGGTAAACCACTTTTTGAGCCAAATCCATGTGTGGAGGTTCTCCTTTTGAGATTTGACCACCCTTTCCGGGTTTTAGGTTTATGTGCAAGAGATCTTGCCATGTGAGCTTGGTTTTGGTCGGCCGGGCTACCTAATGGGCACCTCCGAAAACCATCTGCTTTGGAAGCACTTCTTCTTTCTGATCAGCGGGCATTTGGAGGATGATTGTTGAACAGGCACAATGGTATCCCTACGCAAATATCCTTCATCCACTTTCCCACTCAAATATCCTTACCACCCCCTTTCCACCCAATCCTCACCCAAATCGCTGGCGACAATTTCTCTTCTTTTGAACCCCACAGCTCGAGATCTTTTTTGGAGTCCCTTGGAGCCAACACATCGATTGAAGGAGCCGAAACATGCCAGTACCCCCCCCCCCCAACAGGGATCCTTACATTATACACCTGAACATTGCCTTGTAATTAAATGGTGGTTTGCCTTTATTTTGGTGGAAAAGCCATGTTTTTAAGGAGCCTGCCCAACTTGCAACTGCTTTTTTTAACCCTGTCCAAAATCCTCTTAGTGTCCCGGTAAGTCCAACAAGCCGTGGTTGGTATGGACCCGGGTGCTGCTTGAGAGGAGCCAAAACATCCCAGCGAAAACTCCAAACGTGGGCGTTTCTCAAAGTTGGGGACCAATTCCTCCAGGTAGGTGTTGTTTCCTTTCGGTTTCCGTTGAACAAATCAGCCCAAGCAGGGTCCCCAAAATTTTGATTCCTCCAAATAAGTGATGTCCTTGCGGTTTGCCTGGAAGGGCCAACATTTTTGAGACATTCCTCCAAATAAGTGGCGTCGTTTTGCTTTCCTTTGAACACCGCTCAACCCAAGAAGGGGTCCAACATTTGAACAAACCAGCCCGGGAAGGGGCCTTCTTTTTTTTTACTTTGGCTTCTCTTAAAAATCCGCCCAAGAAGGGGGACACCATGCTCCGGGCGGCCACCCAAAAGGTGCGGAAGGCCATCGGGTCCAAGATGGGCGCGCGATCCGCCGTGGCATAGGACACCACCGCGGTGGGGGGCCCAAAGTTCTCCTCGGACAAGCCGGCGAAAAAGTGACGAGAAGACCGAGACCCCAAAGCAATGCGACCCTCAAACGACCGGGAAAAATGAGAAACAACACCAGGGAAACACGTGGGGGCACACAAACATGGGACCTGAAATGGGCCAAAATTCAAGCATGTGCGGCAAGATGACCGACAAACTACCTTTCAAAAGAAGGGAGAGCCTGGGACTTTGGGGCAGCATCCGCCACTTTCCCACTTTCGAGCACAACCACCAGCCAAATCGGAAAGCATCGCTTTCCACTGGCCATGAGGTTTGAGGACGCCTCCAAAAAAGGCAAGAGGGGTGAAGGTCTGGGATCTATAAATAATCCAATCTGACCAGCCCTGCCTCAAGGTTCTCCAGTAGAGGGTGGTCCCCGAGTCGGAAAATGCTATTGTTTTTGTCGAAACCAGAGACCCGTCACCGACTCACCTCAATCCCCCCAGACAAGCTGTTTAAGTCATCGCAGGTACATCAAAAAATCCTATCTTCAGATTCTCCTTCATGTTTAGCCTACCCGAAAATGAAACAAAACAGTTTGACATATATGTTCAGCTTCTCTTTCCATATTTCACCTCCCCTAAAATGAACCAAACAGTTGGAGAAGACCCCCAGAGACGTTGTGCGGCCGCAAAAATCGATCGAGCTCTGCAGCCACGGGCGTCATACTGCGCTTCTCGCACGTATCCCCTGGAGAGGGTGATGCGGGTGTTCTCAAAGGCGCCCAGCAGAATCTGGCGCTGCGACGATGCGCGCGCAGTCAGCTGTGTCGGTCTTTTGCTTGCAACTCGGTACCCGGTACCCTGACCCCCGCCCCCCTACCTCTTGGTTGCATTAAAAAACACACACACCCCGGCGATTTTATGGGTCCGCCAACGGTTTGGCACGTACTCGGAGCCGCATCCACTCTACGGAAATCAGTGGGCCTTCCGGCAAAGCCACCCCGGTTTGTAATTCGCTGCAGGGTGAATTAACACCCACCTTAGTCATAACCGCAGGAGTAAACTAGTAGTGGTGTAGCCTTCTACATGTTGCGAATATCAAGGGAGCCGCCAATGTTGGGGAAAAAAGAAGGAGCTTCGACAAGTTGAAGAAGTGCTTTGGGGGTTCCGGCTTCGTGATTGCCATCTGACAACAAGACAGCTCCCATTCGACCCTTGGGCAAACAATTGGTAGGAGCCAATGTCCTTTGGAGCCGCGCTAAGAGCTCGCAAACACGGAGATGCTGTAAGAACAATCCGAGACACAATCAAAATCTATAGAGCCAAAAGGACGGCCGACCCGGTGTTTTTCTTGCTCGTTCTTTTCAAAGGGAACCCCACTCAATCGCTTTTCAATCTGATTTCCAACTCAATTTGCAACTCAATTCTGGAGAAGCATTTGGACCCACACCAAGAGCGGCTACCCCTTCTACCTCTCGTAAAGGTTTGTGAGATGGAGCACAAAATCACGGCACTGTGTGGCCCTTCGCCAACCGAGGCAGTGACCCAAATTTACCTCAACTTAATGCTGACCCCGGATTAATAAACCCCTGTTGATTAATATGGGCCTATGGGGGTGTCCCTGGTTTTAGTGGGGATTCATCACTTTTGGAGGGGAGCACCCCCATATTATTATCATAAACAGGGGTTTCTTGATCCGAAGTGAACATTATCCTGACTCGTCTTCCCAAAGAAGGCCTCTGATTCGCCCTCATTCCCCGTCAATGACGCAACCTTGGCTGGGTACCTCTCTACCTCTCGCCCGTGTGCCGCAACTTCACAGACCCCCCCGTGGATTTCCACGAGAAAAAGCAATGTTGCTCGTCGATTTTCAAGCGAAACCCCACCCTCTCCCGAAAAAGACAGCTAAACAACGGATTTGCACCCACTGAAGGGTTGAGAAAAGGGCTCCCCCAACCCAACCCACGTGTCGACATCGATTTCTGAGGAGAAAAAAGTCGCCTCGTACCCGATCTGCCCTTTCTGCCCCAGGAAGAGGAAGATGTCTCGGGGCGCCTTCACCGACACCAGGAAGCTCACCTCGCGAACCCACTCGACTGGTGCTTTCGGGCGTGGAGGAAGGGCACACCTTAACTTAGAAAACCCAACTTGGGGATAGATAATAGGTGCATGGCTGTGTACGTTTATGCGAGCTCTTGTTTTCGCACATACCTGTTAAACAGAAATAAACGTTGCCCGTCTGGTTGCATGCCCTTTGCCCGTTTGTGCAATAGATTGGTTTCGGCCACTCGCAGTGGCAAGAGGGGAAGCAAAGGTGAACAAAGCAATGTTCATGTGGGAGGGCTTGATGAATCTTCGGATACACCGGGACAGACCAACATGGGCGTGCTCGTTTCGAGGAATTGCTCCCCTTACCATTTCCCCGCGAGAGGTTGTGTTCAGAAACACTCATGACACTCCTCGCTATGATGGCTCCCATACCCAGCTGTCTGCTAGAAAAGCCCGAGTTCAAGCGTCACGAATCAGAATGCAGGTCTTAGACTCTGGCACATGGGTGTCCCATTTTTTGGGGGTCCCCTAAAAAAAGGACGAGCCCATACTTACGTGTATAGTTCCATACGGGACCCAGACATGGGCTCCAGTGTCCTTTTGGTTTCCCTTCAAAACCCCACAACGGAGACCAAACAAAGGACGCTACAAACCTGCAGGATCCCACTCGCTTCCTATGCTAAGGGTGTAAACCTGATATCGATCTTTGGTATGCGTCCCAAACCGTGCTTTGGGGTCCTTGCTTTTCAGGAAATGCGGTAAAGTTGGGCAAAGAGGGATGAGCATGGCCGGAGTCCTGGTGCTAAATCGTCCAGTCTGCCACTCTGTGATTGGGCAAGGGGGTCGTGGCCTAAGCTCTCGAGGCCCTCATTGAGGGCTCCAAAATCGTCGCTCCAATGAGCATTCAGTCAACTGCAAAAGGGTGGGTGCTTCTTTTCCAAAAAAAGTAGTCATCCAAGAAAAAGCTCCAACTCAGAAAGGCAAGAAACCACTCCCACCCGGTTCTTGTTGAACAAGGGACACCAAAGGAACAACCACCATTTGCCGGGTATGCTCCCAAAAACCCACAAACCGACCCATCCCGACTCCGCTCCTTGTGTCCAACTGCTTTGGAGATGCAGCCGCCAGGACCACTGATCTCCTAGACTCGGAATCCGATTCCCACGGATCACTCGGTGCCAGTGCCCGACACGCCTCACTTTGCGCATCTGGAGTTGGTTTTTGGCTCAAACGCCTTGACCCCTCTTGGGTTAAGATATTCCCTCAGGGAAACTTTTACAGCAGGGCCGCTCGCAGAGGTGTCATTTTACACCGCTGCTTCCAAAAAACACTGCGGATACCATACGCGCTTTAAGACTCCTTCTCCCAAAATGGCAGTTCTCGTTTTACTTTCCCTTTAAACCACCCCGAACAGAGGTACCCTCAACAAACAAGCACGGTTCTGTGCTTTTCTCTAAAAACTCGGGTCGTGTTTGCCGGCGAGAACTCGAGTTCGGGTCGAGCGCTTGTGAAGTTCCTGGCGCAGACCGCAGGTACGGTACTCCTGTCTGGCGCCGCCCCATTGAGACCTCAGCCGTCGAGGGCTGCTTTGGAGCGGAGGTGAAACCGGGCTGCTTGGGGTGATGAGTTCAATACCCCGCTTCCATTGGGAAAGGTAAAGTACACTTAGATGGGTACCAATTTGGGACGTGTTTCGAAATCCCCTGTCACTCCAAGCAAAAGGACGCTCCCACAAAGGCAACCAAGTGATGCCTTGCTGCGATTCAACCATTTCTTTCACAAGGGTGACAAACAGCACCCCCTCCACCACTGCTTTTTGGTTCCCGTACAACGGGGATTGGGCCATGGTGCAAGAAGCAGGTTGGGGCTGGGAGTTATCAACGTACACTATTTGGTCACGATTTGGAGCATCCATTGTTGTGTCTCCATTTCAAGTTGTGGCCCAAAAGGCGCAGCCCCTGAACCGAACACATCCCAAATGGCCGGCTCGTCGCTTTTTGGAGTTGCTACCCTTTTTGGCTTAGGGAAACCGAAAAAGGAAGCCCGGCTCACTTTTTTGGGGCGCCCCTTGGACCAAAAAAACCCAAACACCAAACAGCGACCTACCCCAAACCCGGCCGAGGCTCTGCTGTATGCGCACGTCAGTGGTCTGATCCGTGAGCCGCGCTTTGAACCTTCGAACATGCGCGGCTCGAACTCCTCCCGAGTTGAGTTCCCTCCCAAAAACCAGCATGGACCCTGCACAGGAAGCGGTCCCCAAAAAAGAAAACACGACAACGGTGTTACAGGAAGCTTTGTGGAGGTTCGATTGGTTGCGTTTTTGGGAGGGTACCAGGGAAAATCAGAGAGGGTACCCAAAGAGAGATTGTAGGAGCGGCGGTTGTGGGGTTCCATGTTGATCAGCCAAGCACACAAGTTTCAGTTGGCATAGCAAACGTTAGTGTTTTTGTTTTTTTTTTTTTTTAACAATGGGCTGCTTCTTAACATTGCTTGAGGTGCCCGGGTATTGTCTCCTGCAGATCAACATGGAATCCAAGCCTCCCGTTTTGAGGAACGGAACCTTTTGCTTGGGGAGACTGCTGAAAGTGGTTCCATGTAAAATTGCAGGAGTGCACCGGAAAAGTTAGGAGCAACAAATCATCGGACCTCTTGTGGCTTCCTTGAGCGGAATGCCATGTTCAGCATCGTGGTCATGATGTGTGCCTTTAGGCGGACCCCCCCCCCAAAAGAAAGGCCCTTCTTTCCCTTTTGGCTTCGATTTAAAGCCCAAAAGGGGACCGAAGGGTTCGCAACATGTCGCGGCCGATCCAAACCCGACGTGCCGTGCCAAGCCCAGGCCGAGCTGCACTTCACTCATGGGAACGCGGCCGTCTTGCATCCCTGCTGGCATCACCTCAAGGCTAGGCTTGCTGGTAGAAACTATAGGGTGGGGGAAAAACGGAGGCGGTTAGGAACGTGGAGTGCCAGGTGTGCTTCTTGGGCCATGGTTGGAGGGGTATGATTGGCGCATCGAGTTCTAGGTTGCCACTTTCCGTGAGCGGCCTTTGGAACTCAAGTTCAACAGAATGTTTGGTGCTGGTTGGATCGGAATTAAGCGCAACATCGCAGACTTCGGGGCCGTTCACATTTTGTCCACGATTCAAACACATGAAAACCTGGAAAGTTGGGCGAAGGGTTCATGCGTTTCCCGTTTAACGCAAACTACTTTATGATGTTGTGGATGTTTTGTATGGTACTTGCAAATACTATCAAAGCAAATACCATCAATATTATGTTGAAGGATGTTGTTTAAAAAAGACACAAAATCATCTTCACCACTTGCAGGCACCAAGCTCCCATCCGGACCTTTCAACCGACACCAATTCCCAAGCCTAACCCCGCCGCCTTTGGGTGCCATGGACAAGAATTGGTGGTTTGGTAGCTAGGGGTTTCCCATGAACCCTCCAGAACATGGTTCAAATCCCCAAACCACCAATCCAAAGAACACACATTGCAAGAACAACACATCTGACATAACCTTTTACCAAATCAATACCTAAACCAATACCTTCCGCAAGACCAAGAACCCCCTAAAATGCCCCATGGACAATCTTAATAATTGGAAGCACGTTAAAGAACAGTGGAGGCCTGTGCATTTCAATCATCATGAATCATGGCCCTTTCAAAGGACGCCTATGATGCCTCAACAACAAAAACGTAACAAACCCTGAAGACCAGGACCCTGCACTTTTGCAGAAGTCCTGAAGATTCCCTCATGTTGCCCCCAAACTGTTCCACGGGACAAGTGGAACCATATCCATATCCCCAGGAACCAAAAGCAACCATGCTGCAGCGCAGAAACCATTCCCCATATCCCTTCTCCCCCCAAAAAAAGAAGAAGAAGCAGAAGAAGAAGAAACAACACCCACAACAAAAACACACCCACACACACACACCCACACATACAAACAAACCAAAAAAAAACAACAACTGACGCTCCATGGCCTGAATGTAGTGACACCTTTGGCCCCCGGAGTCCAGCTCGCTCATGGGCGGCAACGCCTCTCCAGCCGTATTCCCGGGGGGCCCCTGGAGCCTCTCCCATGGCTGGGGGTTCTCAAGGCCGGGTACTTGGCGCCAATATCCCGAATATTCTTCTTTAAAGGCAACATCCAGGACGGGTCCCTTTGCAAGGGCGGGTCTGGTGTAGAAAATTAATGGCTGCCAGGCTCCTACCAGAGGTCTGTGACGTCGGCAGGCTATCGGCACCTTTGAATATCATCCGGGATGATGCTCGGGTGTGGTCAATGTTGAGGCTTCCTCTTTTTGAACAGCAAACCGACGGAGTTTGACAATGCCATTTTGGCGTTCAAGCACATGGTTGAGCTTGCCGGAGACCATGTTCATCTCGCGACCAAACCTCTGCTCTTGTTGTACCCCCCCTTTTTTGGCAACCCATGGGGTGGGAAGCAGATCTTCTCTGGCGATCCACCCGATGTTGAGCACCTTTCGGAAAGGCTGAAATCTCAGGTCTGGTTTCCTCGTGTAGGTTGGAGCCTTGTTCGAAAGAGATCCAGTACCCCCGAAACAGCTGCTTTTGCCCATGTCCAAACTCCCAAGTACGGTAGCCAAACAGCAGTTGTTGATATGACGTTTCAGAATCGGACACTTCAGTGGGCATTCAACCTCGAACACAAAGGGGTTCGAGCACACGGGTAGTAGCACCAATCGCAATGATGCAACCACCAGACTCGCGGACATGAAGCCTGAGGTTGACGTTGGAAGGGGAGAAAAAACGTGAGTTTTAGCAGTTAAGTGGGGATTTCAACCACTAAATTCCACAATAAGCAAACATGTAAAAAACAAGGTTTCCCAAGGTTTCCCAACAACAATGATGATCTGGTCTGAACTCCAAGTTGATGGGCTTTCCAAACCTGAGTTGTGTGGCAGGCCGGCCATGTTTAGGCTCCGATTCGCCCTGGGTGCCCATGCAATTCGCCGGGATTTCAGTGATCAGCAATCTGAATATAGGTACACAAAACCCTGGCAAATGGAAACATGGACTAAAATCTGCGGATAACACCCTCGTGGCTTAATTTTGATCCAAACACATATGGGGGAGCTAACCCCTTCCAGAGTGCGACCGCTACTCAGCGATCTGGTTGGTATCTGGGAAGCACGCCATCGCCTCAACCCGAACAACAAAGCAACTCACTTCCTGAGTCCAAAAAGCGTTCTTTAGTTCAACTCGAGAAGTGAGGCGAACTTAACAAAAGCAAACACCCCTGGAAATTCGGCTTAGCGTCATGAGTTACTTGGCCATTTTGCTTTTGGTCATTTGGGTTTGTCATGTTGTTGTCGCTAAGCCGTAGCGCCTTGCACCGGACTCAACCCCCAGCTTTTGGTCCGATCCGTTCCGAGTTCCGCCTGCCCAGTCTCGCGGGCTATGCAGGTGGAGAGGGCGGGATACGCCTTGCCGGGGTCCCGCAGGAACACGGAGACGTTCACCGTGTAGTCCTCAGAACTGCTGCTTTTTTCCAGGTCGCTTTTTGGGGGCGAACTGAAGTTCGTCCCCACTGAAACAAAGGAGAGCAGCCAGAAAGGTTTGTTGGAGGCAACCTGGTGCAACCAGGTACCTCTGTTTTTGGGGGGGCAACCTGGGTACCCCACTGGCACAAAGGAGAGGAGCACCCGGCAAGGAGTTTTGGAACAGGAAACGAAACCAGCCAAAAGGCGCCTAATCCTGGGCCCCAGAACCCCAGTGCAATAGGGAAGAAAGATACTCAGAAAGAATGGCAGTTATAGAATGTGTATATATATTGTTTGCTTCACTTTGAGTCACTGGTGAAATGGTAAAAGGTATCCTAAGTCTAGCTCATGAGGAAAGGGAAACCAGCCAAAAAGCCCCAAGATCTGCAAAGAAGTTGTGACTAGTTCTGTGGCAAAATGGGGGCACCCGCTCCCAACATGGGTAGGTGTCCCTTTTGGTTTCCCTTAAGGGTGTGTCAAAATCCCCCTCACGAGAAAAAAACACAAACAAATGGGATTCACTTTAAACCATCCGTGGTTTAATGGGTGCTGAGCCTCAAAATTCACACACACACACACACAAGCACCCTGAAAACTCCCCCCCCCAGCTTTTTCAGCCACGTCGCGGTGACGATGACGTCGGACATCTCCAGGTATGGCCCGACCAAGTCCACCGTCGTCACCTTTTGATCGAGTTCGGTTCATCGAAATCCAACCAGTCCAACCCGGAGACAGGATTTCTCAAAACTGCGGGCCCAATTTCTTTGGTATCTAGTGAAACCAAAGGAAACCTCTTGGTTTAAGGGATCACTAGTTTGACCAGTTGGTGTAAGGGGCCACTATTTTGAGCAACCCTCAAATGAATGGTTGCCTCTGGCGGAAACGCAACTCAAATCCATTGGGCCAGGCTTGCCAGGTCGTGAAAACAACTGGACTCTCAATTCGGCAGGACACCCCCACTGGCCACAACCCTCAAATAGCTCCTGTTGAGGGCCCCCAAGAGGCCCTCAAGTCATGAATGAGCTTTGGGCTTTTGTTCAACGGCGCGAGGCTTGCGAGCAAGATGCAAGCGATACCAGCCCAAAATACGAAAACCGCAGCTTCAGGCACCGCCTTTGCCAAAAACCATTACCGGAGACTTGGGTGATTCCCGATTCTGGGATCGATGAAAATGCAACGAAAACCGTTTCGGCTTCCAGTGGTTCATCTGTTTCCATGTTGGCCAAACTCGGGTATCCGTTGGGTTGATCTGATGTCCCGTCCCTTTAGCCATCCTTCCAACTTCTCATTGCAGGTGCACACAAATCAAATCGCTGCCTGTCTTCATAACCTCCCTCAGCATCCCTCACTGTGGGTTGGCCTTCGTCAATAAATAGCTGGTTTTAAGGCGCTGAGAGGGGGGCCGGGGGCCTCAATGCGCGGGGTCTAAAGGGGTACCTTCTGGTGGGGAAGCTAAACAAAAAGCCAAGAATTGGAGCCGATTCCCATTTTGAGCAACCCCGTCGAAGATATGTTCGGCATATTCGGGCTTCCACTTTTGTAGGTACGCTTAAACCCAGGGGCTCGACCCTTTTTGGAGTAATTATTTTGAGAAACAGAAGCGTGAGTTCCAAATTTACCCTAAGTGGTGGCTTCATTTGAGTGGAAACACAATTCCATGTGGGGCTCCAACTAAAGAAAAACACGAGTTGTAACACCTCCAACTGGACTCGCGGGACGCAGACACCGAACCAAACCCACCAAACCCACCAAACTCACCAAGGACTCCAATCGGATTTGAGTCATAATCAAAACCGGTCTCGAAATGGTCGTAATCCCAGAGCCATGTAAAGAACTAAGAAGAAGCCCGCAGCTATTCATGGTTGGGATTATCCCTTACTACCCTTCGCCTACCCGGGATTTCATTGTGGCTCACATGTCAAAATGTCCTTTTCCTTCCCGCAATTGTCCATGAACCTGGCCTTCCAAAGGTCAAGGTAGTTAGACGGCATTGCTGTGCACAACCCACCAATGCACAAGACCATTCGATGGGATCCATTCGAGGCGCGGCCAAAGCATCCAGCTCCGGGCCGGCGGTGTTCGCGGCGTCCGTGGACCAGCAGTGGATGTTGTAGTCCTCGCTCAGCGAGCGAGGGCGCTTCGCGCGCAGTTTTTGCGTGAGGTGAACCCCAGAACAGGGGCCCGGAAACCGGGGGAGGCCGAGGGGATACACTGGGGGGGGAGGGGGGGGGGGGAAGGTTTCCCCAGTCAAGAATGGTGGATCCGGCCGGGGACCGAAACAAAGCATTCCCCAAAAAAATGGGGCAACCGCTCAAAGATGGCGGCTGGTCAATTGGGCTTCCAGCTCTTGGGACGTGCTGGACGGAAGCTTAAGACCAGCTAAACGAGGTGGTAGGATGGCTCAATCCATATGACATACACCTAAATATAATATGTATGTATGTACTTACGTATGTGTATATGTATATGTGTATATGCCTTGACCCTCAAACAGCAATAAATTTCTTGGCGAACTTATTTTGAGGCGCTTTCCCGATTTATTTGGCAAATCAGGCGTTTCCGATGGAAATGCGTCGATTTTGGTGGAAACCATGCGTTTGCGTCGCGGAGCTTTCGCCAAACATATACACGCAGTCAACGAAGCTTTCGTTTGGTGTGATTGTCACAAACGAGTCCCTGTGCCCTGGTCCCACCTGGAGGCCGCAAGCTTGCACACACACACACACACAAGACCCACAGAGAAACAGTGCCAGCACTCACTGTGTCTTTGTCCCAGTCGCGTTGCGCACAAGCGCTTGCAAGCGTGTGCAGGCTCGAAGTGGCTGCCCCGGGCTCCCGCGGCCAAGATTTCCCCCCAACTCCCTTTATCCCCGTGTTTCCAAAACAGCAGAAACTACAAGTTTTGGGGGATTTGCGGGCGTTTGCGGGTTTTTGCAAGCGTTTTGCGGGTTTTTGCAGGTGTTTTGCGGGTTTTTTTGGCGAGCAAAATTTGGGAAATCACCGGGGCCACCCCCAAAAACCTTCCAAACTTGCACTACTTGAGCCCAAACTAGGCTCAGGAATGAAGGCGGGTGTCAGCTGAAGCAGGTTAACTAAGCTAGAACAACAACATCAAATCGGAGCCAATTGCGCTTCAATTTGCTGGTAAAAGGATGTGAAAGGCATCGTGAGCTCAGGCGGTATCACTTGGCATCACAGTGAATGATGACATGCTCTTCAAGCTGCCTTGAAATCCCAACCGTGGCGGCACCAGTGCTACATGTGTCTCAAAATTGCATTGCCCACTTGTACGGCCCAATCCCGCTGCTTTCTGTGATTCCTTATCGTTTTAGTCATCTTAAGCGTTTTCCAGATTTTTATGTCGTCTATAGTCTCTATAGTCAAAGGGAAAACAACAAAACAACTCTTGTCGTTTGAGGCTCCAGGTGTATATGTATACGTATACGTATACGTGTACGTATACGTATATGTATATGTAAGTGTATGCATGTATGTATGCATGTATGTATGTATGTATGTATGTATGTATGTATGTATGTATGTATGTATGTATGTATGTATGTATGTATATGTATATATGTCAATGTATGTCAATGCGTGTCAATGTATGTATGGGTGTTTCTCAAAACAAGGGTCCCCTAAACAGGTTGGTTTCTGTTTGGCTTCCCTTTGAATGCCAACCAAAAGGGAACCCCTATTCTGAGAAACTCTATATACAGATATGGTTTCACATGCGGAGGTAAAACATCTTTGGGGGGGGGAATGCTTCCCTGTTCAGATTAAAGGGCCCCTAAACACATTTCAAGCGCCTTTAAACATTGATTCCTGTCCTCATACCATTTTCTGCATGCTTTCTTCTTTCTGCCACACAAGCATACTTCCCCTGAGCCCTCTCAAAGAAATCATCCCCCCCTCGAATGAGCTTGGTACATCCGGGCCGCTGCGCCCGGCGTCACGCCCTCGATGAGCACGTCGTTCTCCGACTCTGCGGTGTAGGCGACCTGGCGGGACCATCTATCCATATCTGTGTCTGTATCCGTATATCTAATACTCATTTGTTTATACTTCTGTACAGCGAATGCTCCTGGAGGGTGCTTGCAGTTTAATCCGCATACTCATATTTATGCATAGCAAATGCTGCTGGAGGGTGCTTGTTGGTCTTTCTTTCCTTTTGTTGTTGATTTTGTTTTTTTGGGGGGGAACCAGAGGAAAATGAAACTACACGCCTCCAGGGTTCGGAATCTCCTCTCCAGATCCATTTTGAGAAGGGAACACCCCCGTCGAACGAGGTTTGAACCGCGGCCTGGTAGAAAGCTCCGGAGGTCCAATTCTCCGCGTTGTTGGACACATAGACGTCATTGAAGACCTCGGATCTCGATTTCCGCGGAACCCGTCCCCTACGTATATGCTCTCCCCTGTTTGGTGGTGGGTTTGAATATCACCTTTTGGTCGTCTATGGGTGATTGCCAGGAGAAACATCACCCACACCAAGCGAAACTCGCGTGAGTGGGCCAAAAAGCTGATGTTGCAAACGACCCTTTCAGGGAGGCTGTTTCAACGACCGCGAAGCCGCGCCTGGCCCTGCGCGGTGTGCGACTCCTCTGAAGACATGCGCTCTGTCCAGGTGATGATGTCGTCAGACCACTCCAAGACCACCTGGACATCCCGACTTAGCCATTTGGGGGTATGTTTTGTTCGGGGGACCCCAAAAAATGTGCTATTCCGCTTTTAGCTTCCCTTTCAGACCACAAAAAAATACGGGGACCAAATCCAAAATGACGCACCCACGCTGGGTTCCGAGCTACCTGATTCCCAAAACTACTTTGAGGGTGCCATTGGGATTCTCTTTTTGGACTTGGGGCTTTGCACGATTTGTCGGCCCTGCGCCAGTGCGTGCGTTCCGCGTGTGAGAAGCAAGGGAAACGAAACATCTGGCGGAAGGGCCAGTCATGGCTCCTTGGTTTGTGGGTTTCTGGTGAAACTCCCTCCAAAAACACCCAACTCCATTTTTTGGGGGGAAACCTTCCCGCAAAAGCCGGAAAGCCAACGAAATGGTCTGAAGCCCAAAAGTAGAAGAAGCCCAGGAACCAGGGAGCGAGTAGCGATCTCTTTTTCGATACCCCGAAAAGCGGACGATCCGTTTCTCACTTGCCCAAAGAAGGGACCTGCAATGAAAGGTTGACCCAAGCCCAGACTATTGCCATGCAAAAAACCAAAAGCTCATTTCAAATTAATACGCTTCTTTCTGCAAGTGAACTTGAATCCAAAAAGGGGGTGCACGAACTCTATCAGTTGCCTGTGTGGCGTTACCCTTTTCAGGGATCCTTACATTCTACACCTGAACATTGACTTGCAAATGGTGGTGTCCAACTTTATGGTGGAAAAAGCAACATGTTTCAAATGGTCAAGCAAAATGGCTCGCTCTTTTCAGGAGCCCTGCGTTTTTGAGGCCGGGGAATCGATGGGAGAAAGTCGATGTTTCTGGCTCCGCTTCTCAAGTCCGATTCCATGAGCACCGAAGCACCCGGGTCCCAAACCGCTGCCTTTTTGGACAGCGCTCGGGTTTTTTTGTTTTGGCATGGGACACGGCAGGCAAGTTGGGGAGTAAAATAAGCTCGAGCTGAAAAAAGCTACGATGTTGAGATCAACCACGTGAACGTGATTGCTCAAAATCAGACTGATCCTCAAGATCACGCCTCGATGCGTTTCATGTCCTTTTCATTAAATCCAACCAAGTAGTTTTGGTTCCAAAAAAAAGCGCCCATTGTATAGCCCCCTCCAAAAAGACATGTGGGGTGTCCCTATGGTTTCTATGAAAAACCAAGAAACAAGTTTGGGCCCCCAAAAAGAGCCACACCCATGATAATTTTAATTTTAGAGATCCCTTGGTGAGCAGCAGAATTCGGGTCGCGATTCATGCCCACCACTATTCAGGTTCCCCCACAATTCAAAACGACCAAACGGTGATACATCGGGCCCGTCGGTGACCTTTTGGAAAAATAGCATCCCCTGCTTGAAGGGGTATAAAACCAATCCAAACCCGTGGAAGCCCGAGACTAACCTGAACAGGACATGATCAGGTAGAACACCCACGTTTATATAGGGAACCACACATGTAATGCTTGGTTTCCCTATGGCTGCCATTTCAAACCGAAAAGTGCCGAGCCACCCAAACCCCGGGAAATCCCCGGAAAATCCCCGGCCTTGCTGGGCACGCAGTCCGCCTCCCAAAACCCGCGGAACCGGAGGATGGCGACCTTCTGGCCGATGCCCATGTCGATGCCCAGCCAGGCATCGAAGATGGTGTCCTCAGTCACCGGAAGGGGCCACACCGAAACGGACCCCTCAAAAACCCCCTGAAACTTCCGCAGCGGAAGAGGGGGGAGGGGGGGGAGGGCACCCCCCTGCTGAGCTTGGTGCACTTGAGGAATGTGGATTCACGGGGAAAAAAAGGATTCCGTGTACGAGTCTCAAACTCAGATATAGCTCTCCAAAAAATGTGCAAGGGCAGTTTGAGGGTGGTTCGCGAAAAGTTATGCTTCATAGGTCGTCCACGTGGAGATCATCCCAGAGCAGCTCTGGCGCTATGTTGGGTTGAAGGCTGGTTTCGGACCGTTAAAACATTGCCATCTGCCCAAAAGGAGTCAAAATCATTTTCGAAGGGTCAGAAGTAGACTCCCGCTTTTTCTTTCAAACGCTGGATGTGGCTAGGTGTGAGGTAGGCACCCCGTGTTGCCAGGTTTTGCTTCAACATTGCTGTGCTTTTCCTGTAAGACTTCACCCGCCCCACGACGTTCCAACACCTTGGGATTCAATTCCCCTTTCAACAGAAATGGTTGGTCCCCTGCCAATGGGTTTGGTCTGATTGGAACCAGACCCTCAAACCTCACTGCACCTTTGCAAGGAAAACCAGCAATGATTCAGTTTCTTCCCCTCAGCAGCTTTCGGAAAAAATGGATTGCAGTCAACTAAAACCAGCACCATCTATTGAAAGCTGATCCAAAAAGGACACCTATGCCACCTGTACTTAGATCAATTGCCCGAATGTTTAATGGCTGCTCACCCTCAACTACAGTTTTCGGACACTGGTCATGGTCCGCTTGAGGTTCTTGGGGGACTGATCCATCCCACTGACACAGCGCCAAATGAGAGCTGCGGGAGGGTTCCTCTTTGACAAGACATGGCTCACTGACTTCGAACGCTCGCGGTTGGTTGGGATTCTTCAGCAAAACCTCTGTACCTGCCCCCAAACGCAAGCCGCGTTTGGCTTGTCTTGCGACCCAAGGAATCGAGCTCAGGGCGTGCCGCAAGGCTGGGGTCGACCTCTTGCGGTTGAAACCACCTACCTGGTTCCCCAGTTGCCAGGGTCTGGTTTGAACAGATGCCACCGAGTTCCACCGATCCTGCCGCCGCTAATCTCTCCACAAATTCCCCTCAACCCCCCACACGTTCACGTACTCTCTCCTTATCTTCTTGGGAATTGTAAGGATCTTGAGGAAGCGTTTGGGATGCTCCAGGAAACCGGTTGGAATATTCAGTTTGGGGTCACTCCAACTCATTCCCTGTCGAACCAGCAAGGTGAACGCCCACCCGCGCTTCATCTGGATGTTGCAAAATAGAGCGACTCCCAAAAAGTCGCTTTCATCTGGCGAAACCCAAATGAACCCCACCCCCAAAAACTTGCTGGCACCCTTCAACGAAAAAAACAAAACTCTAGCCGCAGTATCGAATCAAACGCCCTTCCAGCGGCTTCAATCTGAGGCGCCATGAGGTACATGGAGGCCATCGACCCGTCGAAGGCCGCAGCCTTGTTGGCACCCGAGATCTCAGGCACCTGACGAAGTCTTTTTTTGTTTTTGCTCCGGTGCATGGAGCTCATCCGGCAACCTCGAAAAAAGGAATTTGGTACTTCTATGGCAACAGTTTAACCTTTAGCACCAACTATAAGTGGGTCCTTCACAACCATAGGAAAAATGATTTAACTGTGCACAGTGGTTTTGAGAGGCTGGTTTTCCCTTTACGTACCAACCAATAGGCTGCGTTTCAGAAGCTCTTTGGGTTTGTCTCAAAATAGCGAAACCCTAAACATGCGCGATTTCTGCTTTGGTTCCTGTTGAAACCTAGAAACCCCCAAAAGCGTTTCCTGAAGAAAAGAACATGCCCGAAGTTGCAAAGTCGATTGACTTGGCAAATGACTTGCTTTCTAGGGACATCTAGGGACCCGTTTCTGGGGATGTTTGATGGCTTTCTAGGGGTTGATCATGGGTTGATCCCTTTCTCACTTCGTGAATCGGCCAACAAAAAAGCAACATACTTTTGTTGGCCGCTGAACTGGTCCGAGCAGTTTAAAAGTCCAGGACTCACCAGCACCCCTCCACCGGCGACAAGTGTTGCTCCCCATGTTCAAAATCGAAAGTACTCTGCGAAGAAAGCAGTGGTTGGGACCCGGGTGCTGGTAGGGGGTGACGGAATGACTTGGAATGAAACCATTTTTCCTGTGGTGCTATCCCCGGACCACCCTCCAAACTTGGTGCGACTGGACAAGCCATGAGGCTTGGCCGTGCCTAATTACCTTCTCATCTTCCCTAGGGACGCCAAGGGATCTCCAGCGGCAAACGCGCGGCATCGAAACCCACCAGCCGAGCAACCGGGGAAGGCACACGGCAACAGGAGAACGAAAACGCAAAGCCGAACAACCAAAACAAAGAATAACAAAACAAACAAACCAAACAAACCAAACGAACAAACCAAACAAACCAAACGAACAACCACACACGCACACACACGACCAACACGCCTACCAACTCCTCCCACCCACCACCCCTCCCACCCACCAGGCCCCCCCCCCCGAAAAAAAAAGGACCGCCAGAGGTTCGTATCGCCTTGGCGATGTAGTTGGGGGCCGTGACCTTCAAGCCCGTGCGCTCCAAGGGCGACACCTCGAAAAACACAAAGTCGGCTTCGGAAGGAACGCGCCGGAGAAAAAGCGCCCGGGGGTTGCGTGCGCGAAGAACACGAGAACAAAGAACAAACAACGAAAACAACGAGCCTCCAAACAAAAAGAGAAAGAAAGGACAGGCAACATCTTGATACACGACAAATGCCATTAGCACTATTTGTGAAAAGAAAACTGGTCAGCGGTTGGGGGGAGATGAGTTTGGCCAAGTTCCGATGGTGTTCCAGGAGCAAAACACTGGCACCCTTTCTTGTGGTATAGAATGATAATAAATGGGCCAACCCCTCAAAAAAAGCGTTGAAACAGGAAAGCACCCCACTGGAGATCTGGGGAAAGGGACACTGAGAAGGACTTGGGTTCTCCTTGGCTTTGGTGCTGAGTCGAACAAATCCTGGAAAGGGGGCCTGGTGCCTTTGTGATTCGGGTGTCGCACCCAACTTCCCTCTGAAGGGAACCTTTCAACAATTCGCGGGTGGGTTCCACTTGGGTAGGAGGCTACCTTTTGGGTTGGAATATCAACACAATTTGTTTGGGTTAAACTACCCTGAAATGAAATGGACAGTGACATTGCCCTAAACTGATTCCCATGTTAGAGGGTAGTCTGCGGGCCTCTGGGTTTGTCTCAACACAGGGCCCAAATTAACTCATGCCTTTTTTGTTGATGTGCATTCTCACCAACAAAAACGGTTCCTAAACAGGGGGTGCCGGGTATACCCTCTCCCAAACGGAAGCCCTGGTAGCGCCACTTCGGGCTCGCCTCGTAGAACTCCGCTTCCAGGATGTTGATGGTGGTCTTGCTGCTGCACGCGAAGCCCATGGGGATGCCTCGCGTCGAGGTCCGAATCCGGCGGAACCAGCGGCTTCCACGTGAGGACCAAAGGCTCGGATGTTGGGGTGTCTTTTTTGAGGGTACCCATGTTGGAGCCGTCTTAAGGGGAGACCAAAAGGGAAACCCCTTGCTGTTTGATGGTCCTGTTGTTTTGAGGCAGACCCATTCTTGAAGTGGTTGCGGGCATTTGGGTCTGCTCCCGCAAAAAAAATAACACCAAGAAGGAAGGTCATGATCCTTCAAACCACCATTTGTTGCGGGCTTCACATAAAGTCGGTACATATTCAGGGATCCCTCTAAACCGCCATAAACATCCAATGTGATGCCTGGCGAATGGTGGGCCATTTGGCGGATGTCACACAAAAGAGCCGAGTGCCGGGTACATGCTTAAAATCACCTGGTGTCAAAAGACAAATCCCCTACAATGGCTGGGACATGCTACATGGCCCAAATTCCTATCCTTTGAGCTGCTCTGTAAAACCACAACTGCGATTGCAGTTTGACTTTTTAAGGTCCACTGGCTGCCTAAACACGCATTTCCCGTGAATCCAGTCAGGGTACCAACTCCAAAAAAGACACACCCATGTCTCCAATTGGGAGGGGTGGTGTCCGCAGGACAAGGAGGATGCAGTTTCGAAGGCAAATGTCAAGTCAGAGCCAGTGCCATGAAAGCAATAGATGAAACTCCTCAAGTATTAAGCATCTGATTGAATCATAATCCGCAATGAATGGAATACTTAAGGAGTTGCATCATCCAAATTCGGTCAACCATTGTTTGTTTTGGGGGGGGTGAAGCCTTAGTTGTTGGTGAAACCCTGTCAGTGTCTCAGCAAGGATTCTACCCTGTTGCCGGGCGGACCAATTTTCTTCTCGTTGGTCAACATTTTAAGGCACGAGGAAAGTTGGTCCCAGAAACGGCAAGAACAACCAGACCCACTGCTTTTCCAATTTTCCATGTGGGTGGGTCTTAGCATAGGGGGACAATTCGTATTGGCAAGTTTCCCTGTGAGTGGTTTCCTTTCAAAACCATCCCAACAAGGGTACCCTTATAAAAAGACACACCCATGTCGGTGTGGTTGTTGCAGGTTCGCAGGACAGGATCTCGATCCCTTGTGGCTTCCTTTGATAGATCCCTGGGTTCATGTTGAGGACCTAAAATGTGATTCCTTGCCGAGCACCAGCAAGATTCAGGTTCAGCTATCCCCCTGCATCGAGGAAATTGTGCCATTTCACCCGTGCAGTTTCCTTGGCACCGGACTTTCAAATATGGCGAGAACATTTAACATCCCTCTGAGAAATCCGCCGGATTGTTGAGGTGAGCAAACCCAACCTGTCTTGTCTGGCCTCATTGTTTTAGCATCAAAGTCACTCCCCAAAGTGGTAGACAAAGGCTAAGGGAAACAACTGAATCCAGTCACTGACTTTCATGAACCGCAAAATCAGAATCAAACTAATGACACCAAACCTTCCATTTGGTTAAGACCCCTGGAAAAGAAGTAAACATATTTCCAATAATGATGGATTCCCTTTAAAACCAACAGGGGAAATGAAAAAAACATATTGAAGAAACTCAGCAAATCGTTTTAATGGAAACTTCGGTGGTTGCAGAGTTTCCCTAAAAAGGGAAATGGAAGAAACTTCTCTTCAGATATTTCCAAGAAGCAAGAGGAAGAGACTCAGCAAGCACCCAAACCCCACTGGCCGCGGCGCGGATCCGCCAGTACCGGTGCGCCGCAGCATCCCCGTTGCGGAGGCAGGTGCGGGGCGGGTCCATGTCTTGCGGCAAGGGGTCCTGAACCCCAAGCCCCCAAGCCCAGGCTTCCCGATGTCCATTGCGAAAAACAAAACACCCCTTTGTTGTTGGCAGGGGGTCCGAAAAGGCGCAAGTTTGCGGTCTCCTTCTTTTTGGTAGATGATTCAGGATTGGTTTTGGAGCTTTGCCCCAAACCGGCACTAGCCCAAAGCTCACGTGACCCTAAGCAAGCCTGAAGCCACCGCTGAACCAGCAGCTAACACAAATCCGCGCCAAGCCGACCAACCCACCCAACAGCAGACCCTAAGCCCGCCCAACAGCAGCCCGGATACCCTTTGCTGAGCCTAAATGAATCCCAAACCAACCCAAAGTAAGATCTAAGCCGGCCTAAAACCCATTAATCAAGACAGCAAGCTGTTTAGTCCCCCTTGCTTCATGAACTAATACTCAGCTTTTCGGAAACGTACAACAGCTGCGCAGCACCCGTACAAAGGACAAACCCCGCACTTTCTGTGTGTGTTTGCTGAAAACGGGTTACTCACTTGGAAGCTTGACTATTTTTCAGTAGGAGCGCCTGGGTGGTTTCCTGTGATCTCCCGGTCCACTTCATTCCCAAACCGGATTTTGTAAACCCCTGCAAACCAAGCTGAGAAGGTTTGTAACCCCATAATCAAAGCATCCGGCAGCCAAGGAATAAGATCCAACCAATCCCATGCCAAAAAAGCCTCAGGCCGGTTTCTTCTCCTTGCTGGGGTTGTAGGGCGGCACGCAGGCCGCACACATCGTGACCACGGGGTAGGAGTGCCCTATGTCCTGCGAGAGAATAGCCCGCAGTGGCCTGGTGTCTAACTCCAAATGGCCAAACTTCCCCTCAAAAATGCGGGAACCTGGGGAACCTGTTGGAAGACAAAGGCTTCTCCAAGAGGTCATTGTCTGCTCGGATTTTAGGTGGCTTCCTTGAAAAAAATCGATTCCTGGAACAAATAGAAAGAATAGGACAGCTATCCCTATAATGGACCACTGGACATGGGATAATGTTCGAGTTCTTCCCCCCTGTGGCTGAACGTGACCAAACCTCATACACTTCAACAAATAAAATACAAGAAAGGACCTTAAGTTCCCCCCCATATGTTGTGCTTAAGGGGGTAGTGATTTCAACATGTTTGTCAAGAGCCAAACAGTTTAGGATTGGGCCAGTCAACTGAGCTGCTCAGTGCTGGGACCTGAAAATTGTCCACCTTCGAGTGGGATGGTGAAAACGCTCCAAAAACAGAAACGGCAAACTCTGGCAATTTCTCCCGCAAGTTGAAATGGTTTTTGGGGCTTGGGATGGGAGGAATGTGTCTGTGTATGTTTTTGTTGGAGCCTTGGCCAGAACTCCCCAACGGCTTAATTAACCCAACCGGAAAATCAATCCACCTGGTACGGGCTGCAACCAGCAAAGCGGTTTTTCTCGGGGCTCTCTGGAAGGGGCCAAACCTGCCAAAAAGTCGGGGGGGGGGGGGGGGGGGGAAGCGCGTTTTTGCTTTCTTGGCGCGGCCGGGCCAATGGCCTTTCTACCCGATGGGCTGGGGCGCTGGAGCTTTTTTGTGGGCCCAATGGAACCTTCCCCCCAAGAGCGTGGGGGGTTCGGAGCGTCGTGTCCTTCACGTGGCCTGTGAGCCGAAGACGGGAGTCCAAGTTGCAGCTGCTGCCCTGGCTCAAGACTTTCTCAGACCCCGCCAAAAGCCAGGTCCTCCAGTCGAGAGGTTAGAATAAGGGCACCCGATTGTCTTCTGCAGTCTATTTGAGTAGGGGAACCCTCCCAACCAAAAAAAGGGTGAGAAAGGGCACCACTGGGGGACCTAGAAAGGGAACCTCCGTAACGAATCCCCCCAAGACCCACCCTTCACTCAGAAAGGAGGTATCTTATGGCAAAAAACCAGGAGTTTGAACATGTCTTGCAGAAAAGGCAACTTGGAAACTAACCTGGCTTGGGTGTGGTCTTTTCCCTTGCACTTTTGAACCACTTGGATGTTGCATCCAAGGCACGCAGGGGTAGAGCGTCAGGGTGGGCGCCACTCTATCCTTGGAACACCCCACGGGTGTAGACACATTACTTTGGTCCATATATTGTGTCAACCTTAAAGCACCGAGATATCAACACGCACCCGCGTCCCAACCATTGCTTTTCGGTTGCTGTACTTGGGATGTCGGACACGGTTGAAAAAGCAGCTGTTGGGCTGTTGGGGGGGGGGAACTGGACTCTGTTGTTTGAGAGTAGTTTGTGTTTCCTATTTATAAACCTTAAATTGAACATGTTTTTAGAGCACTAGTATTTCGGCAACTACCAGGGTCGGACCTTAATTGGCAAAACAAACCAGGTCTCAGAAAACAAACAACACGTACAAGTGGATTGTGTCTCCTGTATTGCCAAACATCCTCCACAACAAACAAATGTTAGGTTAAGCTAGATGATCTATGTTTCCGATTTACTCACTTCCTGAGTGGATGGGCCAACCAAAGGTTCAAACTTTTTAAATACCACTAATGGTCCTTCCCAAAAAGTGACTAAAGTCCGAAACGGAACTCGGGGAGTGAGTTTAGCGAAGTTTACACCCTGCGTGGTCCCTTATTTCCTGCCAGATCCGGCCGGGTCACAACCACTGCTTTTTGGTTCCCGTACTTGGGATGTTGGAAATGGTTGAAAAAGCAATTGCAAGTCAGAAGGCACTGAAGGGGGGCCTTGTTTGAAAAGGGGATCGCAGGGCACATGGGACAATTAAACCAACGCCCCGAGTCTTTTCGTGTCAACCTGACGCTCCCGCAAAAACGGCGGGTCCCAGCATCCGGCAAGATGATGTAGCCGTTGCTCTGCGTCAGGCCGCCGCCCGGCGCCGCCTAACCATGAAGCATGCATCTAGGTGAACAAAACTGTGTACAAAAACATATGAATATGTATGTATGTATATGTATTTATGTGTATATATATATATACATACACAATACACATGCATATAGTCATTGTGACCATGTTTATGCACGATATACGCGTAATCAACTACATATGGGCGAGGCTTCGGAGGGAGCCTCTGTGTTTTTGGCTGTTTCAGAGGGAGCCCGAAGGAAAACTACCCTTTTGTTTTGACAATCAGGTACCGTATTTTTCCATTTTGTAGAAGAATGTTGTAGACAGGAGTATGAGAAACCAATACTCAAAGGTGAAGCACTACCATTTGTTTTCAATGGACTCCCACAGCCAATACGGGAACACCAGTTTATGATCGTGACCCTTACTGATGGACGAAATCCATGTCGCACCCTTCAGAACCCTTTGATGATGCCCCATCAATACCAACAATGTATTTTTTGCAGGGTATCTCAAACCATTCATTTTGGAGATGCCCCTGTTTTGAGACACCCCCAAACCATGGTTTCAACTGCAACATGGATTTCGTCCATCCACAGTAGCTTCTGGGATTCCCCGCCATTCGACCAGTGGTTGGTTGCCAGTGCAACCAATCTTTACCTTGGAGTTTCACTATCGTTTTATTGGGACCCAAGTTGCCATGACTTTCATGGGAATCGGTTGAACTCTGGGGAGTGAATCGCTTCGGCTACCATAAGTGCCAACTGTACCTGGTTGGGTATGCTGGCTACTTGTTACTCACTATACTCTATGAATCCAAACATAACAAAGCAAACAGGCAAGCAGGCAGGCAGGCAGGCAGGCAGGCAGGCAAGCAGGCAGGCAGGCAAGCAAGCAAGCAACAAAACAAACAACAAACAAGCCTAACCAAAACACAAGCCGAGCACAAGCACAAACAAGCAATTCTGTCAGTCGCTCAAACGGCATTCAACGTCTGACTCGATCTCCGGCCTGTGAAGCCAAACGCATCTGGCCAGTGCAGTAGCATGGATCCGCGCAAGGGCACTCATAGCGAATGGCCGCGTAGACGATGATGGTATACTCCTGTCCGAATTCATGTAAACTGTACACAGTCTTCAGCTTGCGCCACCGGTTTTTTGGAAACGGCCTCAACATGGGAGAACACACAAACCTCAAGACAGTCCAAGAAACACATCGGCATGTGCGTTAAGATGAACAAATATGCTTGACATCAGGTTTAAAGTGAAGCCCGGTTGAATGGAGATAAAGATGCCTGCTTTTTGTTCAGCTTGTGCGCAGGTTCAACAGTCGGCCCCTCTGGGCTCTCAAAGAACACCATGGCGATGCTTTGGTTTCGCCTTGATTTCCCTTTGCAGTCATAAAGGACCCCTTTTTAGACGGTAAAAGAACACCAAATCGAAACACGCCTGGAGGAGTTGGTCCCCGATTTTTTGAGACACACACTCACCTTACCCCTCGTGGGAGTTCGGTGGTTTGAAGCTTCGGGCTGCTCCCTCAAGAACCAGGGGTTCAAACCCAGTCCAAACCACAAAAGGGTTGCCTGACTCAAAGGGACACCCTCATCAATACGAATAGGACTTGTCTCAAGAGAGGGGACCTCCCCAGAAGAGACGAAAAACAAACAAAGCAGCAAATCAGGTTGGATTTCGTTGGATTCTTCTATTTAGGTTCGCCCCCGATATGGACATGTTCAGCAACGTAGTGGCATACTCGCGCAAGCATTGCAGAAAGGAATCGTCCGGTTCAGGAGCTTCCCAGGCTACAAGCTGCACGCCAACGGAGCGGGTAAGGCGGTTGTCGCTTTTGAGCAACTCTATCCTCCGTTTGCTTCATGGTCCGCGGGAAAAAATAGAAACATTATCAGTAGGGATAGATTCTCTTTGCCACCAACTGCGGAAAACAGAACATTATTTAAAGGAAATTGAAGCTACAAGCAACTCTGTCTTTGCGCGAGGACTCATGCTGGGACCCTCTTTCAAGTCGGCACACAACAGCACCTGAGCAGCACCCAGCAACTTTGACTTTTCGATTGTAAACGGTTCATATAAATACATTCTTGACAGTTCTGTTGCACCAGGACTACTCAGCTTTTGCCCCCCCCCCAACCAAACTCAATGTGTTTGACTCTGGTCAATACTAAAGTCTATGATCCGGTCAAAGAAAAAGGATCCTGAATTCTTAAATTGGCCACACCTTTTTGTATGCTTACAGCTTGTCACCTCTGAAGTTTTTGACCAGGGCTCCTCTTTGTTGATACCCTTATTGAGGTCTCAAACGGGAAGCCAGAGGAGGAATGTTGGGACCCCGAGTCGCCGTCCCAGCGGTTTCAGCCTCGACAAATCGGAACGAGACCGACGCGTCTCCTGCGAGGGCTCGAAGAAGCAGGGGCCAATCACCTGGATGGCGGCTCGCTTTTTGTTTGGACAGTTCGGGTGCCCGCTTTGGTTGATGAAACAAGGGGAATCCAAAGGACTGGACACATTTTGGATACACCACTTGGTTCCACTGCTTAATGTTGTTTTCCCTTTCAAGCAGGCCAGGGTCTGCTCATATTTTTGCAGTTGCCCATCCCTGATAAGCCCGAAGCCCAAGTGCTGGGCTGGCAAACTGCTCGAAAAAGAGCTCGCGCGGATCCAGAATACTGTGGGTCACTGACTAACAAAGGGGGCCCACCCCCCCCAAAACAAGTTTGCGGGACCCACTAGAGAAACTTGGGGGCCAGACCTTTAGATTCTGAGAGAAGGAATGCGAACCTGAACATGGAAGACGAGATCAAACCCCTAAAGCATGGGCGTGGATTTTTTGGGGCCGTTTCTTTGTTGCAACTTCTTCTTTGGGGTTAAAGGAACAGAAGGGACAGCACCCGTGCCGAACCGCAAAGTTTTCAGTTGGTCGTTTGAGGGGTTGTTGCCTGCTTTAAAGGGACACCAAACCTCCCACTCGGCGAAAACGGCATCCCAGGCAGCCCCCCTGAAACGGCGGAGCCGGCCTTCGAACCCGAGGTCACGTCGTACTGGATGTTAGCCTCGAGGCACACAGTACCTGGACGGCGGATGGCGGTGGCTCAGTTGAATCATTGGGTCTGGACTAACTTGCTGGTGCGATAGGTAGGGAATCAGAATTGGAATGACACCCATAAACCATTCCTTCTGGTTTCCTTCAAGGGAATCCCTGAGTTCATTCCATTTCTCATTCCCTACTTATCGCACCATCACAAAAAAGGCCGCAAACAGACTCAGACTCAGATCCTTTGGCCTGGACCAATCGAGCCAGCCGCGGAACATGGCGGCTTCTGACCCTCGGAAGCCAGCGCTTTGGACGCTTTACTCGCGCCTTGGGGGCTTACAGGCGCCTTGGTTTGGTGTAGAAACCAACCAACCAACTTCATGCCCCTACCTCAAAGGGCACTGAACGGGCGATAGCGCCAGTTGCTTCAATTCGCCCCGCGAGAAGAGAGGGGATCAATCGGGTACTCTCCAGCGACTCACTTCCGATGTGGATTTTGCCAGAACAAGTGCACACCTGATTTATTTAAGCCCCCAAAAGCTGAAAGTCCAGAAACTCAGGGAGTGAGTCACCCTAAGACCAATGGACCAAAAAAAAGATCAGGGTGTATACCAAGCCTTAAGGATCCATGGTTGTATTTCGTCCCTTTGGGGGGCACTGGCAGTGATGGGTCCGAAGTCCAACTGCCGGAAGTTGCCACTGCTCTGCGCCTTGCTCTCTGCACCTCAGACGCGTTGTTTCGGCGACATCGCCGAGAAAAATGCTGACCTACCCACCCCCAGGGCTGCGTATGTCTTAAAAGGCCTGGGGAAAAAAGGGGGAAGTAATCATCCACCCCCAGGTGGGTAATTCTCAAAATGGCATTAACAAAAACTAATTCAAACAGGAAACTAATGGAAACCACACATTGTTGGGGAGCACTATTTTGAGAAACCCCGCATGTGCTTTCCTTTTGGGAAAACGTATTCAGCAGCCATGGGCAATTTGTGGCTTGATCATCCAATGGGGTATGCTATTTCCATGAGGTGATCGGCTGGGGCAGCAAGGTACAACCCCTCTCCCGCAACTGTGCCAAACCCCGCCTTCGCTACTGACATGATAGCCCCTCAATCACTCAATGGGAGAAACGGGAGGCAGCCTCCTGTCCATTAACATGGAACCTACCTAGAGGTCCCTTTTAAAGGAAAATCATCTTCCAGGACCCCTCAGTCAGGTTCCACGTTAATGGACAGGAGGGTACGTACCAAACCATTTTTCATGTCGTACTGAACAGCTGTTGCCCCCAAAGCGGGAGTCATGTCAAGCAGAAATCGACCAACTCGCTGGACCTTCAAGGCGATATGCCAACCCCTTGGCTGGCATTTGCTTAGGCCCCCTGGCAAACAACACATGCGATGAATTCCCTTCAAAAGCAACAGGGGAAACACAACAATCTTCATTTCAGCCAATGTCAAAAGCAACAGGGAAAATACAACAATCTTTATTTCAGCCAATTCAAGCTGGTGAATGTTTCTCAAAACTCGGGGTCGCCGAATATTTGTTCGACCACTGCGCCTATCTTGGACGGGAAGCTGCACTGGTCAGCATCAAACCTTTGGGCTAAGTCTTGGACCTCTGGCCCACTCAGCCTAAGCCTCCTGTTGCCGAAGAGTTTGCCTCCACCCACTACCTTTTGCCGTTTTTTTCCCAAATGGAAACCACTTGTGGTGCCTGTATCCAAGAAGATCACCTACAGCTTAATATATGAATGGCACTTATCCATATCCATTTCGTCAGCTCTTGAGTTTCAGAATTCAGGATTTGTTCCACTGCCCCCAAACCACTACCACCCCCAAGCGGAATACGGGGTGTATAACGTATGGTGTTATTGTGGTTGCAATCCCACAAACCTTCTGGTGGCAATGGCTTGGATGGACAGCATCTTGCCATAGAACTGGGTGCATCAATGGGGAACCCCCAGCAGGGATTATGGTTTCCCCTTGGTGTCACTTTGTCTCTGCCCAAAGGACCCAGAATCTAAGGCTTAAAACATTTCGTTTATGGCCAAACTGGGGAAACAAACAGTTTTTGGCCAAACTGAGGAAACAAACAGATCTCGAAAGCTCGGGGTTGGACTGAGTGGATGAAAATTCGGGGAGTAGGGGGGTACCTTTCGCCTCGCTTACGACGCTGAGCAGCCCTTGGGTACCACAGCCACATCGACCCGCGCTCCAGGGCCGCTCATCTCGGTCGTCACCTGCCACGCAGTCAGCGGCGCTAGGCAACTTGACTTAGACACCCAGAAAACAACAAACCAACAGTTTGGATACAGACAAATCTGCAGGAAATGGACCCAAACACCCTAATCGGCTGCTTTCCTGTAGAATTTCGTGTAACCCAACCAATAGAAAAATAATTGCTTGCTGGTTGAAATGGGACATGAAGGAACCTCAAAAAGGCCAAATGTTAGTTGAGTCTGGCAGTGTGTAGGCGTGTCATTGTTGAGGGTATCCGTTTTTTGGGAGTATTCCAAAAAAACAGCAAGGGAACACACGTATCCTGTTGTGCCCCTTGGACACAAACTCAGGACCCCAGATTTGGACCAGCTGCCGACTTTTTTGCGAGCGCAATCCGGATCCATTCAAAAACGGTTGACAGTCCGCGCCTCTATAAATCGAGCAGAGTTTAATCTGAGGGGTGCTCCAACAGATTGGGACAAGGCACCTGTGCCCCAATGGAACGCCCAAAACAGTTGCTTCCCCTTTTGCATTTGAATCCGCCCTAACTAAGGCTACCCTCAAAATTATTCCAATAAGACACCCACATGGGAGTGTCTCGGTTTGAGAATAGCCCTACAAACTAACAAGAACCCAAAAAGGGGGTCTCCTTAAAGGAGTTTCCTGTGAGAATTAACATGTTGTGGGTTCCGCGTTAGTCTGAAAGAGAGTACCCATTTTGGAGTGCCTTGCTTTGAAGGCACCTATTTGGAGTCAATTTAAAGAAAACCCAAGCAAAAGCAGCCATAGCTGGCTCGTTCCTCTTGCAGACAAACATTTAAGTTGCGGTCTGAAAGGGAACGAAAAGGGACCATTTCAAATAGGAGGGGGGCAAAACCGCTTGGAGACAAACTCGCTTCTTGCTCTCTGAAAAAAAAGGCCAAACAGCCTCAAATGGCTCTCTGACTCCAATCCATCCGGCCTCCAAATGCAGCTGGCCATCAATGTAGCTGGGTGCCACCACTGGATCCTATCGATCGATCCAGGACACTTCCTGAGTCACAATCACAACCCGGCATTAATATGGTTTACCCAGAACCATGTAAAGAATTAAGAAGGCGGCCCGCAACTATTTCTGGCTGGGACTGCCCCCGGGTTTTGAGCACGTGGCTCACCTGGAGAGAGGAGAGCAAAGAGGCGACCTAGACCCGCAAACTACCCCCCAAAAAATGCGTGAAATCCGCATACGATCCCAGCCACGCGCTGTCGCTTCCTTTCTTTTTGACGGGCCGAGGAGTGCTCTTCGCATTGGAACTCAACCACCTTGGTATGCCATTTTTCACGAGCAAGACAGAAAGCGCGCCGGGGCTTGTGCCTGGATTACTGGAAAGAAGGATCCCTGTTGAAAACCAGTATGCAAGGTTGGCCTGCTTTTGCTCAGGGACATTCCTCTTCATGTGGGTCAGCCGCTGATTTTGCATTTTTTTCCACCCTAGAGGCTGCCTGCTGCGCGACATCCTGAAACCACGGATCTCAGCAAGTCTCGTGTCCCAGGAAAGGCCTGGTTTTGAACATAAGACAAATAGACAACTAGACAAGGCATTTCCTCCCTTTCGAATGGATTATCCCTGTACAGTGCATTTTCCATATGTCAGCACTGGCATCGAACCCTGAGAAGAGTGTTGTCCTGTGAAGCAACGATGTTGTCCTGTGAAGCAACCGCTTTCAGGGTAGCATCCAACAGTGAGACTCAGAGGGGACTCCGAAAATTATGCAACCAATTTGAAACACAAAACTGGGTATCTGTTTCTTTGGGGATATGTCCGCCCTGGGCCCACTGAGCTCAAACTCCCCCAGCTTTTTCTTCACATGCCCACTTGCGCCATGGCTCTACTTTTCCACATGTCCAGGGATTCGTGGAACCAAAGCCTGTTGAAGCAGGGTTTCACATTTGATCTCCCAGAAACAATATTGATTTTGGGCGTAGGGCTCTTGGGCACCCCAAAGCCTCCCACAAAAACATCGACCCATTGCCTGCAGGAGGATCATCGACGAGTCCAGGATGCCGAGTCGCCTGGAGATTTCCGCCTCACGCGCAGCGAACGGGCGCTCGGGCAAAGCAGGTCGCAGAAAACTCAGCGCCCAAAGGCTTCCGATACTTTATGGGCCCTGAAACAGCCAGGTTTTGAGAACCCCAAATGGTTGCAAAGCACGGACCCCCGCAAAACAAGCACCCAAAAGGAACTAGCTGTTGGCCCAGCTGTCGGAGTCGGGGAAGCCCTGGCGACTGCGTATGGAGGTGTGTGTTCTGCGATTGTGTATGCTGATGATAATTGAAAAAGAACAAGCAAGATACTCATGTAGTAGTGTATAATAATATATATATATATATATTAATATATATATATATATATATTTCACCCCCCCTTGAACTACTCAGGTTGTTGGCCAGAACTGAGGTTTTTGGCCAGAATGGCGGCATAAATCCATGTACATGCCAGTTCAGTCTATTTTAAACATATGTTGCAAAGCAACTATCTCAGTTGTGTGTTGCTTGCCTAAGTTGATTCAATCATCGCCAAAAACAACTATTGAACTTCAAGTAAAGGACATATATCCAGTTTAGCACGCTTTCGAGTTCAAACCAAATTCAATTCTAACCGTTTGCAGTTTCTTGTGCATTTCAACAATCAACACGAAAAAATAACTATTGTCATGGCCAAATGAACTTGGAATCAAACTTAATTTGAAAGGGTTTTTGTCCTTTTCGAACTCCATGTGGTTTGAACCAAGCAAGAACTGAGCCAAGCCAATGACAAGACAAATGCGTTCAAACATTCATCTTATTCTTGGCAGAAATGCTGTAAAACGCTGTGTTTCAGCATTTGCTGAGATCGTGTTGCCCTGGTTCCAAGATCGAATTAATATACGAGATTCCACAAACATATTTGTAGAACATCCTCAATCCTGGTCCCCCAAAAGCTTGACAGTTTGTTCTAGACTCATTAAGGATTTGCCCCATGCATTGAAGATTGAAGAAGATTTTGTATTTGAGAATCTTCCATCCTGGCCAGCCCTCAAGTCCACAAAACACCTGTACAGGTGTCAACAACATTTTTGCTGCCTGACAACGTGCACTCCCGGTCTGCCTTTTGGATTCTTCAATTCCGCACATAGGGCAACCAAGGATCTGGATTTTAGCTTGAAGATTCTCAAACAACTCTGTCTGATTCTTCAAATATGTATTTGGGGCAATCCAGGATTTGCTAGCACGTGCTAGCACATCCTGGATTGGAGATTGAAGATTGAAGATTCTCAGACCACTTGTTCTGGAAATCTTCAATCCACGCTTAGGACAATCCAGGATGTGCTAGCACATGCGCACCCTGGATTGCCCTAAGTACAGATTTGAAGATTCCAGAAATATTTGCCAGAAATCTTCAATGTTTGATCTTCAACCCAGGATGTGCTAGCACGTGCTAGCATATTCGGGCTTGCACTAAGTACCGATGCTAGACTTTAAGTCTAAAAAAGGAGTGCATTATGAACACCTCATTTTAGAAGCTGGAACGTGTGTTTTACTGCATTTGTACAGCCAAAATGTCAATTTCTGGCCAAAAACCTGAGTATTCCAGGGGGGATCCTGGATTGCACTAAGTACCGATGCTAGAGTTTAAGTCTAAGAAAGGAGTGCATTTTTAGAGCCTCATTTTAGAAGCTGGAACGCGTGTTTTACATGCATTTTTACAGCCAACATGTCAATTTCTGGCCAAAAACCTGAGAATTCCAGGGGGGGGTACCATAAAAATACATATAAACATACTCTATTTGCACACCGGCCAAAAGAAACACATGTTTGGGTATGCTTCGAGAGAGAGGGACCCCTCAAAATGGTGGTTTCCGTGTTGGTTTCCCTCTAGGCCAAGCTGAAGAGGATGCCCTTAAAAGAAAACCACGCATCACAAACACAACACATACGTGTATATGTGTATATATATATATATATATGTATCTAATATTAGATATCTGGGTATGTGCAAACAAGGGGGGGAGCTCCGAACCTGATGGTCTCCCTTTGGTTTGCCTCTAGCCCCAAAACGGGCTAAAGAGCCTCAAACAAGCTCCAAAACGGGAGTGTTGAAAGGAAACCAAAGCACACCCGTACCCTTTGATATTAATCTCTGCGTTGCCCTAAGTTTTTCGACACACGCTTTTTTGACGTGTCCATGTTTGAGGGTCTTTAAGGGCAACCACCAATAAAAGCCCAACCATCCTTTAAGAACAAAATCTTAAAAACCAAAACATCCTCAGAATTCTGGGAGTCCAACTTTACAAAAAAACCAAGCCCAAATGGGTTTTTGCGCCTGGCCATGGCTGTTCTTGCAGAAGACCAGGAAGGTGTTCACATCCTCGGCGTAGCGCAATGGCTACGCAAAAGTCCAAAAATGGAGTGGCTCCCTCTGCTTGGAGCTGACATCTGTGGTTCTCTCTTCTTTGCTCTGTGTTTTTGTTGTCGTTGGGGGGCGGAAGGTCCTGTAAGGAGAAGCTTGTTTGAAGTTGACACCCATGGTTCGACATCCATTTTGTGGGGGTTGCTGTGGGAGTTGACACCCATGTTTTGAGGGGTTGCTGTAAAGGGAACTTGTTTGGAGTTGACAAAAGCCAATGGAAACCGCCGCCAGCTCTACCCACCATGAAAGCGCACGGACCCCTTGGAAGACTGCCCTCCAAAAGCAGTCTGATTCCCCAACAACGAAGGACCCCCCACCCCTGAACATCCACCAGGCTTCCTGCAGGCTTCCCAAAGGATTCCTTTCCGGGTTTAAGGGTCCCACACCTCGGATCAATCACAAGGAGATGACTCATCGGGGGCACCCTGTTTCCTTCGGTGGGACATGGACCCGTCGACTCCTCTTTGGAAAATAGATCGATTCTTCTGAAGGCCGGCGCATTCGTCAGCAGCCTTTGGGTATGATGTTGGTCCTCAACCTTAATCTAAAGTTACTCGCCAGATTCACCTGGAACAACTTTGTAGAGGAATCAGCTCTTGGGGTTCCATGGTAATGTACGGAGTGCCAGAGGCCGTGAAAACGGTTAGCGCTTCACCTCCAAGAAGCTGGAAGCAGCTGTGTGTTCACCAGCACGGAGTACTGGTATTGGCCAGTTGCCTCGCACATCCAGGTGAAATGGCATGTTGGTGTCCTTTTGGTTTCCCTTTGGACCAATCAAAAAGAGGTTCCCCAACAAAAAGACACACCCACTTGGGAGAAGGGTATGAACAACGGCAATCCTTCTAGCGGCTTGCTTGAAAGGGGAATGCTTACACACAAACCCACACACGCACACCTAGGCCTACTAGACAATGGCCCAACAAGCGTAGCTCGTGTGCATTCTTACCACCGCTTGAGCCAAAAGGGGTAGCAAAAAACAGCAAGAAGCGAGAAACAACAAAAGGCTTTTGTCGGGTTGGTAAAATCGGGAACTCCAACTTGAGAGGGTGTCCTGTTTTCCCTTCAAACCAACCTGAAAAGGGTACCCTGAACAAAAACAAGCACCCATACTGGCATAATATATTTTATTTAGCTGACAAGCGGCCAATCACTGAGGCCCAATAAGCCAGCAGAAGGACGCTGAAGGGGTGCCCCTTTCAGGGTTGCCCTTATTTTCACCTTTGCTCTCAAACATCACCTGTCACCTGTTGGTCCCTTTCGAAGTGACTGTCATTTGGATGGGGTGATGTTTGTAGAGACTGCCTTGCTGCTTGTTCTTCGGGGCAAAAGGATGCCAACTCTCGAGAAAGGTCAACGTTTGGGCACGCTTTACCCATCACATGCTTACAGGGAAGCCGAAAGAGAAAACCCAGTCTTCGGGCTGCACCCATTGGACACTCCCCAGAAGAACATGCACATTTTGTCGGGTTTATTTTCCCAAACAGCAGACTCGAATATCTTAGCCTGGATGGCTTCTTTGGGTTCCACGCGAATCTGCAGAGCTATCAACAAGTAAGCTCACCCCACCTGAGGGAGTGATGAAAAGAGGAAGCCCAACAAGAGATATCCTTTCCTTGAATGGGAACCGTCCCTTAGTAAGCATTCTATTGGGCTATCTTTTTTAGTTGCGGTTCTCCCTTGGATTTCCCTTTGAAACCACAAAACAAAAATAGGGCCCCGGACCGAGAAGAAGAAAAAACGGGAAGACTGCGTCCGAAGTGGCTGGAACAATGGCGAAGGGTTCGCTGCCATCGGGCCAAATACGGCTGAAGTATCCTGCGCTCCGGCTCGACTGAGTTTTGCCGCGAGGTTCAACCCCCGTTTTGCCACCCCAAAATGAGCCAGGAGGTAGTACCCCCAACAGCAACCCCGCTCAGCGCCGTTCAACCCATGACCCCCCAAAACCCCAAAACAAAACGACCCCGGGTACTCCCAACAACCCCAAAAGGGCCAAAAGGAACCACACAATTTGAGGCAAGCAGCTCCGAACTCTGGGCCAGGAGGATCCCCAAGCTTTCTGCTATGGAACGAAGGGAGCAGAAATCGGACCTTGAAGATGTGAAACAACTGGAACTTTCGCACATGGCTCCGCAGAATTGGCTTCCTTTTGGGTGTTTGTTCCCTACATATACACAACAGCGCCCCGAGCTTTGTGGCTTTCCAACTTGCAGCCTCACATTTGCACATGGATCCCAAGCAACGATTTCCCGTGAAAAGACCGGCTTGGAAATTGTAGCTTGGGAACAACTGAAATGCAAGATCGGGATCGGAGGGCTCTGAAAACTATCATCTTCAAAGCTCCGGTGTCCACTTCCATGATTGCTGAAGAGAGGGTAAAATAAGGCACCTGGATGGCCTTCAAAGGGCACACAAGACACAACTTGACAAAAAGTTTCAAGCAAATTAGTCAATCAACTTATATACGGGTGTAACATGTCTCGAAATCACTCAAGCCAAGATTTGGATCATTGTCTAAAACACAACCTACATGCAGGCAATCATCACGATGGATTGAAAAAGCAGTGTTACTTGCTCAAAAAACAACAACAAAACGCAAGACACTCCAACAACCAAACAAACGTTGTTTTTATCAATCAAACAACCAACCACTGTTTAAAAAAGGGCAGAGAAACAAAAAACAATGAAACCGACCCAGTGCTTTTATCAACCAAACCCCGCTGCCAGGGGTCCGTAGTAGACGTGGTAGTGAGTGAAGTTCACTTCCGAGGCTGCGGAGGTGATGGTGAGGGTGCCATAGACCTCCCATGGCAAAAGCGGAGCGAGCTCACGCCGCCACAAAAAAAGCGTGGCGTCTTGGGGGTGGGTGTGTGTGTGTGTGTGGGTGGGTATGTGGGTGGTGTGTTTATTTGTCTGTCTTACTGAACCCTATAAGGGAAACTTACATATATAAAATGGGGATTTGATATCCGAAGATGGTTGCCTTTGTTTCTGGAGTGACGGCCTTCTCGGCAGTGAAATCGGCGGCAAACATCTGAGGCGTCTAGTGGGTTCCAGGCGGTTGTCTTGTTGGTGTGAATGTGCCTTTGAACCAAGCAACGAACAAAGATCCATACTCACCTCCGCAAGAGAATGGCACTGAATGGCACTTTTGGGGGTTGAAATCCATGAGACATCTCAATCTTGGGCACTTTAGGGGGCCCCAGGTGCTGGCGAAGAGGCTACACCCCCCCTTCTTTTCCGAGGTAGCAAGAAACCAAGTTTTTGTTCTGGGGTCTACTGGGATGGGGACCGCAGAAATAGGGCAACTCGCGCCTCTGTTTTTTTCACTACTGGCAACCTCTCCAACGACCAGGGAGCTGCCCGCCATAAATCAAGTCTTAAGTGTGTGGAGAACCTGACGTGACCAAGGAGACCCACATTCCCAGGACTTTCTACCGCGCATGCTCCAGAGTTCCATGGTGACAAACGAATCGTCATACGTTTCGGTTGACTCTACCGGGCCCACCCCCTGCAAAACAGCAAGTCCTACACCCCCTCTAAAATCACGTGCATTCCCTTAAAACCGCTGGTTCTCCCTTCGAACCACCCATCTTCGCCGCTGGAAAACGCCTCACACGGAACCCAAAGGTCCCCATCCATCCGCATCCGCGCGCTTTTCCGCGCGCTTTTCCGCGGAAAACGGGGGCCTTGGCGGCCAGCGGGTTGGTGTCTTCGAACTCCAGCGCCCGGGGCCGGAGCTGCGGCAGCGTGCTGGTGCCCGGGTCCGCGCCCACGAAGGGCAGCATCACCAAGCTGCCTGCGAGAGCGAGTCAGCGAGTCGGCGAGTCGGCGAGGTGAAACCAAGTGGGTTGGGGCCATGGCCACGTATAAACACCCCTGTTTTAGGGGGGCCATGTTGAGAAGCACCCCAACATGCGAGTTGCTGAACGAAATTTTAGGGTTGCGGCCATGGCCGCAAGCAGCCAAGGGGTTGAGACACACCTCGAACTGCTGGCTCTCCTTGTGTTTTCCCTTTGATCCAACCCAAGAAATCAGTTTCCCTCCAATTGCTGGTCTCGAAACTTTGGTGGAATGGGGGAGCTTAGAAGGGTTCTGAGATCTGGATGTAGCCCTAGATTTGGTGCGCGAGAAACCAGGCATTTTATGGGCGCAAAACTGGATACCCTTGGTATTTGTAGACACTTGGAGCCTGCTTCCCTGGTGATCGCTTCACTTCTGTTCCAACCCTAGGTCTTGGAAGACACGATGAATTCCACATCTGGTTTGCAAAAATGCTTAAAAGTCAGCAAGAACACGGAATCCGTTGGTCCCCCCAGTTTAAGAGGGACTATATGTGTGGAGAGATTGGCCTTGATATTTTTCAAGGAATTCCTAAGTAACTTTCGTCATTGAGCTCATTCCATATTACCAGAGCTTCCTAGAAGTAGTGCAAACTAAGGTGTTCAACATGCGGAGGTGCTGAATTCCTTCACTCTACAAGCGAACCCACTCGCCTCCATAAGAATTCCCCGGGAGATGTATCGCCATTTGAGGCCCAGAAACCTTCCAGCGCCAGGACGTGATCAAGGAGTGATAAAGATTGGTTTGGAACCCAAGCTTCGACGCAGGTGTTTCTTCTCTTTCCGGGGCGCGGGACTTTGGTTCCAGAAAGGACGCCTGCACATGAAGCAAGGAGCCGATGAGTGGTCAGGGGCCGGGGCCCCGGCCTCCGCCGTAGGGCTCTTGCGGTGCATCCAAGTAGACCACCAGCCTCGGTGCGGAAACAACGCCACCATTTTGGCCCGACCCCCCCGTTTGAGACAAGCCCAACTAGTCAACCTGTGAATCAACTGAATACATGAAAACACGTGGAAGCCGCTGCGTTCAGCGAAGCCGCTGCGTCATGCGCGGTGCGCGCGGGTTTCGATTTGCGTGAACTCGTGTTCCCAATTTGAGGGGAGTCCATGGACACCCAAAGGTCCTGGCGATCGAATGCAGGTCAGCAGAAGGCCACAAGTTCCCTACCATAAGGCTTGCAACAAACACTAAATCCACTCAATGTCGCCGGAACAGAGCGGAAACCAAAAGAACCCCAAAACCTTTGAGAGATCCTCTTCCCCAAAACGGGAGGCACAACATTCGGACGTCAAGAAGCGTGTACTCGATGCCCGGCTCAAATTCGCAGCCCACCAGGAAGGGGTCAAAGTAGAAGTCCTGCGAACCATCGCTGCCATGTTTTTGGATCGAGGTACCACTTCTTTGGAGTGGCTTTTAAAAGGGAACCCCTCCCATCTGGGCGTAGTTATTTTGTATTTCTTCAAGTTGGTACACTTTTCAGGGTTGCTTTAAAGTGGGCAACCGCACATGTTCATGGGAAAGTCAATCTCATCTCTAGACGCGCTCTGGATCCCCGCTAGCAAACCCGTGCGGTGACTCACCCCGACATACATGACTTCACAAAACAAACGTGCAGTGCACACAAGGATCCAATGATAGCAAAACCAACGTCAGCTCTTGCAGGGTTAAAGTGAAACAACAGATTGTCTGCAATATAATTCCAAAAGCTGAATTAAGGAATCTACCAGAAAAGCATCTTTATCTATCATGGTGAACTCATTTTACCCCCAGGTGAGCTCGCCCAGCATTGAGTGCGCGCCGTTCCAGAACCCCAAACCCTGAGTTTGTCTTCGTCAAGCTTGAAGTCTGCACAGGTGTGTGTGTGTGTAGCCTAGCAACGAATGAACTTCCGTCTCAAAAGAGGAGCAACATACTCAGCGACAATTTGCACCTGTGTGGCGAACGTTAAGCTTTGTCCATTGCACACTATAACATGTTCTTTTGACCCGTCAAATTAGACAATCAGCAATTATGGTAAGCAAATCTCTTGAAGCCACCAGACTTTCTCGCTGTGATCACCAAAACCTGTTGCATGGGTGAGTGTAAATCTGGTATCATCAGACATGTCACATATACTGTAAGTACTGCAAACACTCAGGCAGCGGGACAAACGCAACCTCCCTTGTAGAACTCTATCATTTATAGGCACCGTACCACTTTTCGGGTACAGAACCTGTCTTCCACCAACCAGACACGTGTCGAAAGTTCCAACATTTGGCCAGCAAAAAAGGTCGCCCAGCCACCTCACCGTTTGCCCCCGAGGTCGTCCCGAGGTCGTTCCTCAAAGGTGACGAGGCCACGGGCTTCGTCCCTCCAGTCGCACAAGGGACTGTACTGGGCAGCCAGGATCTGCTCCCTCCTCAGATCTGACAAAAAAAACACGGGGTGTGGGGGTGCGCTTCTTTTTAGCGGACCACCCATCCCCCCCAACAAAAACAAAAGAAGCAGGTGGTTGAGCTTGCGGGTTTCCCTCCACGGATTTCCGAAACCAAACGCTGTGGAGGAGGAAGCGGTCTAAAGTTTGGCGCTGTTCACGGGTGGGGCATCTCCATGAAAGGTGCTCCCGACTCAATTCTCGGGGCTCGGAAATGGTAAACATATGGCTGTGAATTTTATGTATAGGCCTCCCAACAAAAAATGGGATACATGCACCCGAACTTTAATGTGGGGCCCTTTGGTGGACCTTAGTGGATGGTTGGACTTGTGTCCACCAACCACATTTAAGTAGTTCCCTACTAAAATTCATATTGGGCCAGAATGGTTCCGGACGAGTATGGCAAACACCTCACAAACCTTTTCTCAACGTCAAAGGAACCAGGAAGGATCCCGGTTTGCTTTCTGTTTGAGGCTGCATCTTTCAGGTTGGTTTAAAGTGAAATCAACAGGGAAAACAAAATCCATTGTAGGGCACAACATGCCCTTTATGTTGACCCCGAATTAATAGGCCCGTTCTACTTGTCTAGGGTGTGTTCCCTCCCAAAGTGGTCTGAGCCCCCACTCAAAGGGGCATGCCCATCTCTCAGGGTGTTCTGCTTCATCCGGTTCGCATTGTTCTGCCACATGCTGGGGGCATGACTTTGCCTTTGTTTCTTGGGGTTATCAAAGTCGGAACATGTCTTTCGGTGCTTTCCCTTTCACCCACGAACGGGGGGCGACTTTCATGGTAAACACATGGGGCCAGTTGGGGGCCAGTTGATGGCTGGGGGATTGGCGGGGCTGGGGTATTGTAACTGTTTCCCTACCCACTGGGGTGTGAGCCCAAACGTCCCGAGCCCCGCCGCTGTCTCCGCCCGAAACCCGCCAAAACCTCCCCCCCCCCCCCACTCCACCATCGACCCGACGCCCGACGCCCGACGCCCGACGCATCCGCAGCCCAGGGCGCGTGACTTCGCCGCGGAGGATGGCGAAGAGCCAGAGCTGCCCAGTGGGATACTTGGCCTCGCCGGTCACCTGGCAATTGTTTAGTGGGCAAACACATGCCACCTAACCTCAGGGAAGCCAAAAGCTGGAGGAAAAACAGGGGGGGGGGGGGGGGGGGTTGGGCCCAGAAAATACGGAAGCCAAAAGAGGTTGATGAAATAAGATGGGTGTTTGGAGTCCAGAGAGTAAATCAACCAAGGCTTGGGTAGGGAACGTGAAAGGAGCTTGCTGACAAAGAGGTGTTTCAACATGCAGCTTGGCCCCTGATCCCTGGAACCGGCTTCGTGTGCATCGTTGCAAATGGGAAGGGAACCAGATATACATGTCTATACATACGACCTCTATAGGTGCTAACTGATGGCTTTCCCTGGTTGCCTGTTGCGACTTGCCGGGAATCACTGAAAGAAACCAGACGGAAACCACCAATTGTACTTTTTTTGATTTTGGGGTTTGAGGGTTCCACATCGTATTGAGACTGAAGGCTTTTCATGGTAACCATGTACCTCCTTGTATAGTCAGCGGTTGACATCTAAATGAGCTTTGGGGGTTGGGATAGTCGACTTCACGCCGAGGGAAAAAGTAGACCATGTCTAGCATGAGTTGAAAGATTTTAGAGGGAGAAAGGTTGGAATCAACTGAATATATGAAATGAGAGCAAAAGGGACCCTGCTCGAACGTTTAAACAGCAACCGATGGGGGACATCGGCCCAAACAACCTGCGGTCCAAGTCCCCCGCTGTTTCCTTTGCCTGGACTCAGATCCCCTGCCATGCAGAAGGAAACCCGGGCCTTTCAGGGCCCTAAACAGATGCAAAAGTCTGGTACCCTGTTCAAACCTTAACCCTTCTTACTCTTGGGAAGCCGCACACAGCTCAAGAATCTGATCTCGGTTTCAGGCTTTGGGCCTTTGGGTCCGATGACTCGCTTCCTCGCGCATCTTGAGCCCTAAGGGTCCGTCTTGAGGCCCAACACCTTCCAGTCTGGACCTCTGCGGAGCGTCTGATTCTTTGGGCAGACAGAACTCTCAAGACCACTCAGCTGGGCTAAGCTACCTGTTTTTTCAACCACCTCCTTCTGCTTCTCCTTTTCACGGTCAACACCAAATCCGCTTTCGGCTGGGCCTTCAAGGCCCCATTGGTGGCTTCGGTGATCTGCGGCGGCGTGGTGAAGCCGTTGGTGGTGTCGAAGAACTGCCCGGGCGCCATGGGCCCTTCCCCTGGCCCAGCGAAGGCGTCTCCCAATGGGCGGCGGGGGGGGGGTGAGGCTTGGGGGGTGGGGGTCTTAAAGGAATCGGATCCCGTTACATCCATGTCAGTTTGAATGTAATGGACTAGAGCTGCACTCTTGCAAGCTTGGATCCTTCTTCACGTCCAGTGTTTGTACCCCTTTGAAATGGGGGAGGACACGCCCAAAAATAGGGGTCCCGGAGACTATGGCTGACTTCTTTTCCGCAAAATCAAGTTTGGGGGAAGGGGAATTTCTAGGAAATTGGGGATGGGTCGGTTCGGAGTGATTCCAAAGTTGCTGAAACACCTGCAAATCGGCGTTTCTTGGAAGTTGCGGGAACGTCCCCAAAATGCTGGGCTATGTAACCCTATGTTTGCAGCCCGGCTTTGGCTCCTACACTGCTTCCTCCAGAAAGCGCGAGTCGTCAC